AACAAATGATTTTGAATGATCTATTTTATCACTTGAACTGTTGGGGTCATTCATCAAACATCTATAAATGAGTATTCTATTGAACAAAAAATTTATATATGTTCTAAAAGTGAACATGACTACATTCCAAATTCATTTTGAATGTTGATAATTAAATTTCATCCATTAACACACTTTTTTCAGGCTATCAATTCGTTCCTTTTTTTGCACCCTCAATGCGTTACTCCATATTTACACTGTGAAATGTCTGAAATCAGGGGCAGATCCAGGATTTTTGGAAGAGGTGTAATTACAGAAACAGAATAAATTCTGCCGAGCAGAGGGAGGTATTCCGTAGTCCCACTATGCCATAACGGATAAATAATCCCAATAAAGTGTGCATATTTTATATAGATTTTCAAGATTGCTTTTCTTTGTATTTTGCTGTTTGCCAACATGTATTAATTCAAATTAATACAAATGTAATACAAAACAAGAATAATTGAATCCAATGGACACTATTCTCAATCAATTTCAGACAGTATCACCAGGCTTGGCATACAAATTTGCATGCAAATGATATTCAAAAATCAGTCAAAATTATGAGGAAAGGCTAAAAGGGCAAAACATGAAAAAAAAATGTTCTTCAAAGGTATGTTTTATTAAGGTGGTACCAAACACTAAGATAAATTTGGCTCGTTTGATTTTCATAAAATTTTGACAAAATATTTACTTCGACCCTTTGACAAAAATATAAAAATTTCAAAATCCTTGAACCACAATCTTTCTCAGAAAAATTTCATTGGCTTGAAATATATAGCAGTTTGACAAACACTAAATTTCATCATTGAGAAGCTTAATATTTCCTTAACAATACAACGTGATTAAAACGTTTAGCTGATTTTTACAGAATTATCTCCCTGTAGTGTTAGTTACCACCTTAAAAAGTATGTGAAATTGCTTACAACAGTGTAAACATAACAATGTTAACAATTCAAAGGAATGAGCACAATAATTCTCCTGAGTATTGTAATTCAAAACAAAACAAATCAATTGCTATGCCTGTTTCTGGTAATATATTGTGTTTCTTCCAAATAAAATACCAATAAAGTCTGAACATGGGACACCCAAAATAATTTCATTAATATTTCAATAAAGAAATGAAACACTAACCGGCCACACCTATCTGTAATCCACAAAGCCATTTTTCTTATATCTGAGTTAACAGAAGTCTTTACATTTTTTTAATTTGACTCAATCAAAAATAAAATATAGATCAAGTTGACCAAATTGTGTCTATGAATCTTCATATTTCTTTCCAAAATGTGTCTAAAAAAATATATCTTTCCTTTGACTTTAATAAGACACTTAATTACTTGATCATGTATAAACTGCCAAGGTGAACTTTTATTTTGTAGGAACATAATACAACTATCAAAGTTGTGTCTACTGATAAATTTTCTTGCAGCTGCTTACATTTGAAAACATCAAACTAGACCATAGCCCTTCATGCATAAAATGTAGGTCAAGGTAACCAAATTATACTGAAAATTTATAATATCTAAGATGTGAACACTAAACAAATATAATTCCTTTATGACTAAAGGTTGCTTCATTCTGGAATGTAACATACAAAGTAACAGAGATAAATTGTGGAAACCCTAGCTATATCCTTTAAAGGCATAGCTGAAGTTGCAAAACTGAAGTGAAATATAAGCTGTAGAAGATGAGGTGCAGTAGTTTTTATGACCTATGGTCAACCTTTAATCACAAAATGTGACAGAATTACCCTACGTAGAATGAAAACATTTACTTTACAATTGTTCTGTCAAAAAGGTTTAAATATATCGATGTTTAAAAATAGATAAATTGTTGAAATACACAACTACACTTGTATTTAATTACAAAATAAATGTGGATAGTGTCCACATGTGGACACAGATGATGCCCCCGCTTGCATATCATATAGTTATAAAGGGACATAACTGAAGAACAGTAAAAGTGACACTACCCAAATTTGAACTTGATCTGAGTTTTGTGGTAATAAGCATTGTGTGTAAGTCTCATAATATTTGGTTGAGGCTAACTTAAGTAGAGAACAGAAACTAAAAATTCAGCAATTTTTCTATTTGTAAACAAGCATAACTCTAGAACAGTTGTGTATAAGTTTCATAACATTAGGTTGAGGCAAACTAAAGTTAGAAAACGGAAACGAAAAATTTGTAATTGATCTTAGTTTTGTGGTAATGAATATTGTGTATAGGTTTCATAATGTTTGGTTGGGGCAAACTTAAGTTACAGAATGGAAACTAAAAATTTTGCAATATTTCGATTTATATAAGGGGCATAACTCAATAATGGTTAAAGTGACACTACCCAAATTCAACTTGATCTGTGTTTTATCAGTGGAAGTCAAAATTAAACATTGCATTGTATAAAGCATTGATTGTAGTTGATTCAACTATAATCATGGACTAAGGAAGATAACTCCAATTTAAAAAAAAAAACTTGATATTTAGAAGAAAATAAAAATTTTGCAATTTTTCCATTTATAATGGGGCATAACTCTAGAACTGTTAAAGTGACGCCACCAAAATTTAAACTTGATCTGTGTTTTGTGGTAATAAGCATTGTGTATAAGTTTCATAACATTTGGTTGAAGCAAACTTAAGTTAGAGAAGGAAAACTAAATATTTTGCAATTTTTCCATTTATGAAGGGGCATAACTCTAGAATGGTTAAAGTGACGCCACCAAAATTCAAACTTGATCTGTGTTTTGTGGTAATAAGCATTGTGTATAAGTTTCATAACATTTGGTTGAGGCAAACTCAAGTTAGAGAACGGAAACCAATTATGGGACGTACAGATGGACAAGGGTAAAACTTAATGCCCCACCGCTACGGCGGGGACATAAAAATCTATATATCTAATGCTAAACAGTACAAAAATACCTTTATAAGGTGAACAGATATATCTGAATACTAACTAATATACATCTTACAGCAATATAATTGCATAAAACAGGGAGATCTTTCATTTACTGATTGTACCTAATTAGCAATAATAATATTTAAATAACTACTTGTATCGCTTGCAAAATAAATAATAACCACCAGTTTGTAAAGTATTTCCAGAAATGAAAGCTGAATATAATTTAATTACAAAAAAGACTAGATGGATTCCCTAAATCAAAAACCATAGATGAGAGTCTACAAAAGAAACTCACATTTCATGCCACCTTAATGATGTCCTCAAAATGTCTGTTCCAGTTAAAATTACAGAGTTGACGGTGTTCTCATCAACACTTTGATGGTAAGCATTTGCATAAACTATAACTCTAAACTTAAGAAAACAACTCCCATAATCAATCTCAAGGTACATTTCAAAACTACATAGACAAACAGTATCCATTTTTATTTTTATTGAAAAATAGAAAACAGTAATAATAACATATTTTAAATAAAATATTGATTAAAAATATGTCTTGCTGATTTTCCATCTCCTTAACATGTACCATACTTCAAATTTATCTATGCATAAAATTGCATAGAAATTTTATAGTTTCAGAAGGACAGTCAGCAAGAACAAGATACTGAAAACCAACTTAATTTTTAAGATGCTTTTTTTTGCGTTTAGTCATTTATAGCTGATTTCATGACAATTCATTTCTGAGATTTTTTAAAATTTTTATTTTTTCATTTAAGAAAAGATCCAAGGACATATAAGTGTGATTTGTTTTCCTCCTCTCGAAATAAATTTCTCACAAATTTGTTGGTTTATAGTATTGAATGAAAGCCAGTTTGCCACAATGATGTCTATAAAATAACTGCTCTTAACACTTTGGGACCAAATAAAAAGGCCAGCGAAATAAAACATTGCTTGTGTGCAATTTATAACAATGTCCACGAAAACTCATGCTAGTATTCCTTTGTTTTAAAAGACAAATATGATTGAAATGATGTTAAAATAACAAATGTAAGTTTTCTTTTTACAGGTATCAACTGTTCATGAAGACAACTTGTGATTTAAACAGGGATTCTCAAAATAGAGAATACTACTCACACTTTTACAGAATAGTCAACTATTAAATGTCCATGAATTTTAAATATCAGGCAAAATATAAAAAAAAATCACAAAACAAAGGTGCTATTGCTATCTTAAACTTATCAAACAAAACTAATGATAATTTATTTCTATTTAACTGTCTGTGTGTAATAGAAATTTTTGAAGTTTTCCTCCGATTTATTTTACTGCACTTAACTGTCTTGGAAGACTTCTGTTTCCTGTATACCTGTGGAATAAAAATTGAAAAAGTAAATGCAAATCAATAAGATAATCAGTAGATTAAGATGCATGTTACCCATTTATCAAATTGTACCATATGGAAGTCAAATTAAATTCTAAACCCATTGTACATATGTTCTTACTGTGGTTTCATTTATTTTGTTAGGTACCAATTTTCATGGATAGAGAAAAATTCATATTTTCGTGGATATTTGATTTAGTGGTTTGCCAAAGTCTGCAATCAAGCCTATAGAAAATTTGTACCTTGTTGAACATTTAAATATGTGGTTAACATTCACCCACAAAATCCACAGAAATTGGTATCACACAAATAATAATGATTCCACAGTATGCTTAACAAAAAGTCCTCGTATAGCCTTTTGTCTGCATTAAAAAGTATGGCATAAGGTAATAATTACACACAACTGGTAAGAAGAAAAAACCAAGAGAGCATATGCTGAAAGGTATCACCTACTTAACTGATTGTGATTGAATTATAGGTTTAAAGTCTCGCATGACGTCTAGAAATTCAACAGATTTGTTGAGTCCAGATAAAATAAGTTCCTATATTTTTTTCCAAACGTATCATTGCATTTACTGATCCTCTATTCTATGATTTAAATGTTTGTCATGTAAAAGAAAAATGATTAGTTCAATGTGAAAAAATTGCTTTCTTTTCATAAGTTAAATAAAAATAAATAATTTGGCCATATCTTAAATTAGTACATCACATTTACCGGGGATTATGTTAGATGACATTTTAACATTTGCTAACATTTCATCCAGTTCTCTCTCAAAATCATCAGGACTTACACTACCTATCAAAATAAAAAGATAATTTGTATATCCTATACATGTATAAAGTAATTGATTGTTATATTGATGTGAAAAAAAGTTCAAGCCATAAATATAAAACAAGAACACCAGTGGCGGATCCAGAACTTTTCATAAGGAGGAGGGGGGGGGGGGGCTGCTGACTGACCTAAAAGGGGGGGGGGGGGGCCTGCTCCAGTCATGCTTCAGTGATTCCCTATATAATCAACCAAATTTTTCCCACGAAAGAGGCCCCCCCTGGATCCACCTATGAACACAACAGAAGAAAGAACATAATCCCACAAAAAAATATTTTTTTGTATACTGTAAGCATTAACAATCATCATTTTGATACAAATAGCCCTGTAAGCAAGATTTAATATAAAGATAAAAATTCTTCTTTTGTCATGTTTGCGTAACGAATATCTTATAATAAATGGAGAATGTGTCCATAGGAAACAGATGATGCCCCGCTTGCATATATCATTATAAAGGGGCATAACTGGAGAACAGTACAAGTGAAGCCACCCAGATTCGAATTTGATCTGTGTTTTGTGGTAATAAGCATTGCGTATAAGTTTCATAACATTTGTTTGAGGCAAACTAAAGTTAGAGAACAAAAACCAATTTTGGGATGTACGGACAGACGAATGGATAGACGTACAGATGGACAAGGGTAACATTTAATGCCCCTTTTGTTGACAGCGAGGGCATAAAAATATCTGGATAAGAGTGGATTACACATATGGTAATTACTGTACCTTCTGAATGGTTGGCTGGAACATTCAATCCTTCCATGGTACTGGCCAATTCTTGCGTCAGTCCATTACAAGATGACTGTGAATTACCAGGAGCGACATCAAGTCCTTCAATAGCATTGGCTATTTCTTGTGTTAATCCATTTAATGTCAATGAAGTTTGGAAATTAGGTTTGACCGCATCTTCAACATTAGTCCACTGTTCAGAATCGTAGCTCCCCACACCAGAGTCAGTTTCCCTTGTAGCAAATTGTTTTAACTGTTTATTGTTTAGTACAACATCAGATAATTCAGAATTCTGTAAATTATTTTTATTGCTCTTTTCTTCAGAATCTGAATTCTTTGGTATAGGATTTTCGTCATTGTTTGATTGCACATTTATTTCACTATGATCGCCATTTGCATCCATGTCAGTAGTCACAACACTTACAGTACTTAATTTTGTGTCTGTAGACTCTGAAACATCTGAGTCTTTTGTAGAACCAGTTTTTGTAGAGTCATCACAGATAATTTGGTTAAGAAGTTGGTTTACACTTTCATTTACAAGAGCATTAGTAACATCAGAAACAGTCAACGGTTCTATTTTTGGAATTGAAGTTATAGTGATTTTATCACCATCACTGTTAATCATATCTGAATTATTTGGAATGTCACTGGATGAGTTTATTAGCACTGGCTGTAACGGTAACACTGGCGTTGCGGAAGATAGTGCCATCGGATGTTCCCCTACTGGTGGTCGTATGGAAGATATACTTAAACCAGAAGGATGGGGAGCACATTTTGTTACTGTGAATATTTTACGGGCTTTTACAGAGGGACAGAACTGTGGGCTCAGAAGTAATTCCCCAGGGGGAGTTGTTATAACAGAGTTTGGAGCCGAAAATGGAATGTAAGCAACAGGTTCTTCTATACAACGTGGCGAATCTAAAGTAACTTCACGTGGACAGTCTGGCATACATAATAAACTAGGCCGCCTAACTTTATCACAATGCTCAAAATATGTCATCTCTGATTCCTCATCATCATGCTCTTTAGCCTCTTTGGCTTTCTCTAAATTTTTCTCTCTTTCTAATTTGTAAAACATTTCTCGATTGTCCTCTAACTTTTTGTTAATGTCCTGCAGTAATCTTTTCTGTTGATCTGCATAATCTTTTATTCCCTGTAAGGAACACCACAACTACATAAATACTTATGAAGCTATAATTAAATGAGGTGTAAATTTGATGTGATATGATTCTGGCATTCTGATTGGTTGATAGTTTTAAGTTTGATGTTATGACTAAAAATATTAACAACCATATGACACTATCACATTTACTAAGACTCATTTCTCTCAATTTTTATGTACTGTATACAATACTCAGTGTTTGTTTACCACGGTATGTGTATTTTACTGTTTTTCATAGTTGTTTACAGAATTCATTATTATCAAATATAAAATAAGCATACTTTTTGTAGTTTTATTGATGTGTAAACATGGTAAAGCTTTGGACTAGCACAATTTTTTTGTATGACGTGCATTCCATAGTAAATTAAACCTTTAAAATTCAATCCATAGTTGCTTTTGTATAAATACAAAACTAAAAGTCATGAAAGTGGTAACAGGAGTTTAAAAATCATCATTAATGAAAACCTTTAAAATTCATTGTACCAATTCAGTCTTAAGCAACTTCAAAAGTAACACAAATTATGTGTATTGTTGAATGTGGTATTGACAGTTTTTTTATGGAAAATTGTGTTGTTACTAGAGGTCTTCAATCACTTATAATCTTGTGAATCATGATTTTCACGATTTTAATGCTTAATTTTTAATGCAGGGGTTACATTTACACATTTTACATCCATTTTATTCAATTTTTCCAGTTAGTGCATAGTTTGTACAATTGTAAAAATTATTGATAAATCCCTTACAGTTTCTTTCTTTAGGTCTTTATCTAAGTCCAAGCGATGTAAAATATCGTTGACTTTAAGAGCTAACGATAATGCCATCAAGCCAGCTGTTTTTATCTCATTTTCCCGCAAATCAATCCGTAAAAAATTCTGACTATCTGCTATTACTTCTGCTAATGCTACTGCTCCTATATTAAAGTAAGATGAATGATATATCATTGTATAATTGCATGACATGAAATGTTTCGGTAAACGGGATATTTTCACAACTTCTATGCATAAACCTTTTGAGCAGGGGTTACATTTGCCATTTCACACCAATATCATTCATTTTCTACACACTATTCGTGGAGGAGATATTTTGGCTAATTTCTTGTGAGCGCGAAATAATTGAAATACTACCTGCAGAAAAATTTCAACATTTACAGTAAATAATTGAATGCATTTGAAAATCATGACAATTTATTCAAATATCTGCTTTCTGGTATTGGTAGTAAAGATGATATTAAAGTGCTTTCTAGGATAGGTTGTTAAATTTTAAGCTTACAAATTATGATTCAAAATTTAAAAGTACCATCGTCACATAGTAATCAACAGAATAGCACAATCAAGACTTCTATACATAAAAGTAAAGCTTTGATAATGATGAAAGTGAACACCAAATGACTAAGATAAAGTACTAAAGCATCATCATTATGTCCTTCATACCTTCACAAGTGACTTTAGTTCCTTGTAGACCAAGACGTAATAAAGATTTGTTCTGTAGAAGTCCCTCCTTCATTTGATGTATTCCTTCGTTTGTTATATTATTGTGTCCTAAATTTAAAGTCTCTAGACATTGTGTAGAGGTCTGAAATAACAGATGAATAAACTTCTTTATATGTTGCTATTACATTCATACCATTCTATGAGTTATTATAGAAAAACTTGCAGGGATATATTGATCAAGGTTGAAGCTACTAAAATTGAATACTATATGTGTTATGTAGGTTCAAATGACTTTTGAGACTACACGACATATTTATGATAAAATTGTCTTGGGCAGTGGGTGTGCTTTGCAACCCCTCCCTTCTCCAGATACCGTTTTGGAATAATAAATATTAATTTCATAATTTTTTTTTTGAAAAATAGCATTCTGGCGTTGTAAAATATTAATATCTACAAGTACATGTTTTCTTAAAGAAAAATGTCAAATTAACAAAATATTGGCAACTGCTATGGTCACTTTTCTTTGAAGACATTCCAAATTTGTGCAAAATCATAAAATACTTTGATCATATTATATCCTACTGCAGTTCGATCTCTCAAGTTGAAAAATGATTCTATTTTAGCACCAATATATTGAAGTGACAAGCTTATAAATGTTTGTTCCATTTCAATTTAATTCTACGTACAAGAGCTTTAGCTATGGCTGCCATGCCTTGATAGGTTAGCTGATTATTCCACAGAACCAGAGTATTTAAACCTTGGTTTAAATTCTGTTCATATAAACCATCACATACATGTGTAATGCCTATGTCCTGAAATAAAAAATTGATACAATGTTTAAAGTGGTCAGTTTTTTATTATTCTTTACCATGCTAAAAAAACCTATGCAGATCATAATCATTAATCCTTTTTCTGAGATTACTATGTGAGTCACTGCTTAGTATTATCAATTACTATGGACTCTATAATTATATGAATTCCAAGTAGTAGTTTAACACACAAAATATGTATGTGCCCATAAGACAGGAACCTTGTCAGTGATTGTTGTTTTTGTATGTATATATAATTATTTTTTTATCCAGAAAGATCTTAAATTTTGATAGCAATTTTGTGTAGTCTCTAGTAAATTCAATCACAAGTTATGAAGACTTTTAAGAAAGAATGACATACAGTATAGAAATTATTCTGTTATTAAAGGCTAATGTTAATTTCAAGATATAATTTTTTTGTTTTATTGGATTGCTGTCTACTGAAGCATATCACACATCTCATTTTATAGCAATAAAGCCAAAGTATTAATTACACTATAAAATAAAACATACCTACTTTTTTCAATGGTTTAAATTCTAGCTTTAAAAGTTTTCCCTCAGTCTTTTTGTTTATAATGACAAAAATTTCTTTAAATGGAGACTGATGTCATATCTATGTGTATAATTTCATAACTTATCAAGATATACTCTGAACTGTTAACCCATGTATTTCATACATTTTCCCATAAAACTAACCTGTAAAGGATTATTTCTGAGATCCAGTAACTCTAGTACATGATTATACTTCAGAAGACTCCCTATCTGTATTCCATCTGTAGGCATTAACTTGTTGTCAGCTAAAAATAGTTCTTTAAGAACATCATTCATCTTCAAAGCTGCAACTGAAAAAAAGTAAGAAAACTGATAACAGTAGATACATTAGAGCTATTATAGAAATCCATGTTGAACAAAACTTTTGGTGACTTGCTTGCAAACTTTGAAACATTTAGTCAACATGGATTTCTATAATAGCTCTAAATAATGTTTTTTATCAACCTCACAAAATGAAACTCGAATGAATGCATTCTTATATATTCTAGCATATTTACTTCTTAATCTGACCTAATAAGATATATCAACATTTGTTGATCTCTAGTTGTCTTCTGGGTTTTTTGTGCTTGCTCTCTCATTGACCTATTTACCATATCTCCTTTTATTCATAGCAGAACGATGTAAAACATTAAATCCCCATTAATATTAATATTAACTTAATTGGTAGAGCCTCATATCAATCTTGAAACTGTGATGTAATCATGTCAATAGTTGACCATATATGTTAACCTCAAGCTGTCTTTTGATTTTTGAGTTGTTTGATCACTCTCTCATTGACATATACCCTAAAACTCCTTTTATCATATGCTGATGCAAAAGCATGCAAAATATCAATTGATTTTCATAAACTACATTTGAAATGGATGCAATTAGAAACTTCATTTTTTGATATAGAGCCAACAACATATTTTTTTAACATTTTTTTTTCTTCAAGATAGTGAAAATTAGTTAAAAACAGCAAAAACAAATTTTTGGATAGCTGTCGACCTTCAATAATAATAAAGCTCATCTATGAAACTTACCAAGTATGACCAAAGATCGACCAGACAAATAGGTATTTTCTAAATGGAGTATTTTCAGGAAACAGCCCATTCTTAGGGCTCTCCCCATAATAGGTAGTGATCGTTCATTGATATCACAGCTTCTTGCATCTAGGAATGTTAAAGCAGGAGTCTACAAAATAAATTAATTGATTTTTAAATTGACTTTTTGAAAGCTTCTTCTTTAACGAGTCAATAATATGAGGATTAAGTTCTTGTATCGCTTAACAAAATAGAAATACACACTCCTAATGTTGCCATTAAGGTACTTCTTTTTTGATTTAGCACCCACAATCCCTGTACAAACTTTCTATATTAGTAACATCAACCTTGAATGTAGACATAATAATTTCAAAATCAAAAAGGATCTTCCTCTCATGACCATATATCCAAGTAAGGTTGTAATATAGTATATAAAGTATTTGATATACCATCAAGAAACCAAGTTGACAAACAGACTGACCGACATCTGAGTCAAAAACAATATAACCCTGCTACTTCATAGCGTGGGATGTAAAAATATGGAGCAAACAAATAAATACCTTTCTGACCATTCTGGCACAGGACTGCCACCCTCTTATGGATATACCTTTGTTGAAGGAAACATTCACTTTACAAGCACTTTCATAATATTCTATCATCTCAAATATTGCTACTGAAGTCTGCAAAACAAAATTCATGAATGAAGTGATTGTAGTTTGTAACAGCATATTTAATTACAAATATTTCATGCATATGTGGAATGTGACAACTTCAACAATACATAAAAGTAGTAATTAAAATTGGAAAGGATTGGAAAAAAATCAGAGATGACTTTCGACAACAACATTGTAAAAAGGGAGAAATTGGTTGAAAACCTATGAATTGCCACCTATAGCCAGGTGAACCAACTGAAAATAATGATGGTGAGAACTGGTAATATACATATATATATGCTCTTAAATGTCACAATAAGAAAAGAAAGAACTTATAGAACAGTTTTCTTCTATTTTTTTTATATTAAACAAGATACAAAATGTATCATAAATGTTCACACCCCCCCTTTTCTGATTGATTGGGTATATAAATTAGATGATGTCAGATCAATGGGTTTCTGTATTTTGCTGACTAAGATTTGATTTTGACCTAGACATTTATTTCTATCTGTGTGAATTTATCTAAGAATTTTCATTTACTAAAAACTAATTTTTCAAAGTACAGTGACCTATAGTTAATAACTTCTACATCATTTGGTCTATGGTGGAAAGTTGTCTCATTTGGCTATCATTACCTATCTTCTTATTTTTATATTGAAACTTAAATACCTCCTCATCTAAATGGGTTCCCTCTAAATCAACACACTGAAATTGAACAAACTTAAATATTTCTTCCAAAGTTTCCACATTCTTCATGTCAAGTTTTTCACCTGTGAAAAGAAAAATATAATGAACATATCGGTACATGTTTATTATATACAATGAACAGATATATATTAATATTTTGCTATCTTCTACACAGTTCACAGGGAGTCTCAACATTTCTACAAATTACAAAAAAATCTGTTATCAAATAAATGGTGTGTAAAGTGCATTATCAAAGGAAATATTATCATGATTATGTAAAGCTACTTAATAATTTTACCATTTTTTTTTTAAATAGAGGAGGAACATTAAAACATGATGATGAAAACAGACAGAAAAAAAACCCAGATTTCAGCTGAAGTGAAAAGTGTATTATGTCTTTAACCAATTATGGTATATGTACAAGTGTACAAGACAGAGAAACAATATAAAACAGCTGCTTTATACTTTATTTCAAGGAAGTTTATAACTTCCATACAACTGAGATGTTATCTTATTTTAAAATAAAATGCTTTGCTGGGGCGCAGCTTGATACGACCGCAGAGGTCGAACCCTGAACAGTTGGGGCAAGTATGGACACAACATTCAAGCTTGATACAGCTCTGAATTTGGATTGTTATTAAATATTTGACACAGCATAGGTTTCTGACACAGAAAGAATGTGGTCGAAGAACTTGAATTTTTTTAATTTACCTATTATGGTCCAATGTCCAAAATCAAAATACATGGTTAGATTCAGCATATCAAAGAACCCCATATTTTCAATTTTTGTTGAAATCAAACAAAGTTTAATTTTGGACCCCAACTTGGACAAACTTGAAAACTGGGCCCATAATCAAAAATCTAAACACATGTTTAGATTCAGCATATCAAAGAACCCCAAGAATTCAATTTTTGCTAAAATCAAACTAAGTTTAATTTTGGACCCTTTGGACCTTAATGTAGACCAATTTAAAAAACGGGACTTAAAATTAAAAATCTAAATACACGGTTAGATTTGGAATATCAAAGAACCCCAATAATTCAATTTTTGATGAAATCAAACAAAGTTTAATTTTGGACCCTTTTGACCTCAATATGAACCAATTTGATAGCGGGGCCCACAAATAAAAAATCTAAATTCATGGTTAGATTCAGCATATCAAAGAACCCCATATATTCAATTTTTGTTGAAATCAAAAAAAGTTTAATTTTGGACCCCAACTTGGACCAACTTGAAAACTGGGCCCATGATCAAAAATCTAAACACATGTTTAGATTCAGCATATCAAAGAACCTCAAGAATTCAATTTTTGTTAAAATCAAACTAAGTTTAATTTTGGACCCTTTGGACCTCAATGAAGACCAATTTAAAAAACGGGACCCAAATTAAAAATTTAAAAACACGGTTAGATTTGGCATATCAAAGAACCCCAATAATTCAATTTTTGATGAAATCAATCAAAGTTTAATTTTGAACCCTTTTGACCTCAATATGAACCAATTTGATAGCGGGGCCCACAAATAAAAAATCTAAATACATGGTTAGATTCAGCATATCAAAGAACCTCATATATTCAAGTTTTGTTGAAATCAAACAAAGCTTAATTTTGGACCCCAATTTGGACCAACTTGAAAACTGGGCCCATAATCAAAAATCTAAATACATGTTTAGATTCAGCATATCAAAGAACCCCATATATTCAATTTTTGTTGAAATCAAACAAAGTTTAAATACTGGACCCTATCTTGGACCAACTTGAAAACTGGGCCCATAATCAAAAATCTAAACACATGTTTAGATTCAGCATATCAAAGAACCCCAAGAATTCAATTTTTGTTAAAATCAAACTAAGTTTAATTTTGGACCCTTTGGACCTTAATGTAGACCAATTTAAAAAACAGGACCCAAAATTAAAAATCTAAATACACGGTTAGATTTGGAATATCAAAGAACCCCAATAATTCAATTTTAGATGAAATCAAACAAAGTTTAATTTTGGACCCTTTTGACCTCAATATGAACCAATTTGATAGCGGGGCCCACAAATAAAAAATCTAAATACATGGTTAGATTCAGCATATCAAAGACCCCATATATTCAATTTTTGTTGAAATCAAACAAAGTTTAATTTTGGACCCCAATTTGGACCAACTTGAAAACTGGGCCAAAAATCAAAAATCTAAAAACATGTTTAGATTCAGCATATGAAAGAACCTCATATATTCAATTTTTGCTAAAATCAAACAAAGTTTAATTTTGGACCCTTTGGACCTTAATGTAGACCAATTTGAAAACTGGACCCAAAATTAAAAATCTAAATACACTGTTAGATTCGGCATAACAAATAAATAAATGTGATCAAAGATTTTACAAATCTAATGCGCCATACTGTGCAATTAAAGATTTCTTCTTGAAATTTTTCAATAATTGAAATTTGAAAAAAAAATAATATTTGAAGAATAATTCTTTTTAATTTCTGAAATCTGAAATGAGAAAAAATTGACCCCCCACAATTTCTTTTTTACCCCCAACCCCCCACCCCCTTCCCCCAAAAAAATTCTTTCCCTCAAGATATGGTCATAATCTCAATTCAAATTTCCAATGGAATTTGCAACCATAATTACCCATTTAAATTTACCATAGTGCTAACTTAAAGGGAAACTTCGCAAAAAAATGAAAATTTGATATTATGTTCATTATGTATAAAAAAGCACAAATTCATAAATATTAAAGTTTTATTCTGCTAGGTAAGAGATCACCATCTATTTTAAATTTAGAGTATCAAATCTCCGCATGCGGCCATTTTGACATCCTCCCTGTATAGAAACAACGATATATCTATAAACCACAAAGGGCCAAAACAAGCAGTAACCTAACGTAGCCGTAATTAAGTGTCGATATCTTGTCAAGCGTACGGTTGTTTTATCCGACAAGGAAAACATAAATAGTTTCCCGGGTCACAAAAAAGATTATAATGGACATGGTTGTGCAACCTTTCCTAATTAATTTGATACGGAAAATGTAATTATTTTTTTTAAATAACTAGTACTATGGTCTGTCGTTTTGAAACTGTTTTTTTACTAAGTTTTTGAAACAAGAAATTTTAATGGAAATTAGTTAAAATGTCAAAGTTCAAAATCATAAATAAGTGTTCCGTGTAAAATTGTTTTCGAAAATCTAGTTTGTTCATAATTCTTTTATGTAATAAACTTATTTAAATAAATTCGGACCTTTCCTTATCTGATCACCAGCATGGCTAAAGGAATTGTTCCCAGAGGTATTGTGAGGTGACACGTCCAGGTATTCAAGCGATTTCCTCTCGGGCTTTAAAACTCTTATTACACAATTACATAACGCAAGTTCGTGAATCGCTTCACTTCTGAGGGTATTGATCAGTGCTGGGAACAGTATATCTAACTAATATATATGTTCCTGATCAGTGTACACGGCCGATAACTTGTAACTTTCCATTTTGAAACTATCAGGTGTAATATACATCTTTGTCTTGCGTGTCCGATAGTGATATACTAGTCATTACTAAACTCATACGCTTGCTTATAAATAACATTTCTGGTGTAAAGAAAGATATTTATGAAAATCTAAATAATTCTAAAAACAGATTTGATAAAAGAAAAATCTGTTTACATATTTTCCAAGGGTAAATTGGGGAAATGTAAGTATATACTCGTTGTCAATAATTATGGACATTTTGAAACATAATGTACGCACTTGTCGATCATTGGTTTATATGCCTAGATAGAAAGTTACGGAACTATAGATAGTCGCAATTTAAAATATATACATGTATATTGAATACACGAGAGAAACATCCAGAACCAATCTGATTTAAATACAGGTCGATATCTAACTTGCTTTGCTTCATCGAAGTTATGGACATAGTAAAATAAGAGACAAATCCTTGATTATTTAGAACAGTTTAAGCAATTCGTCATCATCACAATTGTTGGGTATAATGTATAATAATGTGAACATGGTTCTTATAGTACCTTATGTCAATTTTCCTACTCCGACATGCATGTAATATATATGCCACTGGACGTACACTAATGATCCCCAAAAATGCCTATTTGAAGAAATAAAGAAACTTCACTCCGGATAGACTGATAATAGTTGTATTTACGTCTGGTCAGCTAGAGGGTTGATTAATTTATTTAGTTAGCTTGTGGGGGGAATAAACCATTCCCAATATTGCACTTATGCATTTTCCCCTTTGGTATCCGTTTCTTCTGTCATTTGTTTTACATATATTTTGTATAATATAAGAGAAAATATAAATACGAAAAGTCGCATTTCTGGTAGAAAAAGTCTCACCAACTATAGGATTTTACGTACGATTGTCATTCTTAATCGAAATAACTGACAGTCATTTAAATACATTTATGTACGCTGTGATAAAAAGGGGTGTCGCAGTTGCATAGTATTCATCATAACCCTATTTCAAGTTTATACTTTCCTGTTATTTTTATAAGTTAACGCAGAGACATGTATACATTTCTAGTTAACGACAATCAACTATATAAATATCTGAATCTGATGTGACTTACCGTTCATCTCTTTCTTTTTTCTCCTTTTATTTTATTTTGGCAGGAATATATACATTGTAAGATATACTGTTCCCATGTTTGGGAAGAAAAATGGTGGGGGGGGGGGGGGGATGTGGAGGTCAAGTCTATCGAAAGTTACAAAATAAGAACGTTGTATTTATGAATTTACAAGAAGAATTCTGTTCTTGGACTTTTTTTTTTGGTTCAGTGATTTAAATTGAGAAAAAAAATCTAGTCAGAATTTAAATCGTTCCGGCAATCCCCCATCTAAGACGCCTCTAAAATCATGAATGGTCATGTTTCACAATCATCAGAATTTTCTTTGCATTGGTACATTCTGTATCGGTAGAGATTAACCTTGACATTTCCGGATATAACAGAGCTACTTGTTTATTACTTGTATGTGGTTAGGTGACGTCCCATGAGGTCTTATGTATACAGGTTCACATTTATAATGGTTTCTGATATAACAAGGTTTTATGACATTCACACTTCTGCATGTTCTGTATACCAAATGCTTATCTTATTTTCAGACCGAATGAGGATGTGAATGTTTTGTAGGAAAAATATTGAGTATCAAATTAATTTCGGGATTTTGTTCTTTCTTGGTATTAATTCACAGAAATTTAAAGAATATACTGCTTGTCCGCTTTAGGAATATTCTTGTCAGTTTAAACAGACGTATATATGTCTTTATAAATGAATGATAAGTCTTGCAAAGGTACAAGATATAAAGCACATTGAAAATTGATTCCGCCGGTCTGTATCCATTCAAAAAAGGAAAGTTGACGTTAGATTGATCCTGTTATTTTTTTTTAAACATCGTTGGTCAAATAGCTAAAGTATTTATACGTTGTGAGATTTAGAATATTTTAATAAGGGCATTCCCGATTAGATAATGTACATCGCTTTTGACAGACCAAACTATATTAATGTAACTGATAATTTTCTCTGGACATTTAAATATTCAAGGTTACCGATGATAATTTAAAACAGTACAGTTTCAATTTATACGCTCGTTTTCGTGGGCCATTTTTATATATAAAATTATTTAATTTAAAGTAATTCAGAATTTCGATGTTACAACAAAATACTCACCTATTTATTTAAAAACTGAGCTAACGCAAAATATTAAAAAAGTATATAACGGCGATTCAGGTATTTTGTCTTTTATCCTTTTTTTTTTCTTTATGTTTTTCACACCTGCAACGGTGAACCCTTGAGGCCAAACAACACTCTAGTGAAGATCAAAAGATTAAAATTCCATAATGCTAATCTTTTAATTATCGTGAATTTAACCACGCCTTTACCAGGTGGTGTCAGTATAATACACATGCAATGTATTTACACAGTACTAGACTGAAGCAAGGATTTGTATAGTAAGACAAATCCTCGACTGAAGTAATAGGTGAGAATACAAACATGCATTTTTATTAAACTATTAGTTATATATGTTTGTTCAACATATCCGTCGGGAAAAAAAATCATAAAAACATTCTATTGTATGATTTACTTTTATTACTAAAATCATATCAGAAATCCTTAAAATATAAATCGTACATTTTAATTTTAAAAGTTGCACGGCTGATCACTTTTCTTTCTGAATTATTAGTTGGTTAATAGCTACGCCAAAAGTCGTCGATGCGCTTTAAATCGCGTTATAAGATGATTAACGAACAAGACTTATTGTGAGATTAATCCACTCCCGGCATGCAAAAAGACTTAAACTACGTCACAGAAGTCAGGAAGTTCGAATAAATAAAATTAATAATTCCCAATTTTCTTCTTTATTAGTGTTCATATCCAGATAAAACTTGGTGAACATGTTTTTTATGGTATTATGAACACAATAAGATGATAAGTAAAAAATCGCGAATTTTCCCTTTAATCTATTTTATAATAGAATTTAAAATATAGTGTCAAATCTTTCATATGGATTTTTTTGTAAAAAAAAAGATGCAACATTTGCAGATATTTTTACTGGTCTTCCTTTATAAATATGCATTTCTTTAAACATAATTTAAAAGCAGTGTAAGGGAACGTTGTATTTGGATTACCTCCCTTACACTGTTTTAAATTATCTTAATTGTTCATTAACCATTACTTTATACATAATTTAAAAGCAGTGTAAGGGAGATAATTTCAATGATGTATTTGATTTATCTCCCTTACACTGCTTTAAATTATGTTTTGTACTAAGGTATTTGTCCATTAACAAGGACAACCTTGTTTTTCCCCCTTTTTTGCCCCTAATTCTTAAACGGTTTGAGCCATAACCCCCCAAAGCAAATCCTAACCATCCCTTTGTGGTATGGAAACTTGTAGTATAATTTCAGAGAGATCCATACACCGTTCCACAGTTATTGTCTGGAAACTACAAAATGCTTATTTTTGGCCCCTTTTTGGTCCCTAATTCCTTAACTGTTGGTACCATAACCCCCAAAATCAATCCCCACCTTCCTTTTGTGGTATTGAACCTTATGGTAAAATTTCACAGAGATCCATTCACTTAAACTAAAGTTAGAGTGCGAAAACTAATGCGTCTTCGGACGACGACGACGCCAACGTCATACCAATATACGACCACAAAAATTTTTTTGCGGTCGTATAAAAATAACTATAGTGATATTAGTTCAGCAAATAAATTTAAAACATCACAACCATCTTATATTATCAGATAACCCATCAATGTTGGGTTTGTTTTGTCCAACTTTTAATTTTTAGTGTTGACGTTTCTTTCTGTACTTTTAGACTTTTTTCTGTTTGATGCGGTCCTGTATTTAATATTAACTTAATATATTCAATGTATATTTTGATTAAGTCAGTTTCCAGTAGCATATTTACGCTATCTCATGGCTGTAAATATCAAGAACTTGTTTAGTTTCAAAGCTTTAGGAATAGTGTTTTGCTCACTTTGTTACTTCACTGCCTTGAGCTGAAATATTTGCAAAAAAAAATAAAACTAAATATCTGCTATATATCTGCAAAAATGTCTATTCAAGTATCAGATAAGTTTATGGTCAGTCCTTCCTAAATATGTTTTACAATTAACATTTAGATGACTCTATAAGAATGCAACTATATGATCATTGTTGATGCAATACGATCTAGGATCTTTTTTTATAACTGATGTGGTTTGTTTTCAAACTTAACCCCTATAAGCATGCTTATGTTTTTTTATTTTAATTTATTTATATGTTTCGGAGTTTAGTGTCACGTCCATTTTCACTGAACTAGTACACATTTTTGTTTAGGGGCCAGCTGAAGCCCGCCTCTGGGTGCGGGATTTTCTCGCTGTGTTGAAGACCCATTGGTGGCCTTGGGCTGTTTTCTGCTCTTTGGTCGGTTTGTTGTCTCTTTGACACATTCCCCATTTCCATTCTCAATTTTATGCTGATCCCCAACTCAGATTATGGTAATTGTTTTTGCCTTATTACAATCTGGAAATGTCTTTCCAAATTAACTGATTATGATTGATTTTAATGTTGAAAGTCCTTAAAAGATCAAAGTCTTACTACATGTATCACATAAATTTAACATTATCAATGAGATGACGTCAAGGTCAGGCGAAAAGCTGACCTATTACTCATAACTGAAAACAAATACTGTGATAAAAACTATACATTTTTTAAGCAGTCATTGAATCATGAAAATGATGTCAAGGACAATGGACATATGACATTGAGACCATAAGGCATTTGTATAGAACATATAAATTATCCAGGTCATCTACCTTCTGAAATATAAAGCTTTATACATTGTATTATGCTGCCGGATTACCATTCTACAACATTCATTGCAGCCAAGACTGTGCATAAGAAAACAAGGTCAGCATGATAAGTAAAAGTTCAAATTAATCTCTGTAAGATAATTAAATTGCTTCTTTATTCTTTTTAGGTTATTCTGAAACAGACAGTCAAAAAACAGGGATATATATATATATATGTCTGCCTGAAATGAAACATGCAGATTTTACAATTAAACTTGTCAAAAATATTTTATAAACTTTATGTGTGAAATATATTGTAGAAAGAACAGGAACATGCATTTTAGGAAGCTGTTTTAAAATATTCCTCACCTTTCAAACTCAGGATTGCATAGCGTTCACCAACATTTTCTATTCCCTGAAAAATAAAGACAAGAGTATGAATAAACAGACTATTTCAGTTGCTGAAAATTAAATTGATCTAGTTCTGTTCAAAAAGATTTTACCATAAATAAATATTTCCTGGAGTTTGTCATAAATTCTAACTACGGCAGGCTTTGAGATAAAATCTTATTCATATGCAGTTTTTTTTTTTAGTTGACTGAAAATTCCCCGACCGGAGAGGATGATATTATTTCCAAAATTACAACTGTACCAGCCTTGAATCTACCCCAGAACCCCTGGCACAGTTAACCATCATTTCATAATCTATAAATTTGAGAATGGAAATGGGGAATGTGTCCAAGTAGCATTTTATTTACCAAAAAAATGAATTTTGAATTCTGGAAAATTGTTAAAAATGTATGATGAAGACTAACCCAACTAGATATCAGTGAGATGGGAGCCATCTCTGTGGGCCCCGCTGTGAATAATGAGTGGTAAAAAATTTGTATCTTTATCATTGGACATGGGGTTGTCAAATGAAACCAAAGTTTTTGACCTTGACCTTTGACCTAGGAAGTTGCACATACATTATGACACACCCTCTGGTGTTGGTTAATATACATATCAAGTATAAACTTTGAAATCATAACGGTTCTCAAGATATAGAGCGGACACGATCTTTACCATAGGACATGGGTTTGTCAACTAAAACCAAAGTTTTTGACCTTGACCTTTGACCTAGGAAGTTGAACATACATTATGACACACCCTCTGGTGTTGGTTAATATACAGGTCAAGTATAAACTTTGAAATCATAACGGTTCTCTAGATATAGAGAGGACATGATTTGTTACGGACGGATGGACGGACGGACAGACTGATCACTATAGGGCGGCCGCCATTCGGCTGGGCCCTAATTAAGGAGAAATAGCCATGCATAAATGGGTAAGGGGGATAGTTAGTTCATACTGAAATATCAGTGAAAGTAACATGAACCTTAGCCATGCATGCATGGCTAACCCTCCAAAGCTAAGATAGTTTTCATCATACATTTCTTATAAATTTTTCAGAATTCAAAATTATTCGTAAATCAAATAATTCCTTGTTTTTACCTGCAACTGATTAAGTATAGTGGCAATAGGCTTGGTGTTGTGTTTTTTACAGCTGTCTTTGTATGAATTAATTAGATCTTCTGAAGTCCAACTTGGTGCTGAAAAAAAAAATCATATAAACTATAAAAAAAATGTTTTTGATCAGATGACATAATTATATCAGTACTTGACACCATATATATTTTTTTTATTATTTCTTTGATACAATAACATTGGGGTTGGATTTTATTTTATTCAGTACATTGTTAAAAATAATCTTGTTATTAAGAAGTAAATTGTTTGAAGTTTTTTTTTTAAACTCCTATGACTAATGTTTTGATTTGATTTGTTTCTTTTCAATTTATAAATTAATTGATAACTTATATCAACTAATAATTAACATGTTTGTTGTTTTAACTCTATACAGGTAGTTATTGGTGTTTTTTCCTCAAAAACTTAAATAAAAAACAATGGAGCCATTGTCATTACCCAAGCTGTTTAATCATGAAAAAATAAGGAGCAATAAAAGGGCAAGCTATGAGTCCCTGTCATCAATATCAACTGGTTAAAACATGCATAACAAGAAATGATTGTAACAGGATGCTGTTACGAAGTCTCCCAAACGAAGCTCCCATAATTCGTAATTCCCAGTGTCGCAATTTGACATTGGACAAAGTCCAGTGAAAATTGGTTTGGTCCAGGTAAGTTATATGCATTAGTGACTAACCCTGTATATCATTCAAATTATCTTGGCATGACAAACCAGAATATATATGGTTTAGGGGTGGGGATCTCAACCATTTACAAGATACTAGAACATTGGGGGTGGGGGGAACCCCTGGGGACTGACCCTATACATCATTCAAATGTTTGAGACACGACGAACAGGAATATATATGGTTTAGGGGTGGGGATCTCGACCATTTACAAGATACTAGAACATTGGGGGTGGGGGGAACCCCTGGGGACTGACCATATACGTCATTCAAATGTTCGAGACATGATGAACAGGAATATATATGGTTTAGGGGTGGGGATCTCGACCATTTACTAGATATTAGAACTTTCTCAAATGGCAGGGGGTCGGGGTGACCCCTGGGGATTAACCCTGTATATCATTCAAACCATCTTCGCATGACAAACCAGAATATATATGGTTTAGGGGTGGGGATCTTGACTACTTACAAGATATTAGAACTTTCTTAAATGGCAGGGGGTGGGAGTGACCCCTGGGGACTAACCCTGTATTTCATTTGATGTGCTTTATCATGACAAACCAGAATATATATGGTTTAGGGGTGGGGATCTCGACCATTTACAAGATATTAGAACATTGGGGGTGGGGGGAACCCCTGGGGACTGACCATAAACGTCATTCAAATGTTCGAGACATGATGAACAGGAATATATATGGTTTAGGGGTGGGGATCTCGACCATTTACAAGATATTAGAACTTTCTCAAATGGCAGGGGGTCGGGGTGACCCCTAGGGACTAACCCTGTATATCATTCAAACCATCTTTGCATGACAAACCAGAATATATATGGTTTAGGGGTGGGGATCTTGACTACTTACAAGATATTAGAACTTTCTTAAATGGCAGGGGGTGGGGGTGACCCCTGGGGACTAACCCTGTATTTCATTTGATGTGCTTTATCATGACAAACCAGAATATATATGGTTTAGGGGTGGGGATCTCGACCATTTACAAGATATTAGAACATTGGGGGTGGGGGGAACCCCTGGGGACTGACCATAAACGTCATTCAAATGTTCGAGACATGATGAACAGGAATATATATGGTTTAGGGGTGGGGATCTCGACCATTTACAAGATATTAGAACTTTCTCAAATGGCAGGGGGTCGGGATGACCCCTGGGGACTAACCCTGTATATCATTCAAACCATCATAGCACGACAAACCAGAATATATATGGTTAAAGGGTGGGGATCTTGACCACTTACAAGATATTAGAACTTTCTTAAATGGCAGGGGGTGGGGGTGACCCCTGGGGACTTACCCTGTATTTCATTTGATGTGCTTTATCATGACAGACCAGAATATATATGGTTTAGGGGTGGGGATCTTGACAATTAAAAAGATATTAGAATTTTCTCAAATGGCAGGGGGTGGGGATGACCCCTGGGGACTAACCCTGTATATCATTCAAACCATCTTCGCATGACAAACCAGAATATATATGGTTTAGGGGTGGGGATCTCGACCATTTACAAGATATTAGAACTTTCTTAAATGGCAGGGGGTGGGGTTGACCCCTGGGGACTAACCCTGTATTTCATTTAATGTGCTTTATCATTTAGAACATTTTCAATTAAAAAGATTGTAGGTATCACAAACGGTTTTCAATTTATAATCATTTGAAAATTTTAAAAAATAAAATCCCATAGGGTTCTATAGTAAAACCCTCCTTTCTTTTTGCCCCTCAAAGTACCCCTTTATAAACCCTATTGCACAAACAAAACCCTGATTGCACCACTAGACATGTTAGTCTAACATATTGTGAAACCCTAAATTAATCTGACAAGCGGTTTTGGAGAACGGGTGCGGACAAGTTCAAATTTAAAAGCGGCGGAAGAAGAAGAAGAATAATAATAATAATAAGAACTGAGCAAAACCAATAAGTCTTCCCAAACTTCGTTTGGGAGACTTAATAAATATTCAATACCTTGAATACACATATAGTTGCCGGAAAAAAATACACAAAGAAACAAAATCAATCACGATTTGTATAGATTTTATCTCTTTGTTTCAAACGCTCAAATGATTTGAAACTGGTTTACGTTTACTATTGTATTATAATTACTGACGGACAACTCGGAACCAGTTAGTAGAAAAAAAGATGTACGACATATCCCGACTAAATTAATAGCCGGCACAAAACACACAATAGGCTGCAGATTTTGCCGGCTCTTATTGAGAACACTGAGTTGTGAATGTAGCTATTTGATATTAAACTGGTTGACAGACTGGTTAAGATCAAAGTCATTTGCGGATTACTGTTGATGGTACTGACTTCTAAAACATGTTTTAACAGAGATTGTATTAATTTATGTTTCTGGTTTTTAGTATAATTATGCATACACAAAAGTGTTGAGAACTTCTACAAAAATCAAAATCAACATAAATGCTTTATACTACATAATTATCCATACTAATTTAAGAAGGTAAATTGATTTGAATATAAATATTTTGCTTTAAAAATAATTCATTTCAATAAGAAATCCAATATAAATATTTAAAAAATATTCGAATAAATGTCTCCTCTAATGAAATTTATATAGTTAAATATGCGTTCAAGACACAATTTGTGATTGTCCACCTTTGCCATTATTCATAAAATTCATTAATATTTATGAACTGCAAGTCAAATATATATAATTTTTCTCCCATGCAAATATTTTTAAATTGGGGCTGGATCGAATTGGTCCAAATCAACATGATAGCTAAAAACCTTTGTTTTATCAAGTTTACCGCTTTCAACATTTAGATTTTTTTGGACACAATCACATGTGGAATTTTTGTTACATGCACTTATCATCACAATAATAGGATATTTCAAAGGTATTTGCTGCTTCAACCTGGAGGTTGAAAAATTCAGATCTTTTACTTTAGCTTTAATTTGGGTCCATGCACTTTACACTTAGGGTGCAGAGTTTTCCCAAGAATTTTTTGAAGGCGCAAAAATTTGTAGCACATACATGTAATCCTTCTTTTGGCAAGAACTATTGTCATGCCAAAAAATTCCTCAAAATTCAGAAATACAATGTACAAGCTTTATGACAGGCTAGGTGTTTAATTATGTACACTGCATGTACAATATATTTATAAATTATCATAAAATAAAATATGATCAATTTACACAAATATAAAACACATTGATAGCACAGTCCATTTATAGAATTAAAATTCAATTTAAGAGTCCAAATTTAGTAATTTCAAGAGAATATTCTCCTGTTCCTTTAAGCCTTACAGTGCTGAACAGCTTTAGATATGTCCATGTCTGGTGCATCTGCTCCTTCTAAAGATATTGTATCATATTGTATCATCAAGCAGTTTGTTATTTATGGAATACCTAAAGATATTGTATTATCAAGCAGTTTGCTATTTTTTGGAATACAACTTTTTAAACAAAAGAATTAAAATGAACAGCTGACCAATTTCTGCAGTCTGTCATTTGAGATCACTTCCATGTGTATTTGTCACTATCATTTCTTTGGCTGGTAGAAACCTGACAAATTCTTCAAAGTAAAGTTCAAGGAAATTATTAACTTGTAACATTATACATATTCTTACAATATATGCCTTTCCGTACCCAAATATTAACATCAAGTTGTTGAATGTCATTGTTTTCCAGTGCAAGGACCAATATACATGATATACAAACATAACCATGAAACTGATTTATTTTTTTTAAACATGACAATTAAAAGACGATTTTTTTTGCTTAGAACAAAATTTCACATTCTGACCCTAACTAAATCACATAATGAATTTAATATCATAAATTCGAGTTTACTTTACGTTTTTTATGCGTAAAACGACTTCCATTGATAAATATTTGTAGATGGACATAATCAGGAAAGCCATGAGTAAAAACATTTTGTATTTGTATTTCGATCCATTCCCTTAATTCTGACCATGAAACACTGAAAAAAGTATCCAAGAAAAATATTTATCTACTCAATGATAATCTAAGCTATTACACAATCAGATAGGGCAAATTCTAGTAAAGGATAGACTGAAGTCTATCAATAATTTGGTGTAATATTGATTTTCTTCTCAACCGTGACCATTAACTTTGACAAAAGTTATCAACAGGTCATAATTAAATATGATAATTAACATGCTGCAGAATTATCTTTTAGAGCACTGCGGGCATGCCAATGTAAGAGCTCAGGGACAATAAAAATATTTGGAAGGCGCTGTGGGACTGCAGCATCATATCGGTATGGGGAGAACACGGCGGGTTCATTTATGGTTATGGAAAGTTGGGGACCAAGACAGGTTTTAGAATTAAGGATATTATTCATCTACCTAGTTTTTCACACAGGTGAATAAACTTAAGCTAATAGAATGATTGTAATCAATTCCCACTTAAATTATTAGACTAGACCTGATGAAACCCTGGATAAAGGACATAACCAAGAAGTTTCTATTTCATGCAGCTAAAAAAAAATTTGTTGTGTTGATCCCTATTCCATGTGTATTCTGCACAGATTTGTGTTGTTATCATGTGACTGGTTTACAGGTGTTAAATAATATCCTATCCGACAAAAACAGACTTATCAGAACGAAACTATTGCATATTTTTTTTTATCTAGATCTGACATGTGATATCCTTAAAATTGTGCTTTTCACTCCAAAACTTTACACACCATTTTTCCAAGGATCTGGAGGTTCAAGATAACCAGACACAGGTTTATCACCAAAAAATTTGACATTTCTCTTCAATGGGCTTTTCTTATCTTGATTTTCTGAAGTGTTATTGTCTTTTGTATTTGATAAATCAGCTTCCGATTCATCTCGAGATGCATTGTTTACTTCCTGCATATCACATTTAGAATCCCCGACAGGTGACGGTTCTGATTCTTCCACTTTTTGTGATTCGTCATTGTTATTTTCTGAGTTAGCAGTGGTTGCAATTTCTATTTCTGACATTTTTCCAGTGTTATGTCATGTTATCTTCTCTTCTTGTTGAATTGAATGACGAAATAAATAATTCAATTTTATGAAAACATTCTCCATTTTCATTACACGCAATCAATCAACTGACTTTTGTAAAACTTTTATTGATTGGTCATCTGTATTTCTTTTAGCCAATCAAATAACCTGATTCGTTTTTGTCTTTGGCGGACTATTTGATATTTCTACTTTCTTTTCGAAGAGAGGACTAGATTACCAGAAATGCTGGAAGCTTAGCGCTTTACTGAAATCTATGAACATAATACTGTATTACTCAACAATCAAACACATCAGGTGATTTATTAGTCTAATGAGGAAGAGCCAATAAATATGTATTTTCCTGTTTGTACAAAATTTTAAGTCAAAATGAAGGAATGAAAAATTTATATAATGTCATAATTTAATGATTATATTTATCACTAAATTATTTTTTGACATACATGTATATATGATCATCTACCAAAGATAAAAAAAAAATGAGGATGTGATTATAAACTACAAGTCATCATACAGCCTTCAACAGTTAGCAAACACTTTACCGTTTAGTAATACACCTTATCACAATTCCCGCTTGACCCGAGAATCTGTCCCGCTTGCACTTTTGACGTCCTACAACAATTACTTTTCCATTGTGGCGTCAGATATTTTCTATTATGACGTCAAAATTTTACGGGAACTTTTGTGATGTCCAGTAATGGCGGACAAATAGCGATAAGGTGTATAAAGTAAGCTATACTGGTCGACGACCAGTTACAGTCACCTTCTGTTTTATTCAATAACAGCTGCTTTGCATAGAAACAACATTCTGGTGATATCTTCAGACAAATAATTTTACTTCATTTGTAAAAACTCAGTTATGATGGATCTGATTAAGATAGGAAAATGACGAATTTTCTGTAAATTGAACATGTGGGTACATGACGTCATCGCTGTATGATGTCCTCAAATTTGGAAAATTTACTGTTTTAAGACAAACCAATATCTCACCTGGCTTTATAGTATACACTTTCTTTCAAAAGAATTAAAAAGAATTATAAATTTCAAAATTAAAGTCTATACATCTCTTCAATACAGCGTAAGTCGTTGATTTCAACGTGTCAAGTGACAAAAAGTTCACATTCTGAACAGGAAGAGGACCTTCTAAATTTTCCAAATTAATGGTCGGAATGGAAATGTGTCTGGTTCAATTGAAATACCTTTTTCTCTTCTTGGTACATGAAAGCAAAATACATAAATTAATGTCCCGATTAAATGTAAATTCTGTCATTTAATGACACAATTTAAAAGTGACGGTAACTGGTCATCGTACCCATAGAATTTCCTGCTAAAATCAGCATGGTAGTAAGCCGTTGTATCGTTGTTTGTAAGAGGAAATATAGTTGGAGTCTTTGGTGTTAAACCTAACTTTTGGAAACCCTTTTTATCTTAAAAGAGTATTTCCCCAGAAGAGGAGAGTTCCTTTAAAAAATATTTCAGAATTTCTGACGGTAACTGGTTCTCGAACAGTACAAGACTGCTGGACGACAAAATGTGAAACAAGACACCTTACATACCTGTCAACCTCTGAAAACCTTCAAAGAGGGAGACCTCCCCCTCAACTATGACAGCTGAGGGGGAGATTTTGTGCGAACGACATTTTCAAGTTAAATATATGACCTGTTTACGTATTCATCTACGAGACACCAATAACAGTTAATACATTTACTTTATTTCTTCAATTCATGGTTAAAATCTATACAAGGTGGGGTTTTTTTTAAGCCTTTTTCAATACCTCAGAGTCTCATAACTCATAACATTCCATATTTTGATTTTGTTGTGAGTCTCGCACTAAGCATGCTTTCAAACATCGTACAGACCACCAGAAGAAATCGAAAAGTTGATTGAATATGATTATTTTTGTTGTTTGAGCGGAGACTCCCGCTCAAAACGGGAGGGTTGGCAGATATGCACCTTATCACTGTTTTTGGAAATTTCTGCCACAGTATTTTCTTCCTTAAAAAAATGTCCTTGATAGTGTGAAAAAATTTATGGACCCTTGCTTTAAACTTTTTGGAAATCTGCCATATACTCCTGATCCAGGATTTTGCAACACTTGAACTAATGAGGTGATACAACAATAACTTTTCTATTCCTTTGTGTATTTTCTCCTTTCTTGGCGAGAACACTAATATTTATAGTTTATTATTTGACAATCATTCAATCACAAGGTAGTATGATCTTTGACAGTTTCTGGTTGTAAGAAAAGTCTAATGCAGTACCATTGAAACACAATAAAACTTAACATTTAAATTTAGTATGAATTTAAATGTAATTCACTATAATTATTTTTTTTATCTTTCAGATAATGCCACCAAAGGCAAAGGCAGGCTCTGGTACGTGTAATTGGACACTTTAATAAAATCACAAGGATAAATAAAAGTGTAAACATTAAGACATCAAGAGAACCATAGCCCAGATAAATATATAATTGAAAATATTAACAAGTTTAAATTGAAAACAACGTTCAAACCTATGATTGCGTTGGATAAAACCGCAATTTTTATACATGTGCATGCAAAACAAATTTCTTGGTAGAGGGGTCTAAATACAGCACAAACAACATTTTCCAAAAGACCAAAAAAGTGAAAAAGTATATTTTAACAAAACGCATTTGACTAGCAGGTTGAACAACAGATGTTCTTAAACCCTGCTGACTGCCAATATTGAAAATATTAATATACTACAAACTTATATATATATATATATATATATATATATATATATATATATATATATATAAAGAATTGCTATACGGAGTACAAAATTAAATATCTGCCAAAAAGGGACATAACTCTCTCAAATTGAAGACATTTATGTTCCAATTCGATACTATTTAAAACTAATAGGCAACATTTCAAGTTGGCAACAATTCAGTCATGACTCATCATAAATAAAAGCTTATGAATTTCATTGGCTGCCCTTGTCTCTAACAGTTGTCGGCAGTTTCAAAACATTTGCACCAAGATCCCCTTTTTTCAGACATGTATACTTTTTGTTATGACTTAATTTGAAATAAGTTCATGCATATTAGATCAATGAAAAATGAAGCTATTTGAAAATAAGATTTCTGTGTTGATTTATAATATGATAATCAATTTCAAAAGTGCTCCCTACTTTAATAGCAAACATACCAAAACTTTGAATCATGTTTATTGACATTGTTTATACAGCCATTAGCAACTACTGCTGACATATAAATTATGTAAAGAAATGGAAGCAATGATGTTATTGCTTATTGTCAGCTGTACACATGAGTAAGCTATTGATTCATTTTGCAAATGTTTCAATTGCTGTATGATATTTTTTTTATACAAGTGAGAAATGTTGCCAGACAAAAATCTGTCAACAGCTGAAATATGTAATTGCAATTGGCAAAATTGGGGAAGCCCAGTAGTTTTAGAAAAATCCAGTTCATTTTGTAAATTTAAATAGGTATATACAAATTTCCTAATATGATATCGAGAACCCAATTTCATAAAGTCAACTATATGCTGCATATAAATTTGAAAGTTTACCCTCAGGCATTCAAATTATAGCCCTTTTAGTTACTTAAGTGTTTATATTTAGTTTTGACCTAATAACAACAACAAGTGTAACACACATTTGAAAAGAATGATATTTTATGTATGAACATAAGTTTTATGACATCAGGTACTGTTGAAATGCTGTACAAGTATTATGTCACCGTTTGCTACAATATAGTACATTGAAAGCCGGAGTTTTCTGTCAAGGTCCATGTTTAAATAAGTATGTCTTGTGTAGCAATGTTTTTTTTATAGCTCAAAAGAAATCCAGAGCTCCTAAAGCACATAAATTACCAGACCCATTTCCAAAAGGAGAATTACTAAAGGATTATGGGAAAAAACACTGGCGCCTTGGAGAAGTCATTGGTCAGGGAGGATTTGGACTTATATATTTAGGTAATTAAATGAACTTTACATTACTGTTTGCTGAATTTTTTTGTTGGGATCATTTTTAGTCCACTATTGTAATGAAACCTCTTTGGCAAAAATAAATTATGATGTCAATTGCTCTTTCATTAAAGCATAGAAACAAGTTTGGCATGGTTTACTACATAACTGTGTTTTGGCATGATTATAATCCATACTTACCATGCTTACTATGAAAATTGAAGAATTCCTCTTTGGTAAGCAACCTCACTATAGTTTAAGTTAATGCAATATAATCACTGAAATATTGATATAAAATGGAGTATTTATTATACCCCGCTTCAAAAAAATTATGCCCCCGCTTTAGAAAAGTGGGGGTATACTGTTTTACCTGTCTGTCTGTCCGTCCGTCCGTCCCATGAATATTTTTAGTCGCATATTTCTCAGGAACTACATTATAAGGATTTCTGAAATTTGGTTTCAGGGTTTATATGAGTCAGCTATATTGTGTGATGCGTTTTCAGATTCATCACTCAACAACTTCCTGTTTACCGAACACTTGCATCATTTTACACATGACATCCAAGTTGAAAATTTTCGTCACATTTTTCTCAGGAACTACATTACAAGGATATCTGAAATTTGGTTTTAGGGTTTATATGAGTCAGCTATACCGTGTGATGCGTTTTCAGATTCATCACTCAACAACTTCCTGTTTACTGAACACTTACATATTTTTACACTATTAAAATTATCCAGTTGCGGCGGGGGTATCATCAGTGAGCAGTAGCTCGTAGTTTCACTTGTTTTATCTTTTTTAAATGTTCTTATTAAAATTGTCAGTACTTGCTCATCAGGCAATGGTTAATCTAAAATCTGGTGTCTGTCTTTTTACAAACAGATTTGGGAGTAAGTGTGTTTATGCTGTGTAGACTGTCTGTTCTTGGTATATTCTATAATAATAAAATGTATTTCAACTTTTTTTTTCTTTCAGCAACTCTTGTAGATTCAGAAAAACAGGATTCTTATGTTGTTAAAATTGTAAGTTTTAATTTAGAAAAAAAATTTTGAAATGTTAAGGTAGAATAGGAAATTCAGAGCGGTCTGACAATATATTGCGGTGTTGTGTCATGTATCTTTTGTAACCTTTAACCTAATTAAACCCTTTGAAATGGGATACAATAACATAATTTTGTCTCTGTTTTATTGGGAGATTTAGCTGAGGTCATGATCTACATCAACAGTCTCATCAGCCAGAATACAGGCTCTACACAAAAATGCTCCTCATATTAAAGTTATTTGAATCTGGAATAATTTTGAATTCTGGAAAATTGATACAAAATGTCTGATGAAAACTAACCAAACTAAAGAGGATTAGCCATGCACCCATGGCTAAGGTTCATTTTATTTTCACTTATTTCAGTATGAACTAAATACCCCCCCCTCTTTTTAACATTCCTAAATTGGGTTGGTTTTCATCATACATTTCTTATCAATTTTCCAGAATTCAAAATTATTCTAGATTCAAATAATTTCTTGTTAAAAGAATTTTGTTTTCTACGATTATTTTTTTCAAACGAATTATACAGTAACTTTTATAACCTCACAAATATAAGGATTGATTGTGAAAGCATAATTTCGCAAATTAAAAGAAATGGTATATCACGCCCAGCTTTTAAAGTTATATTGTTTATAGAGCTGACAAGTTTAGGAATTGTCATTCAGACATTTCATTTGCTTGATAGTCTTATTGCTGAAGATAATGATTTGATTGTTTCTTTTCAATTATTGTCTCTGGTATTTATTTGGACTAATTTAAGAAAATTTTGTTCATTTATATGAATTTAATTTTTTGGTTTTGGTTTTTGTTTTGAATATCTGTACAAATTTTTCTTCAGACTTCATGCAAATTGCAATTGTCTGCTCTTTATATGACATGTCTACAGGTATTGAACTGATTTTTGATATGTTTTGTATAATGAAGAGCAACTGACCAAATATAAATGTTCTTGTTGATCTTCATTTGACAGATTATGGCTTTTCTTAACTAAAAATGTACATACCAAAAGTTGTTATCCCTTTATTTCTTTCTACATTTTTGTAACTGCATTAAAGGTCTTATATAAGGTAGCTCTCTTGCATGTTCTAGTGTAGGAGATAGAGAGTTCAAATCTTGGCAGCATCAAACATAAAAAATGCTTGTTTCTTTGCCAAGAAAGCAGCATTTTGGTGTAAGATTCAAAATCATATGTTTGAGTAGAGGGACATGTCTGCCTTATACTTTTATCTTGTTAGTTTGCAAATTAAAAATCCAGCTTAGCTTATCAATGCAGTACAAAGGAAAGTATCTTTATATCACAATAAAGTTGTCATCTTGACATTGCCCAAAAATGCATGTTGTCCTAGCAGCTGGCAATTTAGAAGCCATTTGTTATACTTGATAGACTAAACACTGCTTTGTTATAATAGCACTTGAATTAAGAAAATATCATGACAAATGTTGTTGTCAACACTTTTTTTGCTAGCTTGGAGATAATGAGCTTAGTTAGGGCACTGCTGGTCAAAAAGTTGGTTTAAAGTAGTCACCCTGTGAATATGTTAAAAAATCGTTTCACTCTAACTTTGAAACCCCTTATTTATGAGTTTTGAAATGAAATTTTACATGATTATTAACTACTAGAAGGTGTGCCATGTACAAGAGGGAAAATGTCCATTGAAAGTCATGTCTTGTGGTCAAAATCAAAGATCAACTAGTCACCCCTGTGCATATGGACAAAATTTGTTTCTGTTTTCTTAACTTTGAAACCCCTTTGAGTTTGGTAATGAAAACTATTACAATTATTCACCACCACTAAAAGGTTTGTCACATAAGAAAAAAATCATGTAGTGAAAGTCATAGTTAAAAACATACTTTGAGAGTTGTCTCATTGGCAATTATACCACATCTTCTTATTTTTGTCGAGCCTTCGACTTTAGTCGAAAAAGCGAGACATAGCGATCCTACATTCCGTCGTCGTCGGCGGCGTCCACAAATATTCACTCTGTGGTTAAAGTTTTTGAAATTTTAATAACTTTCTTAAACTATCCTGGATTTCTACCAAACTTGGACAGAAGCTTGTTTATGATCATAAGATAGTATCCAGAAGTAAATTTTGTAAAAATAAAATTCCATTTTTTCCGTATTTTACTTATAAATGGACTTAGTTTTTCTGCCGGGAAATATTACATTCACTCTGTGGTTAAAGTTTTTAAAATTTTAATAACTTTCTTAAACTATCCTGGGTTTCTACCAAACTTGGATAGAAGCTGGTTTATGACCATAAGATAGTATCCAGAAGTAAATTTTGTAAAAAAAAAAATCCATTTTTTCCTTATTTTACTTTTAAATGGACTTAGATTTTCTGCCAGGAAACAACACATTCACTCTGTGGTTAAAGTTTTTAAAATTTTAATAACTTTCTTATACTATTTTGGATTTGTACCAAACTTGGACAGAAGCTTGTTTATGATCAAAAGCTAGAATCTAGAAGTAAATTTTGTAAAAATAAAATTCCATTTTTTCCGTATTTTACTTTTAAATGGACTTAGATTTTCTGCCAGGAAACAACACATTCACTCTGTGGTTAAAGTTTTTAAAATTTTAATAACTTTCTTATACTATTTTGGATTTGTACCAAACTTGGACAGAAGCTTGTTTATGATCTAATGCTAGTATCTAGAAGGAAATTTTGTTTTCTTCCAGTTAACATTACATTCAGTCTGCAGTTAAAGTTTTTAAACATTTATTAGATTCATAAACTATCCTGGATTTTTACCAAACTTGGACAGAAGCTTCTTACAATCAAAAGATAGTATCAAGAGGAATATTTTTATTGATTTACTTCCTCATTTTTGTTGAGCCTGCGATTAACAGAAAAAGTAGGCGAGACACTGGGTTCCGCGGAACCCTTACGAATTTTTATATTTAACTTAATCATCCCTATGCATATGTATAAATAATAGTAGTTTCTTCTTTCTTACTTAAAAACCCTTGGGGATGAATAATTAGTGCTAATAAAAAAACATTTAAAATTGCCATGCATGAGTATGAGTTATGTTTGATTAGAAGAACCCTGATTACTTTTAATTTGCATCACAATCTGCTTGTTTACTTGAGCAGGGGCCATCCTTCATGGCTCCCATCACCAGCCTCTGAAGTGTACATGTAGTTGTATTTATAATCAGATGTTACAGATTGTTATGAATAAAAGGCAATGTGGGGTATACACCAATGAGACATCAACTCAACAACTAACTTAAAGATGTCTATGAATATTGAGCATGCTGCCTTTTTTAAGTATTGCATTTTTTTCAGTCTGGGCTTTTGTGTAAAACTGATATCTGCAGATGTAATATTTTGATGAATTGCAATAATAACTCAGATAAATCATTAAAATGGAAATACTCTTAAATATTGGTCACATATTTAGCCATGATTTAAAGATTATTTGATGTTTCAGGAACCAATAGCTAATGGACCATTGTTCTGTGAACTCCATGTGTATCAGAGAGTAGCTAAACCAGAAATGGGTGAGTACAGAAGTATATACGATGGTCAAGCAACCTCAAGAAAAGTAAGAAGATAAAATGGAAGGGATTGTGTGGATATAGATCATTTGTTTTTTAAAGGACAAACAACATAAAGACCAATAGAAAACATAGTAAAAGAAAGAAAGTATTCCTCTAGATCAAGCCTTGCAAACCCAACAAAAAGGTCATCTTGTCACGAGGAGTGCATTATGGTCAAAATGATTTACATAACATTTAAGTTTTTGACTTAAAAGCAGAAATATAAACTAGAGGCTCTTAAGAGCCTGTGTCGATCACCTGTATCTACTGTGGTTTTGGAAATCATGTAAAATAAGGTTAAAATCATATAGATTCCCTAATAATGATTGAGGCCAAGTTTGGTTTAATTTGGCCCAGTAGTTAAATTAAAAGCAGAAGATTTTTGAAAAGATTTACAAAAATTACCAATAAATTGCAGAAAATAACTTTAAGGGGCAATAACTCCAATAAGATGTCAATTGCCAATTGGCCATGTTAACTTATTTGTAGATCTTTCTTTGCTTGATATTTTTGCTGTTTACAGTATATCTCAATCTATAATGATATTCAAGATAATTAACAAAAAATAAAAAAATTCCTTTCCTTCGCTTCAAAATTTATTTCAACCAGGGCCTGTATAATGCTGAAAATGCCTTTAAATGTTTTTATGGAACACCCTTCAAAAAAAATATGGGCAAGGGTTCCCCTGACTAACCCGCCGGGTCTGGGGGAGCATTCACCCAATATAAGTATGCTGAAAGAAAAGATATAATAATGGTTTATAGAAAAAGTAACACTGAATAATTCTGAAAATGGAACATATCAAGGAGAAATTATTAGCAACACCCCCCCTCCCCCCTGAAAAAATTGCACCCCCCTGGAAAAAAAATCAAGTCATCCCATTGTAGTCTTACAATAGTTACTGAAGACCCCTTATCATTATTTAAATTAGTTTTTAAGTTGTGACCATTTGAAATTGTTTTTTTACATTTTTCCCATAGACTTCTATAGTAAACCCCTATGTTCTATTTTTACCAATGGGGTCCATCTTGGTTGTAGGGCATGGTCATCGGACACATTTTTCAATCAAAATACTCTAATAATAATTGTGGCTAAATTTAATTCCATTTTGCCAAGTAGATTAAGAGAAGATTTTTGTAAAAGATTAAAAAAATTTACGAAAAATTGTGAAAATTGACTTTAAAGGGCAATAACCCCTTAAGGGGACAATTGATAATTTTGGTCATGTTGACCTGATGAACATTTCATCTCTGTTAGATTTGCTCTAAATGCTTTAGTTTCAGAGATATAAGCCAAAAACTGCATTTTACCTCTATGTTCAATTTTTAGCCATGGCGGCCATCTTGGTAGGTTGGCGAGGTCATCGGATACATTTTCAAAACTAGATACCTTAAGGATGACTTAGGCCAGGTATGGTTCAACTTGGCTCAGTCATTTCAGGAGAAAATGTTTGTAAAAGATTACAAAAATTTACAAAAAATTGTGAAAAATTGACTTTAAAGGGCATTACTCCTTTAGGGGTCAATTGACAATTTTGGTCATGGTGACTTATTTGTAGATCTTACTTTACTGAACATTTTTGCTGTTTACAGTTTATCTCTATCTATTATAAATGAAATTCACGATAATAACCAAAAACTGCAAAATTTCCTTAAAATTACTAATTCAGGGGCAGCAACCCAACAACAGGTTCTCTGAATTGTCTGAAAATTTCAGGGCAGATAGATTTTGACCTGATGAACATTTTTATCCCATTGTCGGATTTGCTCTAAATGCTTTAGTTTCAGAGATATAAGCCAAAAACTGCTATTTACCCCTATGTTCAATTTTTAGCCATAGCGGCCATCTTGGTCATCGGATACATTGTAAACTAGATACCCTAAGGATGATTTAGGCCAAGTTTGGTTTAATTTGGCCCAGTGGTTTCAGAGGAGAAGATTTTTGTAAAAGTTAGCGACGACGGACGCCAAGTGATGAGAAAAGCTCACTTGACCCTTTGGGTCAGGTGAGCTAAAAAGGTGTGAAACAAAACAGCAATTCTGCAGAAATCCGATTCAATTCCTAGCTGATAGCTAGTTTTTATCATGACCAAAGCTATCAATTATTAATTATTGTTCAATATTTAAATTTACAATTTTTAAATTGACTTAATCATCAGAAAATCTTGAGAATTAAAGATTTATCTTTCATACAGTTGTACATGTATTAGAATTTATCTTGTAACAGCTGTACATGCATTGAAGTTATTTTATGAGAATAGTACATTACCATAAAGATGTTCCAAATATAAATTGCAACATAAAGTTTGTTTTATTAATATAAGCATTATAAATTGATATTACATTTGATTAGAATGTAACTTACTACCATTTTTGGGAATTCACATGTAAATAAATACAGTAATTCACATGTAAATTATTTCATTTTGAATATATTATATCGTAAACAAAATATCATTACAGATGTAACAAAAGCTTATTCATTCAAATATTGATTTTTTAAAACATCCCAACAAAAAAATCCTGTAAAAAAACAAATTTGATAAGATTATATTGAACCATACTCTGGAAAAATAAGGATATTGTGTATCAATTCATGACACAAAATCACTATAAGCACACAAAAAACAAAAGCAAAGGAACAGTGCTTTTATTGCTGGTCTTCATTTTAAAGTCACATTGAGGCCTAAAAGTATCCTAAAGTTGGGATGTTTCCTCCCAATCAAGAGCATAACTTACGGACTATACAATTAAGGTTAAGTTGAAATTAACCTTTTACTAATGGTCCCTAAAAATTACCTAATTTCAAATGATTTTACTATAAGAATAACAAATAGAACTGTACAGTTGTAAATATCTTATAATATTTCAGTTGATGAATGGTGCAAAGCTAAAAAGATGAAATACTTAGGAGTACCAAAGTATATCAGCAGTGGAACACATACACGGGGGAAAGAGACATTTAGGTTTATGGTTATGGAAAGATTTGGTTCAGACATACAAAAAATATTTGAAAAGGCTGGGAAATCATTTTCCAGGCATACTGTGTGTGCATTGGCTCTTAGATTGGTAAATGAATTTATTTATTTTGTTCTTTAAAGAATTTAATCACAACTAGCTTTTACTTTAAGAAATTTAATTCTCGACACATGGTGTAGATATTTGTCTATCAAAGACTATGTTGATTTCTAGAATTCTTGTGTATGTTGGTTTAGTATATTTGTTTGATTTAAAATGTAAACCCCCTTTTCTCTTTTCATTTATATTAAGCCGCAAATACATGTATTATAACAAAATTCAGGAAAAGAAGTGAAAGGATGGAAATACCTGGCCAAGGAAAATAGTAGAATTATGGGGAAATATGCTGTCCTGCTAAAACTAATTATATATAAAGTAATGAGTATCTTTTATTGGCTATTTAATTGCATTAAGAATTATATTTCTATTGTGTCTTGTTTGATTTCAGTTAGACACACTAGAATATTTACATCATAAAGGTTATGCTCATGCTGATATCAAAGCTTCTAATTTACTGACTGGCTTTAGTCATGGAAAAGAACAACCAAACCAGGTAAATATAGTGTAAGCTAAAATTCTGTCATAAAACAGTTATAGAATTGAATTGAAGGTTTGAACTTGGTGCATACACTAATTTAAAAACGTAAGAAAAAATAAAATAAAAACCAAAACTTGCTGATGATAAGATTTAAATGTATTGTGTTTTGAATGTTTGCTGACAGCAAATACATATTTATTTTACCTTAGAACTTTTCCATCAAAATGAATGGGTAAGATAGGAAGAAAAGTTTTATCATAAAACATTGGTCATGGGTTATTTATGGTTCTATGTCCATTTGATGTATGCAAAATGACATAACTTGCTAAACGAATATAAGTAGTGGGGAGATTTTAGAAGTCCCTCACATCTCATTTAATAGAATTAAAATTATCAAATAGCTGACAAACAAGTGGGTAAATTTGAAATATTTTGCTTGTTAAATCTCAATTACACGAATTCAGGTAAAAATTTAACATTTATTATTTAATAAAGCTTTTAGAAATTTTTATTCATAAATTTTTCAACATGTTTATAGAATGAACATAAAGATTTATTCATTTTTAACTTATTTTGACCAGGTATATCTAGTAGATTTTGGATTAGCATATAAGTTTTACTGTGACGGTGCTCACAAAGAATATAAAGAGGATCCTAAACGATGCCATGATGGCACTGTAGAATTTACAAGTACAGATGCTCATAAAGGAGTAGGTCAGTATCATTTATTAGGGTAGCTATAACTACTTTATTATAACGGTAGTTCAGGCAATTGTTCTGCAATGGAATATAAGTCTTCACATGTACAGTTACTAAATATTATCTGTCAGCTTAAAAATAAACTGATGAGACAGCAACCCATCTACACAAAAACATTATACATTGCTGGGTCAACATATGGTCTTAAAAAAAAACAGGTGTCCATACAAATGTCAAGCTTAAAATTGTCTAAAATATTTTTATTTTTGATAAATAATATGAGTATGGAATTTTTCGTCAATGTCACATGCAACTTTGATAAATTGTTTGATATTTTTGATACATTTGATATTAATAATTCAATATAGCATCTCCTTTCAAGTAGACTATTGTTATGACATTTAGCTTGATATTTTATACAATGTTTTCCCAGCATAGCTGATACAACACATATTTATATTAGCTTAGTAGTTTTAGATAAGATTTAATGATGAAGGAATGATTTAATGCCAACACTTTATTGTTTATTTCTGTTAGCTGCATCCAGAAGAGGTGATATGGAGATCTTAGGATTCTGTTTGTTACAATGGCTGTGTTCACGGCTTCCGTGGGAAAATAATTTAGAAAATAAAGATTATGTAAGAGATTCCAAAATAAGGTATACTTTATTATATTGAGAAGATATAGATTAATGTTTGGATACAGGGGTGATGATTACTTTACAATAATCACTGTTTGTCAGGATATAAGAGTTAAGAATAGAAAGGTTTTAAATTTACACAGGGTTTCATTTCCATGTTTCACTTTAAATACTGTTGATTATAACATTCAAGCAACAATCTAACTTACTTTTTAAGTCATACAAAATTTGTCCCTTATATGGCTTGTTTTAAAAATTAAGGTTTATTCATGGTACAAAACATCATAATTGATCTTTTCGTGTCTCAGCAAATTTTACTGTCATGCTATTATGTTTGCATTTATATATTTTATACAATCTTTTGACATCGTAATTTAAAATCGTGGAATGATTATCAAGTGCAAATGGTATACTTTGATTCTCAGATCTTTAATCTTAAACTTCTGTATGACGATGTTTCATACTGATATGGTGTGAATTTATGTATGGTTATATTTATTTTTATTAATGCTATCAGAAGTAATGAAAAATATCTTAAGATGCTAGCTACTACAGTACATTCCGGTTATTTGCATAGCCTATTTGTCAGACAAAATTATGCAATAAAGCGGAGTATGCTTATATCCGAAATGCCAACTTACGGAGTCAAATAACATCGATATAACAGATCAGTAAAGGAAATCCCTGAAGAAAGATGAACGTCTATAATCCAATTGCAACATATTGAATGTTGATTTATTCTAATAAAAGTTATATGTCTAGTGTCATACATGTTATTTTATTTTGTATTATTTCAATAAAGATTATAAACACATTTTGTTTTAGTTTATTTGCGTACCGACGTTTCCTTTACAGTTTACCTGGGATACGAAAATAAATTCGTTCTAAAAATAGATTTGTTTCTATGACCCGTATGTACAATGTACATTGTTACGCTTTGATTAAAATAAACTGTTTAACAAAATTACACAGTTTATAATCATTTTAACAATAGATGTGTACTAAACTGCCTTTGATATACAATATTTACAGCTTGCAGAATGAAGTAACAATGTTTATTTAACTTCGTTAGTTTCGTATATGCAAAGCAGTAATGGGGCCCTGTACGGGTTATTTGCTGGACACGAGTATTGAAAGTGAGAAAATATAATAATTAGAAGTAAATACTCTTTTCAAAATAAATCAAAATTAAATGATTCATGTAGAAAATTCTTTAACCATATATAAATGCCCTGTAATATTTAACATAAATGCAGATCACCCCAAGCCCAATTACGAGAGTTCACATTGGATAATGATCGATAATTAGCAGGAGTTATTGTTTTTGAATTTCACCCCAAATGTAATCTATGGACAATGTTTGAAATCCAATCAATTATTTACACCTTTTAAGATAGAATGGTCAGTGTTTTTACAACAATTACCTGTTTGACATTTTTATGACCTTGAGGCTTAAAATAGAACATGGGAAACTTTACCTGTGTAGATATCGAGGTTTATTTTTAAATCAAATTCAATCATATAAACACGAAAGAAACTGTTTTAAAACTTTATTTTAATAACACAAAAGTAAATATGAAATAATAATGAAAATAATGATGCATTCAAGAAAAATATACTCACCAACTTGCCGTTTCCGGTCAAAAATTTCGACAGATTTAACCAAGCATATCTAGATGGCGATAATTTTCTATGCAATAAACCGAAAGGCCACTTGTAGAGCTATGCATATAACCGGACAATTTAACATTAGTTGAATGGGAAATGGTTTTGTGCAGGAGAAAACTATGCAATTAACCGAATTATGCTATTAAGCGGTATGCAATTAAGTGGAGTCGACTGTATACTATACAGAAAAAAACTGACTGTACAGATTTACATTATTTTAATTTTTTGTTAGTAACATAAGGTAGGCTTTATTTTGTTACGATTATTTCTAGTTAATCCCTAACGTTTTTTTTTTTTCAAATTCCAACAGTATATTGAAGTTGTTCTTATTATATAGATGGGACAGTTGCAATAAAAGTTGCAGAGAAAAATTAATTTTCCATTAAAAAAATTATATTATGTTTGAGCTGATATCATTATAGCATACACATTGTTTGTATTTTTGCATCATTTTTTTCAGATATATGAAAGATATACCAGGTTTATTAAAGGCATGTTTTCCTTCTGGTTCCTATCCAGGTAATATAGTAATAATAAAGGCTATTTAAATTAAATTCCTGTCAGAAAGAGGAAATTAAATCTGATGTCTTGTGAAGATTGGGTGTCCATGCTCTTTGCACCTTAAAGAATAATTGCAACAACTGACTCAGAGTTCTTTATGTGGCCTATGGCAATGCTAAATTTCTGGCCCTATCCAAAATACCCTTATTTTCTAGTGGCAGCCTAAGTTTTTTCCTTTCTTCTCAGTCCACTTACCCTTTAGAACTTACCTATTGTATTGCTAACATGTTCTATTCCTGAATGTTAAAGAAATATTTGCCACTGGATTTAAGCAACAATCAATCAATTAGAATTTAACAGATTTCAAACAACTTTGGTAGGCTCCACCAAAAGTTAAGAAAGCCCAAAGTATAAAATGTTTTAGAAATATAAACCAGAAAGGCCTTGACAGAACAGCCAATAAGGTTAACATTGCCTGAGAGAGTAACACAGTCAATAATTTCATGAACTGGAAATTTACAGACAGATGTTAATATACATCAAGAAATGTCCATATTTCATGAAGAGGATTGACCATTCTTTACTTGTTTACTTAACATACACAAAGTTGAAGTTAAATCTAAAAAAATAAATATGTGTATGAAATTAAATATAATAATTTTTTTTTACAGATGAAATATCTAAATACTTAACATATGTATCAAAACTGAAATATGATGATGTTCCAGACTACAATAAACTCAGAAGTATATTTCGTGGAGGACTTTCTGGGAAAGATGAATGGAAAATAGATTTACCACTCAGTGTAGCAAGCTCATCAAAGAAGGTTTGTTAATTAACCATTAAGTTTCTAAGCTGGTTCAAGCAAATTTGAATTTACATTATCTATTTTTGTCATGACTTTTCATACCCCTGCTCGGAAATAGTTGGTATACTGGTTTCCCTCCTCCTGTTTTTTTGTTTATAACATATTATTGTTGCATTTTCTTAGAAGCTTAAAAAGTCATAGCTTCTTCATATATAGTACATTTGTACAAAGCCTTTTCTGGTTTTGCCCATTTCTGATACATTTTCAGTTTCTTCATCATTCTACTTCCAGTTTGCCATAAACTTAAATCTTTTAAATATCATGCACATTTCCTTGGGGAGGAATGTATTTTTACCATCCCAACAAGGAGTTAATGCAAGATATTAAAAAGAATATAAACACCAATAAGTATAACAACTTATATACATGTACTTGGAATAAGGTTTAAATAAGAACATTTCTGCTCAGGGACACTTTGGGCATGAACAATCCACTTTAATGATTTTTTTTCAATAAATTTCTTTTTTATTTCAGCTTATTACCCCACATTTAATATATGGTTTTCAAATATGAATGCAATATTCAGGTGTTGGCAGTCTAACTTGATTTTGCACCAAAGAATCAAGTGATTTTTTTGTAGTATACCGGTAGATGTTTATATCACATTCTATATTTAAACTTATCAACTTTTTGTAATGTTCTTGTGTTGTGTCCCAGAATTTAGAATTTCCTGACATATAAAATTCAAATATTTATCCAGCAATCGACCATTTAACACTTAACAGATCTGTGTATAGTTTATGTATATAGGCTCATAGTATCCTGCTTCTATTGTCGAGGAACTGTCACATTCACTTTACAGTTCATTTTGGTGTCCTCTTCGTAGTCTGTGGTTAATTAGTAAACAACTCGATTTCTTCACTGATGTCTGGGAATTTTAACAACTTCAATGTTAAATTGCAATACTGTAAATTCAGAAATTATTGTGATTTTTGAAAAATAGACATAAATGCGAGATTAATTATTGCGAAATTCAGGAAACGCTGCATACAGATATATGCATCAGATATCAGAATGCGAGTTCTTATTAATGGGATACCCTCCCAGTCGCATTATTTGCAATAATAAAAACCTCGCAATAATTTCTGAATTTTCAGTATATAACCATTTTTATACAGTGTCAGAAAATATCAAATTTATTTGTAGTGGCTACAAAAAAGTAGTCCTTTTAGTATACTGTTTATCTACAAAGTTCAGTTTGAATTAGTTATTGTGTGGACATCCATTGCTTGTTTACAATATGTGATAACCTGATTTTTTTAATGAATTATTTGAAGTCACATAAACATTTGCTAAAATGACTAAGTTGGTTAAACTTTAGTGGTATGAAAAACTGATGATCAGTCCATATAACATTACTATTTTAACATCAAGCACTATAACATAGGAACATAAAGTCAAGAAAGTAACAATGGTTTTTTACAAAAAAATCAAGAAGCTAAAATTTATTTGTTTTTCTTATTGAAATGATCTTTTATTGGGTCAACATGATCAAATATAGGATAAACGTTGTATAAAAAGGGATTTGTTAATTGCCTTTATCAGTATTTAAAATAATTGTATAGAAATGATAGCAGTGTTAACACAATTTCACTCTACTTTATTTGAGAACACAAGATGAGATGCAGAGACTCTGTACATATTTGATTTGAAAAGGACTTCATTCAGAAATGAATAATTTTACCGTAAAAAATGAAAATAACGCTTTATGAATTTTGTTTAAAGGTTGAATGATCCTTTATATCCTTTAATCTATTTCATTTCCAGACAGCACAGAAAAGAAAGAGTGCAGGAGAACCCTGTTCTCCAGTAGAGAAAAAAGTAAAATCTGCAGCAAGAGTTTCCAAAAAAGAAAAGGAATCTACTCCAAAGCCTAAAGCTGTGAAAAATACTGTGAAAAATATAAAATCGCCTTCTGCTAGCACACCAAGGCAAATAAAATCACCTGTCAATACTCCCAAACAAATAACATCTCCGAAAGTACCTGGAAAACCTGCTTCTAGACATGGAACGCCAAAATTATCACTTGCAGCAAGAAAAAGGTCGAGATCTAGGTCACCAGCAGCAGCTGCAGCATCAAAAGTAAAGAAAGGTGAAAACATTGTCTACAGTTCAAAACATTCAGAAAGTGATGATAAATCATCTTCAAAAAGTAGTTGTATTATTTCATGATTTAGAAATGTTGTTTTGGCTCTGAAGTAAAAATGGTTTCACAGGAAATCTATTACACTCTCATTTGGAAGTACAATATTTCTGGACATCATGAGAAGAATTTAATCATTGTTAGAGAATTACAAACTCATTTAAATACAATTCATACTCTGCATTCAGTGCTGGAGATAATTAGAGAAATCAATTTAAATCTATAAATCTATTGATATAAAAGAATAAAAGAATCAGGAAATTTTAATACAGTTTAACTTATTTGTTTCATTCTGCACAAAATTCTTTGATCTATTTATTGTAGCTACAAAAGTTTTATTTTTACTGAGAGGTGCTCAATTAAGAAAGTACGTGGTAAATTTTTGCAATTTTATTCAAAATGTGAGAACTTATATATACCAAGCAAAAATGTGTTCTGTGTTAATTATTACTGTGAATTTTTCATATGGCGTCATGTTGTTTCTATGATGTTAATGTGCAAGACAACGTTTTGGTGAATTTATATGATATTTGAATTCAACTAAAGCCATTAGAATTGTCTTGTTCATATTGCATTTGCATGCATATATTGTTTTGTATTGTAAGCCAATAGAGAGTAATACTTGATATAACTGTTGCTGGTATCAGTTTGTCTAGTTTCGTTACCGATTGCTTTGTAAAGTTAAATTGTGTAAGTCAAATTAATGATATATGAGTATAACCCAAAGCTGAAAATGCAACACCATTCTGTCATTTCCTGTCTTTTTTTATTTTATTTTTTTTTAAGCTTTTGGTGTTTTTACCTTTAAAATTTGGTCAGGGTTGTTCCATTAAATGTATATGGTACCCAGGGAAAGCACTATATGTTAAATTCTGGCTTTGAGTGTAAATGATATATCCCTTGATTTTCAGACTAAAAGAGGCATACAACCTATAAACAATTCAATACACTCAAGTATATTAGGCAGTTTGATTCTCCTTTTCACTTCACTTTTGTTGTTTTGGATATGATAAAGTTAGGATAGTTGATTTTAGTTTAAATAAAATGATGATGATCCCTTAACACAGATAACACAGATCGTATCTGTGTTTTACTTAGAAAATGAAGTGCTTCAGAAAAAAAAACCTGATATTTGGATGTAATTGACATGCCAATTTTAATTGTAGGTAGTCCCAAAAAGAGTACTAAAAGACGGGTAAAGAGACGAAAAGCTGTTCCTACATCAGATGCTTCTATTCAGACTTCACCAGGATTCTCCTCAGGGTCTGGTTGACTACACAAGGGACCAATTTTAACAGCTTACCACTAATACATGTATATATGTACTCTATATGTGAATTAAAGAAACCTGACATGTCAGTGTATCATTATCTTAATGCTTCTTTGCATTTAAGTCACTCAGTTGGGACCAGTTTTTCAGTGATCAAGCTAGACTTTTGGAGCTTTTCAATTTCAATTTATGTCTCGCCTTTGACGAAAGTCGCGGAAAGCGAGACATAGGGATTGATTTTCCGGCGACGATGCTGGCTTCAACAATTGTTAAGTTTTCGGCTTAAGTTAGTTTGATAGGAACTACTTGTGATAGATCATTGATATTTGATATAAAGTTGCATTACTATCAGTACATATCAGTTTGACTATTTTGAGGCCCTGCCCCCTAGGTCATGGTCCAGTGACTGAATTAATTATCAATGTTAAGTTTTCTGCTTAAGTTAGATTGATAGAAACTACTAACAATAGACAAGGATATTTCTATTAAGTTACAATACTGTCTACATCTCAGTTTGTCGACCATTTTCAGGCCCTGCCCACTAGATCATGGTCCAGCGACTGAATTGATAAGCAATGTTGCTGCTCATTAGATTGTCTTTTTGTGAATTTTGTGCTGACAGGTGAGACATAACTCTGTGTAACGGTTTATTATAAAAAAAATTAGAACATTCCTGTAAAGAAGTTGACTAAAATTTTCAAATTTCTTCAGGTCCTTTAGAGAGAAAGGTGGTCTTATGTTCTGTGACCATTGTTTAGTTGAATCACTGCTAATGTTATATACCGGTAATGTATCTTGTCTTAAGTGAAAACTGGCTATACCAGTAAATATTTCAAATACAATCATAAATGAAAAACATGAAAGTTGGTTTGTATTCTTTCACCTTTGTATTTGTATTTAAGCATGAAGTTAAAAAGGCAATTTTAAAAAAAGATATTTTAGCTCAAATTATCCAATTCTTTGCCTCAATTTAACAATTTTTCCATTTTTCATTATTGAAATCATAACCGAGTACATTGTATAAGAATTGGTCATCTGTCAAAGATAGTTAATTGATCATCTGAGATACTTGTGAGAACATTAAATTAAAGGTATGATTTATATGTGTTGATTCAATTTTCCAGGTTCGTGGAAAACATCAATTGTTCTTGAGTTTTTGAAATTGTGGTTACTGTCTATGTAAGAAATGATGGAAAATATCCCTTTCCTCAGAAATTAATATTTCTTTTTTTTTTATAAAACCATGAAATCAGAAGAAATGAACACTCTATGAGTAAAACTAGTTTTACATTTGGTCACTTACAGTTTTTTACACTATATCCCCATTAGAGTGGGTCTCATTGGGGTCTAAGCGTGACGCGGGATTGCCGATTTTTTGTAGGCGTGAAAGTGAAAGTCAAATTATTGTGCCGTGAAAACGGGAAATGAAGTCTAGCAGGACACAGGAAATTATACAAAAAAATGAGAATTGATTATGCACATAGTGTAAGCGGGATATGGGAATCTGACAAAACAGTAAGCGGGATCCGGGATCAGAACCCCCCAATGAGACCCCCATTAGAAAATTAATATTTTTAGTTTCCTGATATACAAGTATCTCTGATTTTGTTATATGTCAGTTATGAGCTGAGGTACGAAATTATTAGTTTTAAGTTTGTGAAAATAATTTTAACAAGTTTGCATTAATTTAGTATAGAATCTTTTTCTTGTATTAACACCACATTTATTTCACACCCAATATGCATAAAATATCTTGTTTGTAACAAGAGGATATCACAATTACATGTATTGTATCATAAGTCCACATGAAATTAATTTTTCTATTCTTATTCCCATTCCTTCTGAACATTTTTCTTTGATTTCTAAGTTTATTTTATATTTTCAAATATTTCTATCAAATTCCTACCAATTTTGGTTTTAAAAAAAATTAATCTGCCCTCTTCTGAAACTTTTTGTATGGGAATCTAAAATTTGATTTGTGTACCTAAATCTACTGTGTACTGTAATGAATTTTTATTTTGAAACAGAAAATGTTGTTATACATAAACATGTATGCTTGATTTATTTACTTAAAACTGATTGTAAAATAATAACTGGTAATAATTGTTAGATAATATGTGAATAAAGTTATTAAAAGGATGTTTTCATTTTTCAGCAAACTTGTGCAATGACCATGAGAGCAGTTGCATTCTACAAATATATATTTTTTTTTTTGCTTATTTCTTTCAAAAACAGCCAGGCCATCCAGAATCAAACTTGAAAAATATAACAAACAAAAGATCACTTACAAATTGTTCATCTAGTTCTAAATGCAGGCACTTTGGGCAAGGCCCCCCCCCCCTTATTTTTGCTTACGATTTTTTTTTCTGCAGAAAATATAGGAGTAAGAAGGAAACTGTACATGGCAAAAAAATTCAGCATGACAAAATCTACTATTATCGTCATTTGATTCCTTTTAGGAGAGGAGTAATTGTCCTTGAAAGATGATTTTTATCCATTTTTTTTTGGCAAACCTTTAATAGATTGAAAGAAAACTGTAAACAGCAAAAATAATCATCAGGACAGGATCTACAAAAAAGTAAATATGCAAATCAGGAGCCATTAATTCAGTGGTTGTCCTTGGTTGCTGTCTGTTATATCTGTTTTTCGTTTATTATTTTGTCACAAATCAGGCAGCTGTTTTTTTTCGTTTGAATTGTTTCACATTTCTACATGTCGGAGGTATTTATACATGACTTTAGAGTATGGATTATACTCATTGTTGATGGCTATACAGTGACCTATAATTGCTTAAATCCACTTTATTTGGTCTGTATTGGATATTTGTCTCATTGGCAATCATACCACATCTCCTTATTATACCCAACACAATGTTCTGTAGGGTATAATGTTTTTGACCCGTCCGTCCATCCCTCAGTCCTGTTCTTGTCATCTCAACTCCTCTGAAACCACACAACAGAATTTCATGAAACTTTGTAGATAATAAGGACATAATATGGAAATGTGCATATCGACAGGAAATTATGACACAATTTTTGTTCTAGGAGCAATGCCCTTTTGAACTTAGAATTTGGACTAAATAAACTACTGCAAGAGTTTGTCATCGCAACTCCTCTGAAACCACACAACAGAATTTCATGAAACTTTGTATATAGTAAGGACATATTATGTTGATGTGCATATCGACTGGAAATTGTGATTCAATTTTTATTTTAGGAGTTGTGCCCTTTGAACTTGGAATTTTTGCCTAAATATACTACTGCAAGAGTTTGTCATCGCAACTCCTCTGTCACCACTCAACAGAATTTTATGAAACTTTGTAGATAATAAGGACATAATATGTAAATGTGCATATCCACAAGAAATTTTTATCAGTTGACTTTTGTAGGAGCTATGAGTCTTTGAACTAAGGCATCTGGTGAGATTTTGTTTGCCCAGTGACAATGTGGGGGCATTGGGAATGTGAGCGTGCTCAAAGGTTCTTTAATTAAATGGCCAAAATCTTCAGATGACCCTTTTTAGCTCACCGGGGTCCGAAGGGCCCCATGTGAGCTTATGCCATCACTTGCAGTCCATCGTCGTCGTCTGTCGTCGTAAACTATTTCAAAAATCTTCTCCTCTGAAACTACTGGGCCAAATACCTTCAAACTTTAACTAAATGTTCCTTAGGGTATCTAGTTTATAAATTGTATCCGAAGTTTTGATCCATTGACAAACATGGCCGCCATGGCTAAAAATAGAACATAGAGGTCAAATGCAGTTTTTGGCTTATATCTCAAAAACTAAAGCTTTTAGAGCAAATCTGACATGGAGTAAAATTGTTCAATTGGTCAAGATCTATCAGCTCTGAAATTTTCAGACAAATCGAACAACCCATTGTTGGGTTGCTGCTCCCGAATTGGTAGTTTTCACAAAATTTTGCAGTTTTTATTATTTTGAATATTATTATAGATATATGTAAACTGTAAGCAGCAATAATGTTCAGCAAAGTAAGATCTACAAAACAGTTAATATGACCATAATTGTCAATTGACCCCTTAAGGAGTAATTGCCCTTTAAAGACAATTTTACACAATTTGTTCATCAAGTTTGCTAACATTTAAAAATCTTCTCCTCTGAAACTACTTGGCCAATTACCTTCAAACTTTAAATAAATGTTCCTTAGGGTATCTTGTTTATAAATTGTATCCGAAGTTTGTATCCATCGACAAACATGGCCGCCATGGCTAAAAATAGAACATAAGGGTCAAATGCAGTTTTTGGCTTATATCTCAAAAACTAAGTCTTTTAGAGCAAATGTGACATGGGGTAAAATTGTTTAATTGGACAAGATCTATCGGCCCTGAAATTTTCAGACAAATCGAACAACCCATTGTTGGGTTGCTGCTCCCGAATTGGTAGTTTTAACAAAATTTTGCAGTTTTTTGTTATTATTTTGAATATTATTATAGATATATATAAACTGTAAGCAGCAATAATGTTCTACAAAACAGTTAATATGACCATAATTGTCAATTGACCCCTTAAGGAGTTGTTGCCCTTTAAAGACAATTTTACACAATTTGTTCATCAACGTTTGCTAACATTTAGAAATCTTCTCCACTGAAATACAGGTGAGCGATTCAGGCTCTTGAGAGAGACTTGTTAGAAGTTATTGCCTTTGAATGACTTTACCAATTTTGGGGTATACATGTATTGGGGTTTTTATTTTTGCAGAAATGTAATAGATAGAAGATGTAAATAACAAAATGATCAGCAAAACAGATCTACTAATGAGTAGAATAAAAAAATTGCAACCAACAATCAATCAATCCAATATGATTGAAGTCCTATAAGAATTAATCCTTTTAGGTGTTGTTGCCCTTAATTAAATGATAATTTTAAACTAAATTCTGAGTGTTTGTCTATTATTGTAAAAAACAGTTATAGATAAGGTAAAAACTGTAGAGAGCAAACCTGGTCAGCAAATACAAAATGTACAAAAATGTTAATAAGACCAAAACCATTAGATGACTATTTAGGAGTTTAATGCCCTAAAATGAATAGTTTTTACTAATTTTGAGTTTTTACCTGTTATCCTGTAAATTTTAATAGATAAATTTACACTTAAAAGATAAAAAAAATAAATAAAAAAAACCAATATTAGACCTACATGACCTACAAAAATGCCTACATGACCGAGACCATTCAATGACTTCTTACACGATTTATTGCTTTTAAATAATAAGTTTTGGCTAATTGTGTTTTTTGTCCATTATCTTAATAAATAATAGATAGGAAGACTATAACAACAAATGTGACCAGCAATATTTTACAAGATCAACAAAAAATGAATATATGACCTAATTATTGGATGACTCCTTACAGGAGTTATTGCCCTTAAAATATGATTTTTGGATTAATTTTCAAAGTTTGCATTTTATGTCGGAAACTATAAAAGATAGGAAGGAAACTTGAAACACTAAAAAATTATCAGCAATTAATATATAATTTGAGGTGCTTCTTGATAACTGAAAAAGGTGGGTGAGTAATTCAGGTTGTTAGGGACCTCTTGTTTCAAATCAAGTGGTCTTCCTGTCTTGGTTCTTTTGTTAATTTTCAAAATCCAGACATCTCAGTTGAAATGTATATATCATTTCAACTGAGATGTCTGGATTTTGAAAATATATATCATTTCAACGTTAAAGATCTTTGACACCCTGTGAACAATGTTACCATGCGGGAACCTTAAATTATCACTACACAACTATAAAACATATTTTCCTTCGGTTTTCTCCAGATTGTTCTTAATTAAGTGAATCCAGTTTTTGCGGTTTTCTGCGACATAAAAATACAACCCTCCTGGCATATGAAAATTTGCATGATATCTCAGTGCATGCTTAAAGTTGGTGCAAAATCAAACTTTTACATGGAATTATAAACTGTTGTATGCATACAGAAAATTGAAACTTTTGTAGACCGATTGCAAATGGTGTTGCGGCAACTGTGCCAAAAGTTTGTTTCAAATCTATTTCTCTTGATAGGTATTCGATCAATTTTTACAAGATTTCCCGTCATGGCATGGCGTTCGAGTGGCAACAATAACACTGACTTGATTAACAACTTGAAAAGTAAGTATTTGACTATAACATGAGGACTTTACTCATTGCTAAGTCGCCACAGACCTACTCGACCCAACATTTAACCAACTCGACCCTTTAAGTAAAAGGAGTTATGGCCTAATCCTGCTAAACAAAATACCTCCTGAGTTTGCTTACTACTCTATGAAGAGGAGTTAATTCCCTCTTAAAAATGACCCAAGAACAAGAGAAGTCAAAATTGCCAAACTATATGAACCAAGGAAAAGAGTCTAATACTGCTGATTAAGGTTCATCAAAAGGAATTGAAAATATGGCCGTGTTTACACCACAAAATCTACTATGAGTACAGACAAACTGATGCATCTAGGAAAGTTTTAAGGTATGGCAGGACCTAGATATATAAAAGTTATATGTAGTCTTATGTTTCAGAAAATTCAAAACTAACATGGATTTTGATGTGAATTTTTTTCCAGTCTGCAGAAGATAGCAAAATAAACACATGAGTTTCATTTGATACGGTCCACTCAGTTACACAGCTTTAATCACCTGTTGTTTGCAGATGTCTATTGTCCATCTATTGTCCATTTAATTCAATACTATTCACAACATTTATTATATGAGGGGAGCTTCGCAAAACCTCTTTTCCAACTTAGTTTATTTTGGCACCTTCTGCAGGAATGAAAAAAAATGAATAGCAAAATCCAGAAAAGTTTATAATTTTCTGAAACATAAAATGCATTTAAAATTTAATTATCTAATTCCTGCCATGCCTTAAAACTTTACCAGGTGCACAGGTTTGTCTCTACTCAGAGTAAAATTTGTGGTGTAAATACGGCCATATTAGCTAAAAGGTTGTGATGAACCTTAAAGAATGGAAAACTATTTCAAATTGGAGTTAAAAATTTTGAATTCCCATACAGTTAAACCCTGAGAATCTCATCTCCTTGAAATTTAAAGTGCCAGGATGTTCGTAAATATGTATGCATGTTTCTAAGCAACTGTTCTGTTTCAATGATGCTTTCCTGTATTTTTCAAAGCATTTTCACCTCCATTATGAAAATCTGCACATATTCAATATGGCTGCAATAACCATGAAAGGGCCTATTATAAAAAAAAGCAGTTTAAACAGGAACATGACAACTCATACTTTTCAGAGGCGGATTTAGGGGGAGGGCCCAGGGGCCCGGGCCCCCCCTTTTGTGGGAAAAATTTGGTTGATTATATAGGGAATCACTGAAGCATGACTGGAGCGGGCCCCCTCTTAGGCAGTCAGTGGGCCCCCACTTATGAAAATTTCTGGATCCGCCACTGCTTTTAACAATTAGTACTTCAACCAGCTCATACCCATTTATATAGCATTGTTATGTATCATTTAATTAGATTAATCGTAAACTTAATGATCATTTTGTATTTTATAGTTGAAGTTGTCTGAGACATGTATAAGTATGGAATACACCATATTAAATCTCTTTGATTGTGAAGTAACATTAAAAATAAGAAGATGTGGTATGATTGCCAATGAGACAACTCTTCACAAGAGACCAAATGACACAGAAATATATAAGAAATATAGGTCACCGTACGGCCTTCTAAAAGGCCCCGAAATGACAAATGTAAAACTATTCAAACGAGAAAGATACATGTAACGGCCTGATTTATGTACAAAATAATGAATGAAAAAACAAATATGATATACAGCAACAAACGATAACCACTGAATTACAGGCAAGTTCATCAGTTTTCCCTTGTTGGCAAATGAGAACATACTGCACTTCATCTTCAGATCAAAATTTGAATTTTGCAATTTATATTTCAGATATTTAAAAGATAATAATGAGACTACATTAATGAATTTTCTTGAGTTTTCCTTGTTGAACATTGCTTTCGGTGAAAACAGTGGTTGTAAAAGTATACCTCAATTAACAGACTTTGATATTCAAAGTGTAGCATTTAATATGAGGCAGGTGTTACCTGTGAATGAGGATGAAGTCTGTATAAATTTATTTTTTGAATTCAAGCATATTTTAACTCATGAACTCCAGAATTGTTGAAAAAGTAACGGAAATGCAGAAACGTTTCTGATGTTGGTCTTGTTGTTCTGAATTTTTTTTGTGACATCATTTTCAATGTAAACAAAGAAACACTATCATCAGGTAACTTTTTTTTCATGTCAAAGAATTATCAAAATAAAGTTGTTATAATTTATATCTTTAACCGACGAAGATACCAAATCATCTTGTTATTCTTATCAGATACTGAAATCTGACTGATTGATCAGGCGAGTCTCAAGAGAACACATTTTGTTTGCTATAAATTCGTATGTTGAATAAGCTCCAGACTCATTTTAAAATGTTAGGAATTTATTTTAATTGTTTAACTGGCAGTATTCTTTCGGTAAATAAAAACAACAAATTTGCAGGAAACAATATGATGCTCCTTCCTATATTTTACTCAAACTCCTTTGACAAACAAGACCTGAAGAAAGAGAGAGATTTCTTCGCAAATGCGAGAAACTAAAAAAGTTAGTAAAAAAAGTTAACGATTTTGAGTTCATTAGTATACATGTATTGATTTTTTTTTTTTATTTTATTTTATTTTCTTACTGTAATTCGGGATAATTGGGTCTATTATCCACTAATGATCACTAATTAGTATATTTTATAATCAAAATTTCAGAATTCTAAAAAGATTTACTTACACAGACCCTGAAATTGTTATTCCTTTAGAGTTAAGACCCTAGCAAATTTATATTGAATCATAATAGTTAAAAAGTATGAATAAAAAGAGATGCTGGGCATGAAGATTCTGTTTAAACCATACATTCTTTAATGATAGATTTTGATGAACAAAATGCCTACATGTATAGCAAGCTCTATATCAACCAATGTATAATGACTAAGTTCTGAATGAATACAACAGAGATGTCCAAATTACAGAAACCATTGATTTCTGTAAAACTTCATGAAGGCACAGCAACAACCTGGCTTGAGACAGGTACACACTAAAATTTTGCAGGGTTTTAATACTGAACCCTCTCCATAATGAACAAGATCAGACAGTAAAAAAGAAAAAAAGAATGAGAACTTATGATCTTTTTATTTTATTTTTTGTTTCTGAATTAACAAAATAAATGATGAGTAGTCCAAAATATACTGATAAATCAACAAATTAAACTTTTTCCATATTTATTTTTTTAGTGGGAGTCCAGAAATTACTTTATACTTTATTTAAGATTGAGTGTTCAGAACTAACAAAGTATTTTGTATTTTTTAGGAAATGGAATTTTAAAAACGCCAGAAGTTATTGAGGCTATGAAACAAGTGGATAGAGGAAGCTTTGCTAAGTATAATGCATATGCAGATTCCCCTCAATCCATTGGATATGCAGTTACCATTAGTGCCCCTCATATGGTAAATACTATAAGTTCGCTAAGTCAAATTACCTGCCCTTGGTTGACAAGTAGTTATGGTGGTACACTATGTAGTCACTTTGTGTAAGTATTTTATTTTATTCACAAAAAAATTGAGATGGGTATGTACATGTAAGTGTTATTAGTTTACAACACACACATATGTTTTCTTTTCTCCAATCATCTCCAATATTAATATCTTCCTACAAAATTAACATAAGGGAAGACCACACCGAATTTAATCTTTATTATTTGGATATGAAAAAAATCTGTATTAAACCTTCATTTATATTCCAATCTTTACTTTACAGATAGATGTACAAAGGTTTCCAAAATTTCACCATATGGTTTTGAAGCATGCAGTCACAAGTATTGCATGATTGTAGTTAATCTCTGAATTCTTATGGATTTATACAGATTAATAAAGTAAAAATTGACCTACATTTCAGCATGCTCATGCCTTAGAGTTACTAGCAAATCACTTGACAGAAGGGAAAAGGGCGTTAGACGTAGGATCAGGGAGTGGTTATTTAACAGCTTGTATGGCTATAATGGTAAGTTTTAGGGTAAAGATCAAAACCAATATCTTCCCAGGTTGACCACTACCTTTGATAGTTCAAACAAAATAGTGCAGTGAAATGATCATTATTTAGATCCTATATCCAATCAATGTAATGCAATTAATTGATGATATGTTATACTTTGATATTTAAGTTCCAGTATGATGTGTATTTGAATTACCATACTAATTAAAAATTACGTAAGTAATGCATTGTGTATGAATCTGGAGACCTTGAATCTGTTATAAAAAATAGGCTTAACTACATATGTACAATCATGAACAAAGGAAGATAACTCCAACTCAAATTTTCAACTTGCCTAGCAAAATACAATTTCAATATTTTATTTTAAAATTCTCAAAATTTGCAAGATTTACCCTTCAATGCTCACAAGCACTTTGATTATCTTATTTGGCTGATGGTCATATATCTGTGGTGTATGTTCTTTTCACATTTTAATCTTCCTCTGGGGAACCTGTGAACAGAGTAGTACAAAACTGTGCAGGAATGTTCTTGACAATATCCTTTTGTACTGATTCTTCAACAAAAAAATGGCTGCCTCTGCCTATTCTTGTTTCTGATTGGCTAGACTTTGAACTACAGCTGCTTTGTTATACCTTTTATTTGAGAAAAAATGGTATTCTACATTTTTACCTTTGCAAGGTGAGCAGTGATTCAAGCTCTGGAGCCTCTAGTTAAAAAAAAACAGTATTTTGATGTGGCATACGGTTCTCGCCACTAAAATACCAGCAATTAATTAACATATAAATGCCAGTTCACCAGTAATAAGACGTTGCCCTATAATGGTGACCTTGAGTATCAGGATAATAAGAAGCACTTAAAAACTAACATTTTCTGTGATTCACTTAGATAGGGAAAGTGTTAAGATGCCATTAGGAGGCCAACAATCATTCAATTTTAGCTACATGAGCTAGTAATTTTTAGAAATCTGACAATATTTTTCTCCACTCAACTATATATTTGTCATTTTAGCTTGGAGAAAATGGGAAAGCTGTTGGCATTGATCATATTCCAGAACTAGTGGATGAGTCCATTAAAAATATGAAGAAAAATACAATAACAAAACAACTGATGGAATCTGGTAGGATGGTTTTAGTGGCTGGAGATGGTAGAAAAGGCTACCCTCCTGAGGCCCCATACGATGCCATCCATGTTGGAGCAGCAGCTCCACATTTACCAGAGGCTGTAAGTTGATATCATAGAAATGAGGTTTATTAAGGGAAATATATGAGTAGGGCCTGGAAGACATTCACTGCGTCCTTCTACCAAAATGCTCTTGTTATTAAAAGATTTCTATGGGTGAGAAACACATCTTAACAAAAGATTATGTTGGTCCATGCATGTGACCATTTTAGTCTGAAGCAAAAACTATCATAAGTTAGCCTTAATTATGAATTTCATCATTACAGTACACTTTTTTTTTCAACATATTTATCGACAAATGTTTATGAAAACTAATGAACTTACATTTCACAGAATTTTTTGGCCAATGTTGCCCCTCTGTGAAACTACCGGTACTCCTTTGTAGTAACTACATTGTACATCATGGGTTTAGTTGATCATCTTATGAACAGGAGATTTTTTCAAGTATTCTTGCTCTTAATGTCTTGTATCAATAAAAATGGAAAAACCATTACACCAATCAGGCGAAGTAATTGAAAATTGTAGAGTATTATGGATTGTGTATGCATCATGAGACATTTGTGATATAGAAAATTAATGAAATGAAAAATATATGTAACATAAATCATAAGAAATTACAAATATTTCTGAGATAGTTAGTGCAAATTTCATGAAAGTGGGAGAAGAAATTTGTTTTAATTTATCGGTTTGAATAAAAGGAATAAAAAGTTAGTTTTGTTCACATGCTGTACTTACTTATAAGATATAAACTTTGTACTTTCAGCTTGTTGAGCAGCTGAAGCCTGGTGGAAGATTAATTGTCCCAGTTGGTCCACAAGGAGAACACCAACATCTGTTACAAGTGGATAAGAATGAAGACGGAACCATTACCAAGCAGAATCTTATGGGTGTTATCTATGTTCCGTTAACAAGCAAAGACAAACAGTGGCCAAGGTTTAAATAATATGCATGTTGGATCTTCCTTCTGTTACATGTGGTTATTATTCTTTTGGTGCTTAGTTATTCCATCATTCCATTTCGTTTGACTGCTTGTTTACGTACTGCATATCTTCATTGCATTAAAAATGGTTCTATTTATGATTATGCTGTAGGAAAAACCTTTTGAAGAACATGTGTGTATCCTATTTTGCCAAAACTGATAGTTGTATTGAACAATTTTATTTTGAAAAATAGCAAGGATGACTTGTTTTCATTTTCATGATAAATTTTAGATGAAATACCAATTAAAAATATTCAAAATTATAGATGTGACCATTTTTTCTTGTCAGAATCGTGTGTTTGTGTCATAATCATATCCTTAATATCCCTACAATTACACATGGTGGTGGTTTAATAGGAAATGATTAATGTATAATTTCTTATCATTTAGCAATGCAAAATGTTTGTATTTCACAAACCACATATTTTTTTTGAAATATGAGGATGGAAATCATTTACTGTGGATTCATTTATTTTCGTGGGTACCAAATTTCGTGGATTGAGGAAAAATTGCAGTTTTGTGGATATTTGATTTCGTGGTTTTGCAAATGTCTGCATTCAAAGCAATAGACCTTTTGTAATTCGTTGAACATTTAAATTTGTGGTTCACCTTTTCCAACGAAACCCACGAAAATAGGTATCAAACGAATAATAATGAATCCACAGTATTTAATATTTTTTATTCACAGGAAAAAACGACATATTTCAAAAGTCAAATCATAACATATTTATCATATCAAGTAAAGTACAACCTTCTGACTATCCTTCAACAATTGTCCACAACAAGTTGTTGCTCAATGTTGAATACTAACTGATAATACTGACATTTGGGTTCCTTCAGAATTTGATTTGTTTTTGATGATTTAAATGTTTGAGCAATTGAATTTAGATTATTTAGAACCTCTCAGATACATGAACTAGGATTTACAAATTTGCATGTAAATTATGAGTGGAACCAGGAAGTTGATGTCACATCAACTTGAAACTTAGTACACAACAATGACAAGGTTTTTTTTTTTAACGTCCTTGACTACCCATGAGGGTCTTGCACGGTCGGCTCTTAGTACTTATGTTTTTTGTAAACTTTTATATATGCCACAGTTTTGACTCTTGATTTCCCCATTCACTGATCATAGAAAAGTGATAGTGTGAAAGCAGTACATTCTTAGGTTAAAGGCTAAAGGACTGTGAATCAAATTTTATTTGACCTTATTGTTTTGCATGTTTTAAATACTATTGTTATTAAGTTATTTTTAAAGTAAACATAGTATGTATCATGATTTCTCATTTCACTCATAACTTACATACAATCAAAAGCAAAATCATGCTAACTTAACTGGATTTCCAAGTAAAATTCTGGTCATTTATCCTGTTTTGTATTTCAAATATTGAAAGTTAAATTTTAGCATACATTGTACATACAAATATAGCTCTTGAATTGCTATTGTAGAAACAACTACAGTTAAAAGCTGTGTGAAAGACTGTTTTGATATAGATTTAGATTCCACTTTCCAATTTTTTGAAGGAGGAGGGGGGTTGGAAGAGCACACAAAATAAAATATTATGTGAATCATATTTAACCACACAAGAAACACATTTCATGACTTGTAATCTTTTCATTTGTTTTATTTAGCAGCAGTAAAGATGAATTGTAGCTGCTGACAACATTATCTTCCAGAAAACAAGTGCTATCTATGTAAGCTGTATCCAATGATTCCCTGACACTTTTTCGTTCAGACATTTATACAAATACTCAACATAAGGTATCATTCACAAGTTATGAAGTTCACAAGAAGAATGTTATTTACAGTGAAGCCAGCTTAGATGAAACCAATTTGAACTGTGGTTAGACAGGTGTTACACAGGTTAAATCACAAAGGAATTTTTACTATGTCCTTATTCAGTTTACACATGTTTCCAATTTATGCAATGTTCAGTTCAGACAATATCCACTGTTTTCATTTGAAAAAATCCTTAATATGGTATTGATATTTGTTTCTCTAAAACTAAATGTTCTCAGAGTATTTTTTTCTGTATTTCTAGTAGAAACAGGGGGAAAAATTAAACAAATAATTTTTATACGCCCGTCAAAATTTTGACGGGACGTATTATGGTATTCAAATGTTCGGCGTCCGTCTGTCTGTCCGTCCGTCTGTCTGGCGTCCACATGTCGCACCCTTACTTGAGAATGACTTATCCAAATTTCATGAAACTTAAAATAGTTGTTTCTTTTGATGGCCAAACAATCTGTATACTTTTTGGTGCAAATAAGATTAAAACTTTTTGAGTTAAGGGACTTTGTAACTAAAACGGGGGTGTTTTTTCAAATGTCGCGCTGTATCTCAAAAACGATTTATGATTATTGCTTAAAATTTTACACACTTCTTAGTTATATTAATCTTAAGATCTGTATACTTTTTGGTGATGATTCAAAATTTTATTTGAGAGTTATTGAGTTTTTTGTTAAAAAGGGGGGGGGGGAGGTTTCACATGTCGCACCGTATCTAAAAAACAATTTATGATTATTGCTTAAAACTTTACACACTTCTTAATTATATTAATCTAAAGATCTGTATACTTTTTGGTGATGATTCAAAATTTTATTTTAGAGTTATTGATATTTTTATTAAAAAAAGGGGGGGTTTTCACATGTCGCGTCGTATCTCAGAAACGATTTATGAATATTGCATAAAACCTCACACACAAGACGATGGGCGTATCATGCGCTCTAGGCGCAGCTGTTTATTTGGTATTTCAGTTCAAATCATTTAAATAGTCTCAAACAATACAAGTTTGATCAAAATTGTAAACTTTAATAATGTGTCTACAATATTTTTGTTTGTTATGACAGAAATAAACATGCCATTATTGCAGTGTCTATTCATTTTGACATTTTTGTTTTCATTAATATCAGTTTTACTCTATTAAAAGGTTGAAGTGGTGTTCTGTGTTTTTTTTTTCATATATTGCAAATTTTACAATAAAATGAGCTTAAAATAAACACCCTGTGCAAATGTGTAAATTTGATATGAAAACATAGTGTACATTTGAATAACTAGCATATGTGTTTATGTATTTATTGTTATGGCCAGTTGATGTGAACTTGTGTGTCAATTTTTTGTTCCACGCTACGTTATGCCCTTTGGAAATATTAATTATATGGAAAATTGCATTGTAAGTACTTTTAAGCCTACATTTCTTCAAGATATTTAAAAATAGTTTTGAAGAGCACACCCATTTCTTTTTCTTTTTTCCCATGGACAGATAAAACATGAGCAAAGCTGGGGACATTGGAACTGTGTTCTTTTATTTCCATTGCATTATGGTTTGAAATTAACAAAAAAGTAAGTTACATTTATTCGGAGAATTAAACTGATAAAAAGTTATTTGGGGAATCAGTTTATACCATTTGAAATGTCAAACTAAGGGGGCAAATTTTTTCTCACTCTGACAGAAAGAAAGTTACATATTCTAATTTCACATTAATAATTTAAATTTCTGGGTCAATTAAATGACCTGGATGTGATTTTGTTTGTATCTGTTTGTATTGTAAGTTTTTGAAAGTTCTTTATCAATTAAATGTTATTCATTTTAATAGTTTGCACTGCATGGCAGAAAAGACAATATATAACATAAAATATGTAAATATTTTGTACATTACTCAATTGTACTGTTTTTGTTTGCCTTTATGCTTTAGAAATGTATATGATTACATGTAGAATACTTCATGAATAATTTATTAATTGTATACTGTGATACATGAATAATTCATTAATTGTATACTGTGATACATGAATAATTCATTAATTGTATACTGTGATACATGAATAATTCATTAATTGTATACTGTGATACATGAATAATTCATTAATTGCATACATGAATATTTATTACTAGTAATTGTATACATATGAATATTGTATCACATGCATAATAAGAAAAGTATTTAGGAAGACAAATCCTTAATGTTATTTGCCAGTAAAACTTTTGTGAACTTATGAAGAAAAAACATCAGCATTACTTGTTAGTAAATCTTTCTTGAACATGAATAGGTAGAAAAAAATTTATTAAATATTCTGTTATTATTTTAGTTGTGAAAAAAGGTTAGCCAGACAAAAAGTTTTTAGTTAAGAGAAAAGTATGTCTCATGAATATGAAGATATTTCTGCACATGACTGCTCGTGAGAAAGCTTTATTTAAATGATTACTTGTCAGAGGGATGAATAATTTCTAGAGTGGCATCAATTCAATTTGTAGTCTCAGTTGTAAAAAGTGCTATAAGTATCCACAATATCAGTATTTAAATGTGTAATCTTATTACCAATCCCCAGCTGTAAAAAAAGTGCTATAAGATACTATGACCGGTGATTTGGTTTTATTTGATGACAAAATATTCCATAGGATGAAATTTATTTGAGAAATGCTGGTGTTAGATATTTAGAATGGCTATATGGTTATAAAATTAATTGCTTAAAACTTTTAACATTTTATGGACTATTGTGTAGTCTTTAAAATGTAACTGTTGTATTATTTAGGAATGTTATTGAAATAAATATTTAATGCTTAATATTTGCCTGATTATTTTATGAAGTTGCTTAGAAGGAGAGTATTTCAGCTCACCTGTGTTAAGGACTTAGTAGGTTTTCAACCCGAAGAACAAATGTTAGGTCAACAGTTGACATCTTAAGCCATCACTTTGCATCTGTCTGAAGCGCTTCACTTTTATATTTTCTGAAACAATTGGCTAATTATGAAATTACTTGACAGGAATGGTGTAAGAAGGTTCTCTACAATGATCCTCATATATCAAATATAGTTATCATATTACTCATAATAAGAGATTTCACATGACAAAAGAAAATTTCAAGCAGTAGCTGAACCATGAAAATGAGGTCAAGGGCAATGGACATATAACAAATGAAAATTTTGTAACATAAAGTTTCTGCAGACAAGGTATGAAGCATCCAGGTCTTCAACCTTTTGAAATATAAAGCTTTATACAAAAAGTTTACACCACTGCCAGATAGTAATCCTAGGTCTTGTGGCGAGACAATAATGTATGAAGATTTTGTCACATTTTGCTCAGTAACTATGATTCAGAGTACCCTGAAATTTGTTACCAGGCTTCAAGTTTTCTCATTTGAATTGTTGAACATTTGTCATTTTGGGGCCACTTTTAGCTTTCTATGCAGTATGGGTTTTGCTCATTGTTGAAGGCTGTACAGTGATCTATAGTTAACTTTTATTATCATTTGCTCTCTGGTGTAGAGTTATCTCATTTGCAATCGTAACACATCTTCACATCAATTGCTCATCAACATCCTGTTTAAAGAATACTTTTAGTGGTGGTATCATTAGTAAGCAAGAGCTCAGTTCAACTTGTTTAATTTATATGTTGGATAGACTCAAAACATTTGCCCTGCAACAAGCCCCTTATACATCCCTTTGAGTTGCTGCAAGGGATCTTTATCTTAGAGTTTGGCACTCCCTAAAACAGGCACAAAAATTTAACATCCCCATTGCCACTATGTAATTGTGTAATTATACATCCTGCACAGCCAAACAGATGCCCCACTTAGTAGGGGTTTTACTGCTGGATGGAAGAAGTCTGGGGTTGAGCGAATTTCTATACTCTAAGTACACTTGATCAGTGACCACACCACCACATGTAGTCATATTTTGGAGGGGGAGGGAGTCTTCTCAGTATCCAAACCTTGATGATGTTACAGTAGAAGTGCATGAACTCACTTAAAGCCATGAATGGAGCCATCTATTGCAAAAATTTCCCATTTTCTGCTGTAAAATAGCTGCTGACATTTATTCCTATTCTACTTAATTCCAGCAAAACTGTATTTTGTATAAATCTTGTAAGCATGATGAAAATTCATATCCACTTGGTTGAAGTGAAGGTAACACATCACTAGCTTTATGGTAGTCCTCAACTTTTGTTGGATGATGGTAGTGTGAGATTATCTGTGTTAGAGCAATGTGAGTGTAATCAAGTGTTCTTGAATTTATGATAGTGTCAACTTTTGTTGATTGGTGAGAATGTTTTCTACTTTTGTTGAAGTTATGACAGTGTCAACTTGTGTTATTTGATGAGAATGTAATAAACTTTTGTTGAAGTTATGACAGTGTCAACTTGTGTTAATTGATGAGATTGTAACAAACTTTTGTTGAAGTTATGATAGTGTAAACTTTCGTTGATTGGTGGGAATGTTTTCAACTTTTGTTGAAGTTATGACAGTGTCAACTTTTGGTGATTATTAAGAATTTTATCAACTGCTCTTGAATTTATGATAGTGTCAACTTTTGGTGATTATTAAGAATGTAATCAACTGCTCTTGAATTTATGATCGTGTCAACTTTAGTTGATTGATAAATGAGATCAAATTTTGTTGGGTGAGGGTAGTTTCATCATCTATTGTAGAATAATTCTAAGTAATCAGCTTCTATCTGATGCCATCAGGTCAAAGCACCGATGATCTGTCTGAGATATCATACACCATTCTTTTTTAATAACAACACAAGCACAACTTTTCTATCAAAATTTATTTAATAAACAATCTAACATAAACAATGTATAAAATACAACAGAAACATGCTAACATATCTCTTCGGAATGTTCCTCCTTTGGAATTCTTTTACATTGGCTCAAAAATAAACTCCTCCTATGGAATTCTGTACATAAGCTCAAAAATAAACTATGTACATTTAATGTATAAGAAAAATATCAAGTGGATTTCTTCAAATCGTTTTCTTCCTTTTTTATTTCAGAAGAAAGTGGAATGATAAAGAAAAAATATCACTTTTTACCCTTTAAATGAAACATGTTTTCTTCCAATATTAAACAGAAATTTTCCACTTCTGTCATGTTTTGATTTAACTATAGAAAATTACAAAACATATAAACATACAAAGTTTGGTGGGATAAAGTTTGAAAATGAATCAGATCTACCAAGCCTGAGATTATTTATAAAATGAAAAAATAAGAGAAGCCTGTCTTTTACAAAAAACCCCAACTTAATTACAAATCTGGTTAATAGTTGGTAACAATTTTTTATAAAGCAACAATTCTAATCTCTATAAACTTTGGGTGAAAAAATTTGTCTTAACACTGATTAATTGGAACACAATCAAATAAATGATATTTCAATATATATCTATGTTACAATTGAATTGAGATATTTCTGCATTCCTTAATACACATAGATTTTTCACACAAATCTTCAAATTAATAATGGATCAGTGAAATATTGTTACTAACAAGAAGTATAAAACTCATATCATTGAGATTGATGTTGAAACTTCAAGACAATATGTATCACCATCATCAATATTAAAAAGTCCTGTAAACTAAATGTAATAATTAAGGTAGATCTGGTGTCTTCAGCTATCTTGGATTGTAAAATAGTAGAACACAAGTGGTCTAGATCTTTAATTAAAAGTACAAATTTTGTGAAAAGAATGTAATTCATTTGTTAGACTTTTCATCTATATAGCATTTTGGCAAATTATTGAAAAATGCTATTGATTTTAATTTAGACCCCTCATCTATCTTAAACCAGCAAATGAGTCCAATTACTTTTGTACTGAAAAGCATAAAAATGCATGTTGCTAAGGTTATTCATGGAGACAAACATTTGTAGGATTTTCTAAAAGAAAGTGAAAAGATGTCATGAACAATCCACATCTAATATTTTGATATTAAAAATAATATTTCCTTTACATTATTTCAATATAGAAAAAATATGTCTAAAATAGTTTGAGAACTTTTCTTCTTTCAGTGAATTTGAACTTTTCATTATAAACTTCAGAAAGACATTATCACAGGATTCTTCATTCTAAAGCATCACTCTCCCCCTTTAAATTGCAAACTGTAATCACACTTCTCTTAGACTAATGGAATTAATAAAGCATTGTTACAAGTATAACAATAAACTATAAACTAAACTAAATGTTACTTATTATATATATAATAAATGAAATAAATTTATGAATGGATAAACTTAACATATAAAAGAAAGAATACACAACCACTTATATGATATTACAAGGCTTACAGAAATTGGCCTCAATAAAATTTCAACAGGAACATATATATCAGTTACCTTCCAAGCTGGTTATAAAGGCTAAATACTCAATGTCAAAATTCACTGGTTTCTTCAAAACTTTCATATATACTAAAAAAAATATTTCTCAGTATAAAATTTTCAATCTTCCCATTTTATGATATTTTAAAATATCTTTAATTTAAGGTGCAATTACTTTTGGGTCATCTTGACCTGGTGGAGATGAGCATGTAGAAACGCTTCATCAACCTTTCATGCATATAAACCTCATATATCTCTATTCTTCGTGGAGACCTTAATAAGTTTGAGAGATTCACCATCGATAATTAAAAGCCTTCGATCTAAACCATTAGATTGTCTTTTTTTCAAAACCTGGTTTGAACACAATCATCTCTAAACTTAATTTATTTCTCTATAAATAAATGAGCACAACTGCACCTATCAAGATCAAGATGTAATACTCTGGGGTCTTCTGACCAAGCCATTTTTGTAACATTAATAGCATTCACCATTTAATAAACAAAATTCCCCTAATTCCAAAGTAAGAAAATATGTCACAGAAAAAAATTTCATTATGATACATGTACCTGTAAAAATTTTAATAAGGTCAATTTCTAATTCACAGAGTTCATATACAGTGATACCTGTCTTAACCAAACCCAACAGCAATTGATTTTTTTCTTCAAAATTAGATAAACTAATAATAAATTATTATTTTTTTCTTCAAAATTATATAATCTAATAATAAATTATCCCAAAAGAATAATCATTGTATGTTATGACACTGGGTGATAATTCAAACAGTTTTCAAATTTCATAGGGTTCTATTTTGACAGGTCTCACTGTAACTCTGAGGAAAAGTACACAATAGTACATCACAAACATTGCATATAAATATATTTTACTACAATTTTACACATATTGCACATGTTCACAACTCCATTAACATTTAATACCCATGATTTTTGGTACATTTAACATCTTTTTTTAAAACAGGTATAATATACAATGTCCAGAGAATATCCAACAATTTTTGTTTGTATTGTTTCAATGGCTGTTTTCATAACAATTTTTTATTCTATTTTTTAACTTCACCAGTTTGAACTGTGAACAAATAGTGTGTGCACTGCCTATATTTTCTGAAATAGGCTGTTTGCAGACATTTTCATTCATTTGTTTAGTTTTCAATGTATGCCTGTAAAACTTGTTCTTGTAACCATAGAACTTGCAAGCTGTAAAACCAAATATTCATTCATAGAATTTTGCATATTTAGGTAAACAAGCATTCTGAGAGTATTGCATGGCAATAAATAGTTCCCTACCGGTTAAAAATTAATTGTACTGCAACAAAATGCTAACTTGATCTATAACTTGTCATGGTGTAAACTATATAACAAACATCAAGTCAATATCTTCAAGCATGACGAAAAAAAAGTGTGGAAAACTGATTAAGTGAATTTTCTAAGTCAAAGGACCATAACTCTGCACAAAATCATCAGACCGAAACAAAATTTGAACTTGGTCTGTAACTTGTCATGATAAAACTATATACCAATTATCATATCAATATCTTCAAGCATGACGAAAAAAAGTGTGGAAAACTGATTATTTGAGTGAATTTTCTAAGTCCAAGGACCATAACTCTGCACAAAATCATCAGACCAGAACAAAATTTGAACTGGATCTGTAACTTGTCATGATTAAACAATATACCAAATATCAAATAAATATCTTTAAGCCCGAAGACAAAAAGTGTGGAAAACTGATTTCCCGGACTGACGGATGGACTGACAGACAGACAGACGGAGTGCAAACTCAAGTCTCTTTCGACTTCGTCAGTAGGGGACTAAAAATAATTCATGGATTAGGTATTAAATAAAGAAACATATCCATTGCACTTACTACACACTTAAATAGCTAAGCTGTTATACATGAACACTGCCAAGAAAAATAAGGTTTTCATGCTAGGTAATATTAGACAGTGTATTTAATCTTATCTCTAATTGTGCAAAGACATTCACTTAAAAAGTGTAAGAACCTTACTCAAAAACTTTTAACATATCCACTAACTCGCTATCATAAGGCAAATATTACTTTGATTATAGTCAATATATACAAGAAACTATACTATTTAAGAAAAATGATGTGATTGTACAAGAAAGATAGACATAAAAGAATAATAGTAAAGAAAACCAGCACTTCTCACTCTCAGAGATCAAAGTGCATTTAGTTATACATTTCTTATCAAACTAGCACAAGCATGCTATTCTAGTTCTTCTTAAAACATATTTATTACTCTGTATGGTGCTTTACAACCAATATCAAATGAGTGTTAACAAAAGTTGTTCTATAAAGTATAATTCTAAAAATATCAAGTCTTGAAACAAAACTGCACCAGAGAAACTCAAGTAAATCTCCTATAGAGAGTTGTTTCACATTTGGAAATAAATATTTCAATACCTGACAAATTTAAAATGCTCTAGGTTAAATTCAAAATGAACTGACCAGTTGTTAAAAAAAGTTAACACATGTCTCAGTTTGGTTGTAAAATGTACTGAATTTACAAGTCATCAAAACATCTGTTAATAACTTTAGGTCTGACTTTGTACTGAATTTATAAATCAGTGTACACATCATATTAACTTTTTGCCATGAATAAAGCAGTTCAAACATTTATTTGTCTTTTAAATGACACTGATTTAGAAACACAAACTTTTGCATCAAATGTGAAGATCTTATACTCAAACAGATATTGTTCTATTTCAACAACATTCTTGACTTGTTTTTTTATTACCTCATTGGTGAATTTTAACATGAAATTCAAATGTCAGCAAACAGACAATACACAGTTAAGTCAAATTTGCCTAAATCATTAAACTTGTGACCTAATATCTTTCTGGTAACTGACTGATGATTCAGTAATAAAAAAAAATATAGCTTCCTACTGACAAATATTTATATCAGTAAATTTGTTAGAACAAAGAGAATTTTTTCGATTCCCCTTTTTACAATTTTTTTCATTCAAATCATTTTAAGGATCCAAAATTTTAACAACATATTTGACCAAATTTCTAGTAAAACATCTGGCAATATGGAATATCTGTTTTCACTGTTGAAAAGATATGATTACTATAAAACTGGGACAGGAAAGTGAGACAAAAAGTACAATCCTTTCAAAGAATCTTTTACATTTTTGGATATATATAAAACCCTGACCCTGTATAAGCATGATAAGCAATAAACATTTCACAGATACATGCCATTTATCAAGTAATCGGCTTCATTGGAATGCAAACTTTTTCCACGTCTGATTCTTCGCTTAACTGTCCGTAATCGACAGCCAACAAATATAAGTAACATTAGACAAATACCAAGTCCTAATGCCAGGGCCACGATTGGGCCTTGATTATTGTCTGTTGGACTTTTTATTACAACTTTTTTAGGTCCTTCCAAGCCCACTTTTTTCTCTGTATCTGTTGGTTCTTTAGGAGTTTCAGACGTAGTTGTAGTAGAATTTTTTGCATATTCAGGTCTATCAGTCGGTTTCTGTTTTACTGGTTCTTTTTCCTCTGAATCAGCTTTGATCTGTTGATCTTTATCTTCATCCTTATCATCTATAAAATAAATCAATTATATATTATCTGTGCATCACAATATTGCTTTGTCAATCTCATTTCAGTTTCTCATCTTTCAAAATGACAATAAAATGCTTCGCTGGTGCGCAGCTTGATACGACCGCAGAGGTCGAACCCTGAACAGTTAGGGCAAGTATGGACACAACATTCAAGCTTGATACAGCTCTGAATTTGGATTGTTATTAAATATTTGACACAGCATAGGTTTCTGACACAGAAAGAATGTGGTCTAAGAACTTGAATTTTTTTAATTTACCTATTATGGTCCAATGTCCAAAATCAAAATACATGGTTAGATTCAGCATATCAAAGAACCCCATATATTCAATTTTTGTTAAAATCAAACAAAGTTTAATTTTGGACCCCAACTTGGACAAACTTGAAAACTGGGCCCATAATCAAAAATCTAAACACATGTTTAGATTCAGCATATCAAAGAACCCCAAGAATTCAATTTTTGCTAAAATAAAACTAAGTTTAATTTTGGACCCTTTGGACCTTAATGTAGACCAATTTAAAAAACGGGACTTAAAATTAAAAATCTAAATACACGGTTAGATTTGGAATATCAAAGAACCCCAATAATTCAATTTTTGATGAAATCAAACAAAGTTTAATTTTGGACCCTTTTGACCTCAATATGAACCAATTTGATAGCGGGGCCCACAAATAAAAAATCTAAATTCATGGTTAGATTCAGCATATCAAAGAACCCCATATATTCAATTTTTGTTGAAATCAAAAAAAGTTTAATTTTGGACCCCAACTTGGACCAACTTGAAAACTGGGCCCATAATCAAAAATCTAAACACATGTTTAGATTCAGCATATCAAAGAACCCCAAGAATTCAATTTTTGTTAAAATCAAACTAAGTTTAATTTTGGACCCTTTGCACCTCAATGAAGACCAATTTAAAAAACAGGACCCAAATTAAAAATCTAAAAACACGGTTAGATTTGGCATATCAAAGAACCCCAATAATTCAATTTTCGATGAAATCAAACAAAGTTTAATTTTGGACCCTTTTGACCTCAATATGAACCAATTTGATAGCGGGGCCTATAAATATAAAATCTAAATACATGGTTAGATTCAGCATATCAAAGAACCTCATATATTCAATTTTTGTTGAAATCAAACAAAGTTTAATTTTGGACCCCAATTTGGACCAACTTGAAAACTGGGCCCATAATCAAAAATCTAAATACATGTTTAGATTCAGCATATCAAAGAACCCCATATATTCAATTTTTGTTGAAATCAAACAAAGTTTAAATACTGGACCCTATCTTGGACCAACTTGAAAACTGGGCCCATAATCAAAAATCTAAACACATGTTTAGATTCAGCAAATCAAAGAACCCCAAGAATTCAATTTTTGTCAAAATCAAACTAAGTTTAATTTTGGACCCTTTGGACCTCAATGTAGACCAATTTAAAAAACAGGACCCAAATTTAAAAACCTAAATACACGGTTAGATTTGGAATATCAAAGAACCCCAATAATTCAATTTTAGATGAAATCAAACAAAGTTTAATTTTGGACCCTTTTGACCTCAATATGAACCAATTAGATAACGGGGTCCACAAATAAAAAATCTAAATACATGGTTAGATTCAGCATATCAAAGAACCCCATATATTCAATTTTTGTTGAAATCAAACAAAGTTTAATTTTGGACCCCAATTTGGACCAACTTGAAAACTGGGCCAAAAATCAAAAATCTAAATACATGTTTAGATTCAGCATATCAAAGAACCTCATATATTCAATTTTTGCTAAAATCAAACAAAGTTTAATTTTGGACCCTTTGGACATTAATGTAGACCAATTTGAAAACTGGACCCAAAATTAAAAATCTAAATACACTGTTAGATTCAGCATAACAAATAAATAAATGTGATCAAAGATTTTACAAATCTAATGCGCCATACTGTGCAATTAAAGATTACTTCTTGAAATTTTTCAATATTTGAAATTTGAAAAAAAAATAATATTTGAAGAATAATTCTTTTTAATTTCTGAAATCTGAAATGAGAAAAAATTGGCCCCCCACAATTTCTTTTTATCCCCCCCCCCCTTTTTCCCCCAAAAAAATTCTTTCCCTCAAGATATGGTCATAATCTTAATTCAAATTTCCAATGGAGTTGGCAACCATAATTACCCATTTAAATTTACCATAGTGCTAACTCAATCTATTATATAATAGAATTAATAAAAATATAGTGTCAAATCTTTCATATGGATTTTTTTGTAAAAAAAAAAGATGAAAACATTTGCAGATATTTTTACTGGTCTTCCTTTATAAATATGCATTTCTTTAAACATAATTTAAAAGCAGTGTAAGGGAAGTAACCAAAACGTTGTATTTGGATTACCTCCCTTACACTGTTTTAGATTTTCTTTATTGTTCATTAACCATTACTTTATACATAATTTAAAAGCAGTGTAAGGGTGATAATTTCAATGATGTATTTGATTTATCTCCCTTACACTGCTTTAAATTATGTTTTGTACTAAAGTATTTGTCCATTAACCAGGACAACCTTGTTTTTCCCCCTTTTTTGCCCCTAATTCCTAAACGGTTTGAGCCATAACCCCCCAAAGCAAATCCTAACCATCCCTTTGTGGTATGGAAACTTGTAGTATAATTTCAGAGAGATCCATACACCGTTCCACAGTTATTGTCTGGAAACTAGAAAATGCTCATTTTTGGCCCCTTTTTGGCCCCTAATTCCTTAACTGTTGGTACCATAACCCCCAAAATCAATCCCAACCTTCCTTTTGTGGTATTTAACCTTATGGTCAAATTTCAAAAAGATCCATTCACTTAAACTAAAGTTAGAGTGCGAAAACCAATATGTATTCGGACGACAACGCCGGACGACGACGACGCCGGACGACGACGACGACGACGACGACGACGCCAACGTCATACCAATATACGACCACAAAATTTTTTTGCGGTCGTATAAAAACCATTTTTCAAAAGGAAAATTGTAGAATTTGTGGACTTGTGTGAATAAAACCCCAAAACTCAGAAACGGTAAATCTGAAATTTATAAAAAACGAAAGGGAGCTCATGTCAATAGATATAAACAATTCACCAAAGTTTCTTGCATATTGATTAAAGCTTTTTTGAGTTAATGTCCGACATGTTGACGACGGACGGACAGACAGACAGACGGTCAACGGTATACCATAATACGTACCGTAAATGGGCATATAAAAAATCAATCTTTCTAAAACAAACAAAAAATTGTGAGTTCTGTTCTATTTGGAGAAGCTTGCATTACTTAGTCACACAGCATATTGCCATGACAGCCAAATAATACATACAATATGATGAATGTGTTTGAAATAGAATGTAAAAAAAAAATAAATGGGGAATGTGTCCATGGGTCACAGATGATGCCCTCGCTTGCATATAACGTTATAAATGGACATAACTTAAGAACGGTAAAAGTGACACTACCCAAATTTGTACTTGATCTGAGTTTTGTTGTAATAAGCATTGTGTATAAATTTCATAATATTTGCTTGAGGCAAACTTAAGTTAGAAAACAATAAAATGCTCCGCTGGGCGCAGCTTGATACGACCGCAGAGGTCGAACCCTGAACAGTTGGGGCAAGTATGGACACAACATTCAAGCTTGATACAGCACTGAATTTGGATTGTGATTAAATATTTGACACAGCATAGGTTTCTGACACAGAATGAATGTCGTCTAAGAACTTAAAATTTTTTAATTTACCTATTCAAACCATATCATTATTATTTGCTTTTATATATAAATCAGAAATAACCAATTTGAAATGGAAAATTTTAAAGAAAAAAAAAATCCCTCCCCCAAATTTTTTGAACCCCCTTATTATTCATCACCCCAAACTTAATCCCAGCCTTCCCTTTGTGGAATGGTACCTTGCAGTACAATTTAAGAGAGATCCATACACTTGAACACAAGTTATTGTCTGGAAACTAGAAAAATGCTTGTTTTTAGGCCCCTTTTTGGCCCCAAATTCCTAAACGTATAGGGCAATTACCCCCAAACTCAAACCCAGCTTTCCCTTTGTGATATGGAACCTAGTAGTACAATTTCAAAGAGATCCATACACTTACACACAAGTTATTGTCTGGAAACTAGAAAAATGCTTGTTTTTTGCCCCTAATTCCTAAAATTTTGAGGCAATTACACCCAAAATCAATCCTAACATTCCCTTTGTGATATGGAACCTTGTGGTACAATGTCAGAGAGATCCATGTTGACGACAGACGGACGGACAGACAGACTGTCAACGGTATACCATAATACGTACCGTAAATGGGCATATAAAAAATCAATCTTTCTAAAACAAACAAAAAATTGTGAGTTCTGTTCTATTTGGAGAAGCTTGCATTACTTAGTCACACAGCATATTGCCATGACAGCCAAATAATACATACAATATGATGAATGTGTTTGAAATAGAATGTAAAAAAAAAATAAATGGGGAATGTGTCCATGGGACACAGATGATGCCCTCGCTTGCATATAACGTTATAAATGGACATAACTTAAGAACGGTAAAAGTGACACTACCCAAATTTGTACTTGATCTGAGTTTTGTTGTAATAAGCATTGTGTATAAATTTCATAATATTTGCTTGAGGCAAACTTAAGTTAGAAAACAATAAAATGCTCCGCTGGGCGCAGCTTGATACGACCGCAGAGGTCGAACCCTGAACAGTTGGGGCAAGTATGGACACAACATTCAAGCTTGATACAGCACTGAATTTGGATTGTGATTAAATATTTGACACAGCATAGGTTTCTGACACAGAATGAATGTCGTCTTAAGAACTTAAAATTTTTTAATTTACCTATTCAAACCATATCATTATTATTTGCTTTTATATATAAATCAGAAATAACCAATTTGAAATGGAAAATTTTAAAGAAAAAAAAAATCCCTCCCCCAAATTTTTTGAACCCCCTTATTATTCATCACCCCAAACTTAATCCCAGCCTTCCCTTTGTGGAATGGTACCTTGCAGTACAATTTAAGAGAGATCCATACACTTGAACACAAGTTATTGTCTGGAAACTAGAAAAATGCTTGTTTTTAGGCCCCTTTTTGGCCCCAAATTCCTAAACGTATAGGGCAATTACCCCCAAATTCAAACCCAGCTTTCCCTTTGTGATATGGAACCTAGTAGTACAATTTCAAAGAGATCCATACACTTACACACAAGTTATTGTCTGGAAACTAGAAAAATGCTTGTTTTTTGCCCCTTTTTTTGCCCCTAATTCCTAAAATTTTGAGGCAATTACCCCAAAAATCAATCCTAACATTCCCTTTGTGATATGGAACCTTGTGGTACAATGTCAGAGAGATCCATGTTGACGACGGACGGACGGAAAGACAGACTGTCAACGGTATACCATAATACATCCCGTAAATGGGCATATAAAAAATCAATCTTTCTTAAACAAACAAAAAATTGTGAGTTCTGTTCTATTTGGAGAAGCTTGCATTACTTAGTCACACAGCATATTGCCATGTCAGCCAAATTTCACTAACACACAAGTTATGTCTGGGAGTTACAAAAATGCTTATTTTTTGGCCCCTAATTCCTTAACTGTTGGTACCATAACCCCCAAAATCAATCCCAACCTTCCTTTTGTGGTATTGAACCTCATGGTAAAATTTCATAGAGATCCATTCACTTAAACTAAAGTTAGAGTGCGAAAACCATTGTGTCTTTCGGACGACGACGATGCCAACGTCATACCAATATACGACCGCAAAAAAAAAAACCGAAAAATTGCTGAAAAATTCAGCAATTTTTCCATTTGTAAAGGGGCTTAACTCAATAACAGTAAAAGTGAAGCCACCAAAATTCAAACTTGATCTGTGTTTTGTGGTAACTAGATATCATTGAGATGGGAGTCATCTCTGTGGGCCCCGCTGTGAATAATGTGTGGTAAAAAATTTGTATCTTTATCATTGGACATGGGGTTGTCAACTGAAACCAAAGTTTTTTACCTTGACCTTTGACCTAGGAAGTTGTACATACATTATGACACACCCTCTGGTGTTGGATTATATACATGTCAAGTATAAATTTTGAAATCATAACGGTTCTCAAGATATAGAGCAGACACAATCTTTACCATAGGACATGGGGTTGTCAACTAAAACCAAAGTTTTTGACCTTGACCTTTGACCTAGGAAGTTGTACATACATTATGACACACCCTCTTGTGTTGGTTAATATACATATCAAGTATAAACCTTGAAATCATAACGGTTCTCTAGATATAGAGCGGACACAATTTGTTACAGACAGACGGACGGACTGACTGATCACTATAGGGCGTCCGCCATTTGGCAGGGCCCTAAAAAGCATTGCACATAAGTTTCATAACATTTATTTGAGGCAAACTAAAGTTAGAGAACGGAAACGAAAAATTCAGCAATTTTTCCATTTTAAAAGGGACATAACTCTAGAATGGTAAAAGTGACACTACCCAAAATTCAAACTTGATCTGTGTTTTGTGGTAATAAGCATTGTGTTTAAGTTTCATAGCATTTGGTTGAAGCAAACTAAAGTTAGAGAACGGAAACATAAATTTCAGCAATTTTTTCCATTTGTAAAGGGGCACAACTCTAGAATGGTATAAGGGAGGCTACCCAAATTCAAACTTGATCTGTGTTGTGTGGTAATAAGCATTGTGTTTAAGTTTCATAACATTTGGTTGAAGCAAACTAAAGTTAGAGAACAGAAACGAAAATTTCAGCAATTTTTCTATTTGTAAAGGAGCATAACTCTAGAACAGTAAAAGTGACGCCACCAAAATTCAAACTTGATCTGTGTTATGTGGTAATAAGCATTGTGTATAAGTTTCATAACATTTGGTTGAGGCAAACTAAAGTTAGAGAACGGAAACCAATTTTGGGACGTACAAACGTTCGTACAGATGGACAAGGATAAAACTTAATGCCCCCTCCGCTAAGGCGGGGGCATAAATATGGTTTCTCTGTTTGACACAATAGTTAAGCACTTTAGATAGCTATAAATCAAAGATTTCTGAAATGAAGCCCTACAAAATGCTGAGCATGAAGATTTTAATTTGAACTGTATATCAATATTTCAGTTATAATTGAAAAAGGAAAGAAAACTATTCACAACTTTTTTTAGACTGGGTGATGTAGAGCTCGACATATTAGTACAAACATATTTTTATTGTTAAAAACCCAATATTGTCCTGTAAATATGTATAAAAGTAGATATGGGATATGTGTCATTGAGACAGTAACCCAAAAACAAAAGCTCTAAATCATAGAGACTATAAAAATTTAGAACAAATTAAAAAGAAACAATCTTTCATTTGCAATCAGCACAAAATTCTCTGATAACCAAAATAAACAAAACAAATTTCTTCAGTTTTATAGTGTTGTTTCTTTGATGTCTCATTGATGTATACCCTACATCTCCTGTTGTTTTATACATAATAAGAAAAAGTGCAATAACAACATATACTGTTTTAAGTACATACCTGTCTCTAGTGGTATATCTTTATCAGATTCTTCTGATTTGTCTTCATCTGGCTGTTCAACCACTGGTTTAGGTGGGGCTGGAGTGTTTACTGTAAAGAAACAATGCACTGAATGATAAAAAGTTTTAAACTTATACTCTGACTTATAAAACATATTTTGTACAACAAATACTACTAAAAAAACTTTTAACTAGACTATTCTCTTTGTCGATGTAATGACTTAAAGGTCAAATGCAACAGTTCCATGTGTAAAGTTTTAAAAAAAATTACACTTGTTAAAAAGTTAAGATAAGTTGATTTCAACTGAACAATTAAGAGTACCAGTAAGATTTTACCATCTTTTTCAAAATATTTTTTGGTTATTCATTGTAAAGTATTTTAAAAAAGACTATTAGAATTGCAATATTTTGAATGGAAATAAACTTTCATTCATACATGTAATAGAAAAAACACACTACTGAATCTAGATGCCTTAAAGTAATTGTGGACATGTTTAGTTCAAACTGGTCTGGTGTTTTCACTAGATATATTTTAATTGATTGTTGGTGTTAAAACATCAGATTCAACAAACATGGCTATATCATGGCATCAAGTTTTTAATGGTGGAGGATGCCAGAGTATACTGCCGTACGGTGACCTATAGTTGTTAATTTCTGTGTCATTTGGTCTCTTGTGGAGAGTTGTCTCATTGGCAATCATACCACATCTTCTTTTTTATATATATGAGTCAAGTAAGATTGGTTTGCCAAGAGAGGAGTTAGAACTTACAACCTTAGTTGATAGGCTGGTGATCAGGGAAGATGAAATACTCAGACCACTCAGGTCACCTAGGACTTTTTTTTATTGAAAAAGTGAATGAACATTCATATAACAGATATTAACTTTTTAACATGTATAAATCAAGATATATATTTTTCTTGAAAAGGTTTGAATTTTACAGGTAAATAGAATTACAAGTGACTAGCAATATAGATTATCAGAGCATTACCTATTATATGGCTAACAGGTGTCAAAAGTTTAATTACTATAACAACTGTCCCCTAATAAATGTTGACATAACAGGAAAAAAGTCATAAAAGTGATTTCTAAAGATTGTTTTAAACAATGAATTAATTCCTGGCTATTCAACAGCATGATAAAATTGTTCTAAATGCAGGAAATGTTTTTTTTTAATAAATATATAACATATATATATATAAAACAATTTTTTTAATTTTTTTAATTGCATCTTTCAAAATAACTGTTAAGAAAACCAGATGTTATATAGTCTCTCTTAAGTGACTGACTTCATGGTGTTAATGACTATATCTGTTGTATGATTAAATTAATATTTGATAAATCTTCATTAAACCATGTTCATGAACTAATTAATTGTGACTTTTTGTCCTATTACAATGTAGTAAATAAGTGACTTTCTGCCTTGTGACTATATCTATCCATTTACCAAGTAATTCACTAATTGACCTGAGGTAGGGACTAGTTTTATAGTAAAGTCCTATCAAAATTTCAATTGCCCAGTATTTGCCAGTATTGACCAGTATTTGCCAGTATTTCCCGGTATTAACCGCCGGCATGGTCAATACTAGTATTGACCGCTTTTTTGCCAACCTTGATATTAAGTGACTGTCACAGCTCACAATGGCTCGTGTGACCAGGAGAGCTTCAATAATTTATTATACATGTATTATAATTACATGTGTATGAATCCATACAAACCTTTGTCTTCATGATTTTCATCTTTGTCATTTGACTGTTTATCTGCAAAAATGATAAAACAATTATACAATCACTTCCTTTAAAGTTACAATTAATTCAATAAATGTTTTATAATGGAAATAGACTCATATAAATTGACTTCTAATTAATAATTTGCACATTTACTTCTTAATCAAATAATTACAACTGTAGAACTGCATATATTTTACTATCAACAAAATTACTAATTTAGCCTGTTAGAACAGTACAAAGGTGGGATAATGTTTGGAAGTCACTGATTAATATACATAGCATATCCAACAATATGTGCAACATTTAAAATCATCCCACTCAAACATGTGTAGTAAACTGTTTGTGTTTGAACAAAATTTTCTGCAAGTTAGATACTAACAGAGAAATATTAAATACTTTCCATACATATTTCAAGATATTCAATGCATGTGTAACACACTATGGTAATTTCAAATCGTTTTTTCAGTTCCAATTTTTTGTGTCATCTTATCAGCATTAATAACCAGCCAAATTCAATCACATTTAAACATTAAAATAACATTACAATTTACTGGCAATCAACATTTACTGTTAAAATAATCCAATGGTGTAATGGTATTTAGTAACCTGTGCAGAGATGTGTTGTAATCTACAGTGATTTTTGTTAAAAGAACCATTAGAATATCTAAAGTTCAGAATTCAGAATCTCATGAAAGCTGGGTAATATTTTTAAAAGCAAATCATAGAACACAAAGATGTCAGAATTATGATTAACTCTAGAGCAATCGATATTTAATGAATGGCCTGAAGTTATTTATGTGTTGGTGTACATGTACACACAATTTTACTTTATTACCCATATCTCTACAGATTATGAAACAGTGAATTAAGAAGAATTATTGTAGTTCAGAATGTGAATGTTATCTTATTGAAGTAGAACATTTTATTATACCGCACGAATGCGGCCATAGTATACCCTTATGTTTATGATGTTTTGTCTTTCCAGAACCTGAAATTCAAAGACATTTATACCTATTTAAAATAAAATTGAATTGCAAAGAATTAATAATAATACCAGCTTAAAATATGCTAAAAATAACATCTGAAAATAAAAAATCTGTTACTTTAAACTACTGCAACTATTTTATGATACAATATATGCAGTTTGTAATCCTAACACATACAACAATAAAGATCTGCGCCATGAGCACATGATACGCCTGTCGCATATCAAAGAATAAACTTCCATAACTTCTCAATGTCATATCAGAAATTTATAAAAAACTAAAGGGAGGTTATTTTAATAGAATTAAACCAGTCACCAAAGCTTCATAAAAAATGCTCAAAGCACTTTGAGTTATTGTACAAAAACTGGAAAATCCCCCCTTTTTTATTAATAAAATCCCATAACTCTGAACCGTAAAATCTAAAATTTATGAAAATCAAAAGGGTGCTTACATCAATAGATATAAACAATCCACCAAAGTTTCACGAAAACTACTCAAAGTATTTTTGAGTTATTGTTTGAAAAACTGGGAAACCTCCCTTTTTTAATGAATAAAACCTCATGACTAGGAAACATAAAATCTAAAATTTATAAAAATTGAAAGGGAGCTCACAGCAATAGATATAAACAATTCACTAAAGTTTCATGAAAATTGGTTCAAGCGTTTTTGAGTTATTGTCCGAAAACTAGAAAATCCCCTTTTTTAATGAATAAAACCCCATAACTCAGAAACGTAAAATCTAAAATTTATAAAAATCGAAAGGGAGCTCATGTCAATACATATAAACAATTCACCAAAGTTTCATGCAAATAGTTCAAAGCGTTTTTGAGTTATTGTCCGACATGTTGACGACAGACAGACGGACAGACAACAGTATACCATTATACGTCCTGTAAACGGGCGTGTAAAAATCATATAAGTGTTGACCAATTTCTTGCAAATGTTCAATTCTTGTTTAATCTTATGAAACACTGTTTTAAAAAATTTCAGTGGTTGAAACCAAAATTTCTCGTGGAACTTGGGTAAAACTTTGGTAAAGTTAACTAAATCAAGCTGTACCACTCGAGTTATTTTGATTTGAATTATTCAGTATCAAATGTTTAAATAGCTATTTGTAAAATTATAGTTGGTCGACTGACTAGATGCAAATAAAAATTATTTAACACTTATATGAGTATTGGTGTATGAAGACAATTCAAGTGTGAACATCAACACAAACAAAACACACACACATACACAACACAAAGAAACCAAGGTATTTAGGTAAATAAATGTAAAAAGGTAGAAGTAACTCTAAAAATCATTATCAGTGAAGAAAAAAAGACAAGCAAATTTTCCTGCTTTAAGTCTAACTTTTTTGCCCTTTGGATTCTTCACTGTTAGGAAAACATCTGCAAACTTTTGAACTTTCCTACAGTAGAGCTTATTTATTTTGAAATTAACAAGAAAGTGTGCACGGAATGTTAGGAGGTTATGAATCAAGCCTGATCTTCTATACAACTGGAAGAAACACTACTTTAAGGAAGTCAAACAAAGTGTATACCATCAAAGAAAGAAAAAGACTGATATAGGTAAAAACAAAAACAACAACAAAATAAAGAGATGCTTAACAGCTAAAACAGGTGAAAATAAAATTATATGCATACTGCAATGTACAACATCCAGGCAACATTTTGGTGCTGTTTGACAGTTTTACGACATCTATGTGCTAAGGTACAACATTGAACTACCTGGTGCAAATATATTCTCATAGTAATCCTTGCCTGGTCTATGATTCTGTTGTTGGCGGTATTCAGAATAATCAGAGCCATCATCATAATACTCTGGCCAATTATTGTATCTCGTGTTGTCATCATAATCTGAATATTTTCCTTTCTGTCTAAATCTGTATGGATATCTATTACGAAAATTTTCATTTCCGGAGTTATCTACCTTAGTTTTGTAATGCTTGTCGTCATGGGAAACTGGGGGATTCCTGTTGTTATGTGATTCCTTGTAATTCCTGTTGTCTTCTGAGTCTTTGTAATGTTTGTTGTTGTCATCTGAATCCTCAAAATGTTTGTTGTTACCTGAATCTTCAAAATGTTTGTTATTACCTGAATCTTCAAAATGTTTGTTATCATCTGAATTTTGGTAAGGCCTGTTGTCATCTGAACCCTTAAAATGTTGTTGACCATTTTGAGATTTATGTCTATTAGATTTCTGTTGTTTTTGCTGACGATTATTTTTATAATAGCTATCATCATTTCCTGACCAACCTGGATAATAGTTTTCATCAATGTATGCATTGTTTTCATTCATGGCTGATTTTCTAGTTGTCATGACAACAGGTGGAGCAGAAGTTGTTGTTGTCGTGGTTGTTGTAGTAGTAGTAGTAGAGGGATGTGTTGTTTTAATAGTTGTAGTTGGCTGAGGTACAGGCTGTTTATTTACATTTGTCTTATTATTTCTCCTACCTTCATGTGGCAGTCTAGGGTATCCATTTGGAGGGAGATTGTTATATTTAGGATATACATTCAGATCACCATACAAAGGTTTGACAGAGTCTGGATAATTTTGATTCATATCATTCCCGGCATTTTTATCATATTCTTGGTTCAAAGGATATTTCTGCAAAGGCACATTTTGGTTTGGTCCATATGCACCGTAAAATTTTGAATTGACATTTGAATTATCACTCTTTAGTCCAGGATTGAATGGGTTGTTGTATTTCTGTCCTCCATATCCAAGAGGATTTAAATATCCTTGACCTAATTGCTGACCTTGGAATTGTGGGTAATCTGAGTAGGGTGACTGGTACTGTTGTGGGTTATTTAACAATCCCTGCTGTTGTGGCCAATAGAAATCCTGCATTTGTTGGGGCAGCAAGGGGTTATTGTTTCCATACAAGTTTGGATTAACAAATCCAGTTTTATCTGGTACCGGTCCATAAAACTGGTTCCCAGAAACTTTATCACTGTTTGTCAGTAATGGTGACTGGTTCTTAGGCACAGGATTTTGTATGGCTTTACTTGCTACTCTATTAGAAAGGCTAGGTAAATCCCTATTTTCTGCAATTGTCCTTTGATTTCCTTTCACTTCAGTTTTACTTCCTACATTTTCTAATGAATTCAAATTAAGTTACAGTTAAAGATATTATGATGTGAACAACTTTCAGCACACAATGAAAATGAATAATATTATGTGTAATACATCTTTGATGCAAAATAACACAATTTATTAGTAATCTGTTAACAGTTTTCTCTACTGGTAGATATCTGAACCATATACCTTTAGTGCAATATTACGAAATGCTGATTTTCAGAACCTTTGCATGCCATAGAATCATGAAAAGGATTAAATTTACAAAATAATCATATGTACACAGGAAGGTGAATACACTTGTAACTTTTGGCCAAACCATTAAAAAAGACAAAGAATTCCACAGTATTCTATAACATGTATAATATAGTTTACCATCTATTAAACATTGTTTTTTTTGCATTTCTTGTTTGACCTTAGACTTATTTCCGATGAGAGATTGCAAGTATAGAAAAGACAAAAAGTCTATCAGTTAAATTGAATAAGTCTAATATAACAGCTTTTCACTTATTTTGTTTTGAACAGATGACTTTAATTGTGAATAAATGCAATGATAGTTATTCTTTAAAACATGGATTTGTCATAGCAAAAACTACTGCCATTAGCAGACTGATCACTTACAATATAATTATCTATATACATATAGTCATGAGAGATAATGGACTATGCAGAAGTATTAAACCTACCTTTAGATTTTTAGGACAGTTTGCTCCATCACAGCCATCAACACACTTACAATATACTTATCGATATAGTCATGAGAGATAATTGACTAAAAGGGGAAGTAACCAACCTTAGGACAATTTTCTTCATTACTGCCATCAGCATACCAATCACTAACAATATACTTATCAGTAGTCACGAAAGATAATTATTTATAAGGGGAGGTAACCTACCTTCATATTTTTTAGGGCACTTCTCTTCATCACTACCATCAGCACATTGTGGAACTCCATCACATCTATGTTTACTATCTATACAATCAGGTACATCAATATTTTGTCCTTTATTTTTACATTGAAATTCTTCATCACTACAAACTTCTCCTGAAATAAATGTCCTCATGGTTAAAATTTAATATTGATAAAAAATATCTGGTGTGTCTAATACTATGAACAACAGTGGTCTCATCAGCATTTTCAAAAAACACAATGTGATTTGTAATAACATTGAGATAGCACCATGGTGCTTAAAGGTCATGGAGGCAGAATGTACAAATGTAACTCAACATGTCACACAAAAATCAGAGTTATTTTAATATAATTTTTAATCCACAGGCGTATATACATATTAATGTATATATGCATCATGTGATACAGCAAAAGTCTGTCAAACAGTCCAATAAAATTTGTTGTTTAATTATAGTATCATCTGTGCAGACATTTTGAAAATGAAATCCTGTTCTAGTACACGAATAGACATTCTGCATTTAAACTGGCACACTGTTCACACACATATTGTAACCTAAATGTTAAAAACATCTTACATGTGTGTGTTGTCTGTGTTTGTTTGGTGTCATATACCAAGTTTTGAATTCAAGAAAAATATTGCACAATAAAACCATTGTATTGAAACTCAAACTAGTTACCGGTTAGTAGGCATAGTACAATGTGACTTTAAATAAAATTTGATAACTAAACAGTGACCTATCGTTTTTGACTTCTATGTCATTTGGTCTCTGGTTGAGAGTTGTCTCATTGGCAATTATACCACATCTTCTTATTTTTATATTTTCTAATTTTGTGTAAAGATAAAATCAAAACTCATATCAATAAATTTAAATCACCTTTAAAAAAATAATTATTATTGTAAAAACCTCTCTTAAAATTCAAATTACAAACATCCATTATGTCTCAGTTATCATTATATATAGATTAAGAAATATTGTAACAATATTGAAAAATACCTATCGGATCCCAAAGTAAGGATTACTTACTACAAATAGCATAGATGGCATGGTAACCTTTTTTACATTTACATTGTTCATCACGACATTCTGCATTTCTATCAACACACTGTTCATCCCAATCTATATCACAATCTCCATACAATGGCACTGAAAATAATTCATTTGATATGTGAATTGAAGCAGCACCATGGTGTTATAAGGCCTCTGTAAGAGAGCAACCATTTAACTTCAAGGGGGGGTTATGGTTTTTTGTCTGAGTGGGGAAAATTTTTTTTTTTAGTTTTTCGACGCTATCAAATTATTTTTTTTTTCAAAATTTAACACTATTGTTCAAAAATTGCAACAATAAATGCATGCAAAATTTTTTTAATTTTAAAAAAGTTTATGATTTTTGTTTTGTTATTAACCATATGCATGTTACCTTACAAACCAAGAATAAATCACCCCGAGTTTTTGCTAGGGTTCGTGTTGCTCAGTCTTTAGTTTTCTATGTTATGTTTTGTGTACTATTGTTTGTCTGTTGGTCTTTTTCTTTTTTAGCCATGGCATTGTCAATTTATTTTCGACTTATAAGTTTGAATGTCTCTTTGGTATCTTTCGCCCCCCACTTTCATAATGTACTATATCAAGAACAAGAAACTATACTACCGCTTCATAGTGTCAGTTATTAAGGTGAAACGTACATGTATATATGAACTTTCGCTAAGTTAATCAATATAAAAATATTCAATGGTTTGTTATATATACAAAAATTGTTCCTTCCTTCCTTTTAACTTCCTGTTATGTTAGTACATGTAATTGAATTGTTAACTAACTGACTCTTCATCATGTGAGTATTTAAAATAACTTTGTAAATATTTTAGTTATATATAATAATTTCACACAAGTCTTTCAGAGTTCCTTGCCACCTGACGTTAAGCAAATAACAATCAATTGATCTGCCATAATTTACAAATGTAACTGTCCTCTCAACTGGTGCCCTGTTCCCTTTCATTTTCTAGGTAGAGCACTGATAACTGACCTTTCACTATGGCTTGTTAAGGTAATGGTGGGGATGGAGTCGGAGGTTTAGCTTTACCAAGGTTTTATGTGGAAGATAACATACCTTTTAGTCTTTGTGGATAAGGTGTTGGTGTGTGTGTAGCTGGCGGTGGTGGGGATGGAGTCGGAGGTTTTGTTTTACTAAGGTTATATGTGGAAGATAACATACCTTTTAGTCTTTGTGGATAAGGTGTTGGTGTGTGTGTAGCTGGCAGTGGTGGGGATGGAGTCGGAGGTTTTAGTTTTACTAAGGTTTTATGTGGAAGATAACATACCTTTTACTCTTTGTGAATAAGGTGTTGGTGTGTGTGTAGCTGGCGGTGGTGGGGATGGAGTCGGAGGTTTAGCTTTACCAAGGTTTTATGTGGAAGATAACATACCTTTTAGTCTTTGTGGATAAGGTGTTGGTGTGTGGGTAGCTGGCGGTGGTGGGGATGGAGTCGGAGGTTTAGCTTTACCAAGGTTTTCTAATTCATTCTCATGATACTGTTGATGAGCACTTGGCATAAAGTCATTGATTTGGAATGACATCACACTGTAGTTGCCATGATGAGCAAACACACATTTTGATGGTGTACCACAGTCAAAAAGATAGCAGCTGTGTTCTTCCTGAAATATAAATAGACATACATGAGAATACCATTTTTTAAATCATGATCAAACTATAATAATTGACCAATCCAGCATGTCAAATTTAAGAAAATTTCTGTATGGTCTTTAAATTTCTTCACAAAAAAGTTATCTAGAGTGAGGATTTAAACTGGACAACAACTAGCAACTTGAAGGAAGAGAAAAGGGTAATGACAGACGAGTTGGCGACTTATATGCTAAAGTCATCTATTTATAGAGAATGGCAATCCATGTCCTTACACATTTTCCCTGAGTACTAAAATATTCTTTGATTTTACAGGATAGTATTTTCATGTACACTGATTTAGCTCAAAAGGTCTACATAAACAATTAAGTCTGTGGGATCTTTTCACTTGGCTCTCATGTTCAGTTATACATGTAAATGACTTTGGTCATAATCTTGGTGGCGAAATGATGATTGAAGTTGCAATAAAAATTTATAAATCGCTAAACCTTGTCAGCAAATTTAGTGAAATTTGTAGAACATTTGTATACAGCAAATATGACAATTTGATTAATATTGATATTTGACACTTTGTATTGAAATTCACCATTACTCGTGTGTGGGAGTTGGCAAATTTTATTTCTCATAGAAATTTTAATTTTTTTCAAGCAATTTTGAAGCAAATAAAAGCTTTTTCTTCCAATTGAATAATTCATTTAATTTTATCCTTCTATTTTTTTTTATAGAGTAAATAGTTTTTCTGAAAAGAAAAGATCATATATCATACACTAACCAATACAATAAGAAGATAAGATACATTGTAAGATAAGAATTTTATTAATCTAATCAAGAACCCATAAAGAGCATCATTTACAACAATATTAAGCACAATATGATTGGAAAAAAGAAAAACTAGATCCTAATATAATACTATCATATTATGGACAGGATCAGAGCCTAACACATCATGTGTCTTACATAACTATAACAATAATTTCATAATAATTAAATATTATTTTATATATTTTGTATCCACCTGGATCTTATTTCTAAACACTTAATTATATAATTGCCTAGGCACATAAGAGTTGGTAAATGCTCATTTGTGAACAGCCAGAAATATTTTTTATCCTTGGGTAATTCTTTAAAATTATTACAAAAACTGTTTACTTTATCCCATAATAATTTTCTCTGTTCGTTATATAAAGGACAACTTACTGTGAAATGGGTCTCATCTTCAATAGAATTTGATCCATGTGATAGGCAGTGATGACATAGACGCTGACTTCTCTCTATGTATTTTTTACTATATCTATCTTTCTCAATTTTAAGATCATGTGCACTTATTCTCAATTTACATATAGCTCTTCTTATATTAAAATCTTTAATTGATAAATAAGCCTCCTTTACGAAGTCAGTCTTGAGGTTGAAATAATTTTCTAATTTACTATTACCTTGTGATAAGGTATCAGATCTTTTGACCACCCAAAATGTTTTAAAACTGTTACAAAGGTTACATTTTACAAATTTAATTAATTTATTGAGCTTTGTATTCAAATTTTGTATATCAAGTGATTGAAGGACATATATCTCATAGATGAATACCAACAATTAATGTTTCCTGCATCTAAAATTTTATTACAAACATAAGCATCATAAAGTAACCCATCGTCCAATTTGTTAAGCCTGTGTACATATTTTACCATAGATATAATGACAGAAAAATAAAGAGGAAATCTTGCAACCTCTGATAACACTACCAAATTTGAGGCTTTTTTATTTACACCAAGAATATATTTTAGATACCTGAAATGTGATTTTTCCAAATATTCATTTATGTAAATTAATTCAAATAGATAATCACTTTTTTTCTTGCAAGCAGCAGAGTTAATCTTAAAGGTACCCCAGATTTCACTACAATATAATAAAATTGGTTTTATTGTGTGATCATATAAACGGATTGCAGTACAATATATTATGGCATACCAAAGATAAAATGCTTAACAATATCACATACGATTACAGAGAATGTAAATTATTGGCCAAAAATTAAGACAACTTGATAAAGTCTAACATCTCAATATTAGTGACTATAGTGTAAGGAAAAAAGGGTTGTACCTTCGCCTCGTATACTGCTAGGTTACAATTCTGTGTGTAACAACATTTCTTGGCACATTCCTTCGCACTCAAATTAAAAGCATTCTTCAGATAAGCTGCACCATTATCCAGAGACGACTGGGATTTGATTATTACACTTGTATTTAGGTTGTAACTGCATGAATTGCCTGAGCTATCAGACAGAGTTTTAAGGCCATAAGGATTTGTTTCATGATAATTGTGCTCATTTCTATAGTTAGGATAACGACGTTGGTTTTCATTGCGCATGTCTGGTTGTCGGAAATTTTGGTGTCTGTTTTGCAATTGGATTTTCTGTTTCGGCGAACCAACATCATCAACGCCGTCGTCGTTGTTGTCATCGTTTTCTATGGGTATATCATCGTTCTTATTTTGTTCAACACGCTTTTCTATATACTGCCATATGTTCGGGTCGTCAAGAAGTTGGTCCAAATCTTGGAGCTTCTCTTTACTTGCGTGAGCTATGCAAATGAGAGATATAATCCATAAGATTTTAACCATTTTGTGCTTCTACTTCTTGGCCTTGTGTTTATGTGTTGACATCACTTCCGGTTAGTGCGGAAGGATAGCTATAGGGACACAAAAAAAAAGTAGAAAATTACAGATTGTTTCACAAAACGAAACTTCGCGTTAATTCTCAGTGGACCACTTTCTCCAATATCATTGAGTGTCTGAGTATATCTTAGGAAAGCTTAACGGAAGGACAGTCATAATCTTGTTTTAACCACACTATTATATGCATGTCTATGATTTGCCCATTTGACAAGCTTTATTCAGACCAGAGACATGTAATACAATATTATTTGTCTCTGTTCAGGCGAATTGTTATAAAACTTTCTTTTGTTTCTTTAGTACATCCTTCATATTGTCCATTTGACCTGAGCTGTGTAGAAACTGTTGTAAATAGATTCATGAAAATATAAAAAAAAAATATTGATTACACTTGAAATTCAAATCTGTCTTGCCGCTTTACACTTTTCTGTTATAGTAGCATAGCGAATTCACAGGTGTAATTTTACCGGAATGTGAAGAAAATCTTGTTTATAAGTTAAAACTATAAGGGAAACATTTATAGCAAATTGATACAAAATTTAGATCTATTTTGACTTGATTACTCGTCTCTGAGACTACTATATTACTGTGTTATAGTAGTCTCAGCGGCTCGTCTGCATGCATGGGTATAAGCACTGCGAATTCAGAGGTGTCACATTTAACTGAAATACGTAGAAGCTCTTGTAAACAAATTTCAATTGTATAAAGAAAATACAAATAACAATTTAATATTTTAGATCGATCTTGACTCTCATTTATACTCGTCTGTTATAAGAATAGATGTATTTTTACGGAAATGTGTAGAAGCTCTTGTAAACAATTGACAATGTTAAGGAATTCGTAAACAAGGATTTGTATAGTAAATTAAATCCTTGATATAAATAAGGCAGTGTCTGCGCGTACCCGCATGCGGGTACGAATAGTCAAATTGCCATTCATAGGCTACGCGTACCCACATCCGGTTTTATAATAAAATGCCATCGGATTGGGAATGAAACGTGAAATATATACGGAATTTGTCGCAATTAGTGAATAAATTGATTAAAACTACTTAGAATTTTTATAAATATTTATATATAGGTAAGTGAACAGTTTTTCTCAGTAAATAAATATTCTTAAAATGGAAGAGAGTGATATACACGTGGGGAAGACGAAAGAAGAGAACATGCCAAGAAATTGCCTCCGTTGAAATTTTGCAAACATCCCATAGAGCAAATTACATGGATGATTAATATTAACCATTTGGTATATGGCCGTGTTCTAAGCGACACGTACTTGCAGGTCATAAATTAATTTGTTGAATGAAATCAAATCTTTAAATACTAATAGGTGCCGTAGGAGGTCCACCGGAATTTTTAGCGAGGATTTCTTGGCATGTAACAGATAGAAAACTCAGGATTACAATTTATAGAACAGACAAGGGGCAGTGGCAAATATTTCGTGTATATTATGAACACAGAGAAGATTACCCCGGCACCCTTTGCAAAAAAAAAATCCTTCTTTTTCTTCTATGTGCCTTCGGACTTTATGTTTTGAACTGTAGTTTCACTTTCCATATTCGGTATTCATTCTAATGTAAGCTCCACGTGGCAAAAATCACGTGATGCAGGAATGTAGTATCTTGGAGTTAGGCTATTTCTTTCTTTTCGGGCGGGGACTCCAAGCAGACAACATGCATTTATATAACGGCACTGTAGATTTTCTTATTAAATAAAGAAAGTTCCCGGTCCGGTACACGAATAGATTGGTTAGAAAGCAAGGTTTTAATTTTAATTAGATTGAAAAGCCTTTAAGTTATTTGGGTGTTGAAATTGGAGAGCACCAAACAAAGAAAAAGGGGGGGGGGGGGGTTGTTCCACAGGGAATAGTTTTATCTTATGAACTCAACATTCGAAAGTTTTTTTTTTATTTAATTAAAAGAGAGAAAAACAAATGTAAGACAAATTGTGAATGGTCTTTTGTTTCTTTATCCCGTGATGGAATCTCGCATATATCTGGTTTACCGTCAAACCGAGCACATGTCTTTTGGTTATTTCTGTCACCAGGTGGCTGTCTCATTGACGTTTACCCCATATTTTTTCATTGAAGCACAATGCCCACGTACATTGTATATGTTTTAGAACATGAAGTTAAGGTTTCAATCCATGAATAATAAAGTGAAAAAATAGCAAAAAAAGAGACTCAAAGAACTAAATAGAAAAAGACGAAATGATCTGATTTTCAAAAATGACCTGTTTGGTCGCTCGTAATCGATTGTCTACAAATATAGTTCCTATCATTTGAAATGAATGTAAACTTTAATATATGTGGGGTTTTTTTTCATATAAAATTTTATGGTTAAAATTATTAGTTATGTTATTTCTTTTATAGTGGATTTTAAGATATTTTTTATTATGCTTTAGAACATTAGGGCATTGTGGGACTATGTGTCAAAGGTGTATGATTGAGGGGCAACTCGTTCTATAAAAGCCGTGACTGGTCGCATGTGTCTTGTGACATCATTTCATGTCTAAGCAGTCCCAAATAAGTACATTTTTGAGTATACGCCAAGACGAGCATCAGATTTTCAACTTTTGTTTTATTTTGTAGACTGTGTACCTCAAATTTTTTAACTGAAAAAAAAAATGTCTTCATCGGGAACTCTCCAGCTGAAACCTACACTCTTCAGTTTAGCAGGGACAATACTCTGTTTTTTAATTTTGTCATTTTTGCGCATGGGATCGTTAAAGACACTGTCAGTGGTTCAAAGTATTGCTTGTCAAAGACATGTCTACTAAGTTAGCGAATGCTGCATTCGAACAGGGACTGTTCTATTCATTCTCAGAAATTTTGCAATCTTTTGACATAGAAATTACCCTTTTCTGTTTAAAATAGATATTCTACATTATAAGGTGTCGACATTAAGTTAGTAATGGAACTTGATTAACTTTGAAAAGTTTAATTTGTTTTAAGCCTTAAACAAAAGGTTGCCACGTATGTAATATGATGGACACACCAACCTTTAAAGACAGGTCCCTTTAATGTTGCCTTATCCTCGGAAATCTTAAATATCTGCTCAATACTTATTGCTTTCCCCTAAAGTAGCTGACAAATATTTAAAATTGTTCTGCTTTAAAATTCATCTATTCTCCTAGTTATTCAAAATTATTAGAGGTTAAGCTTTTTCATGTCCAACGGCACATATTACAGTGTTATCCGGATTCACCATTATACGATGCGGGAAAATTGCTATTGTCAAATTCAATTTAAAAAAAATAGATTCGTGTTTAAAAAAACTACGAGATGTGTTTGAAACGTCTAAGATGTACAGTGATTGATGTATTCATTGTTGGTCTTTAACGCCACTTTTATCATTATTTGCTATTTCATGGTGACCAGCTTTTTTTTGTGTGTAGAAAGCTGGGACGCCCGGAGAGAACCACTGACCTTCGGCAAGGAAACTGTCAATCCTAGTCAATTAAGATTGGAGTCGAACCAAGCTACCACGTGTAGGGTTCGAACTCTGAGATAAGCAATGAAGCAGTAATTTTCACTAATGAAAGAAATTTGTTTCTCACTTTATCCAGTTTTCGTTTGATATATAGTTTTATTTTCTATTATTCAAGTTGAAGAAGCCAAGACGTTTTAAAAATGAATTGAAGAAAAAAAGGTAGCCAAGTGCATAGTTCTTTCAAACATATTCTTTTATCGCTGAGATGCTGTCTCGTCACGAGTCATGCGAATGGATATGTATCAAATGTAAAAAAAAACCTACACGATCAGGACTCTTTGGCCTGTGATTGTTGTTTGGACTGGCAACATTTGAAATGTGCAGGGTTGAAATATGTGCCAAAACAATCATATTGGATATGTAAATTTTGTTCCAAATCTTAATTAGTTTCATGAATCTTTTATAATTGGTTTAATTTGACATTATTACTTGCTTCTTTAATTTTTATATAGACACCCAAGCTTTAATTTAAGTCGTTTTAAGAAGATATTTTAAAATTTCAGTTTTACTAAATTTTACTAAAAGATTATTTTTAAATCTCATATGGGTATTTTTCAAAATCAGTTAAATTTTATTCTTTAAATTTGCATTTACATTTTATAATAGTATGAATTTTTATCATGTTTTACTATTACAGGGACTGTACAGTTTCATTTTCCATCAGTGTGCATTTAATTTGCAATGTTTATCATGTATCATTATATATCTAATAAATACAATTTGAAAATATTATTTTTCATACTCTTCACTCGTTCTACACGAAATCCCCATATTATCGATAATTTTCGTATATATTTCACGTTTCATTCCCGATCCAATGGCATTTTATTATAAAACCGGATGTGGGTACGCGTAGCCTATGAATGGCAATTTGACTATTCGTACCCGCATGCGGGTACGCGCAGACACTGCCTATAAATAACTCTTTGATTAACAATTCAGATTCATCTTGCTTTGCTCATACTCATCTGTTATAAGCATAGCGAATTCACAGATGTAATTTAAAATAAATTGATATGAGTAATAAAGCATATTGGGAAGTGTGTCACGTGAACAATACTCGTCTATCAAGTTTTGATATGGAACCGCTTATCATGTCCTAATGTAACTCATGGGGAACCAGAAAATGTAATCTTATGAAAATGGGCACGCTCTACAGAGAGTCAAATTGTAAACAAGCATATCAATGCCACTACCCAGCTTAAAGCCTCTTCCGAACATTTGAATGTCCCGACTATGTACTGGTTACCTAAATTACACAAACAACCATTTAAATTTCGTTTCATCTCCGCATCTAGTAAGTATTCTTCTACTTATCTGTCAGTGCCTCCCTTACTACTATCAAAGAACTTATTATTAACTTTGTAATAAAGTTTGTGAAAATAATGGTATTAATTATTTTTGGAGTGTTAAACATTCTTTAGAGGTTATAGATAAAATACGTGCATTTGATGGCCCTTTTAATTCTGTTGACAGTTATGATTTTTCTACTCTCTACACTACACTTCCACACAATCTTATCAAGAAAAAGTTTCAGATTTAATTAAATGGTCTTTTGAAAAATATCATTTCAAATCTATTTGCTGTGACTCGTTTAAAGCATTTTTCTTTAACGAAAAAGGAAAGTATGCTAGATACACTTACTGGAAATGTGAAGATATTATTGAAGCTTTAAATTTTCTCCTGGACAACATATATGTTCGTTTCGGCGATAAAGAGAATCAACAGGTAGTAGGTATTCCTATGGGCACCAATTGCGTCCCTTTAATAGCAGATTTATTCCTGTATTGCTATAGCCAAACTCAGTAAAGACACGTCATTGTTATATTTGGTTGACACATTCAACAATACCTACCGTTATCTTGATGGTATTTTTTCGTTAAACAATCAAGAGTTTTTCAAATACACAACCGAAATTTACCCAAAGGAACTTACTTTTAATAAATCTAACATAAACAGCAGTAGTTGTCCTTTTCTAGATTTAGACATTTCAATTTCTAAAGGGAAACTCCATACTAAAATTTACGACAAAAGAGACGATTTTTCATTCCATATTGCTAATTTTCCTTTTTTAGACGGCGATGTTCCTTTGGCTCCATCATATACGGTGTTTATATATCCCAACTCGTTCGTTATGCCCGTGTGTGTAGTGATGTCATAGATTTTAACGAACGTAATCAGTGCATCACTGGTAAATAATTAAGTCAGTGGTTTCGTTACCATACATTACTTAAAACATTTACTAAATTCTTTCATAGATACAAAGATTTGATTAGTGAATTTGGCTGTACCTGTAGAAAACTTATTACAAACGGTATTTCACATCCTAAATGTTACGGTAATATTGTACTAAAAGCGCGGAAGTCACTATGTGATCCCTGTAAACTCGTCGAACATTTAAACAAACTTATTAGTAAAGGTTATCTTATTAATGTTGTAATAAGATCTTTGAATATGTTTACATTGACAATAACATCGATTTTGTCATCAACAAATTAAAACATAACTAAATTTGTATTCTTTTCAAATGGTTTTTGGGATGTATAAATACACATCCATGTTTATTTTCTATATGGAGATTGCTTTATCTATATATAACATGATACATATTTATTATAATCCTAACGATCTTACTGCCTGTCGATACTTTTATTTTAGCATTGCATATGTCCTGCCTTTGTCCATGGCGTTAAAACACTAAATCCCTGGGACGTGTTTTAATTGATTTTAGTCTCTGATGCATGTTTTTTTAATTGTTAATTGTTTTGGCTTTTAACTAGCTTTCAGCAAGGATTTATATAGTAAGTCTTACTATACAAATCCTTGCTTTCAGTAACTGCGAGTACTCTCAAATCGTACTTTCGTGTTAATTTGACCTGTTGACACAATTTGTAATGCATTTCTGTAATTCAATGTTTACTTATTTTGTGTTATATCTCGTCTCACTATTTTCAATATGTACCACCTTTGATAAGTATTTATAGTATGACGATAAATTTTTTTTATTACTACCTGTAACGTCTATGCTATAAAGGCACCTACTTTTTAATATTGTTTTTATATTTTGTCATAGATCAAACTTATTCGTCCAGTGTATGTTTACTTGTTTTTGTCTAAATGTCTTTTTGATCGAGTTAAGCCATTTCAATTGATATTTTATGGTGTGTCTTTTTATGTTGTAATGTTACACTACTGTCTCAGGTTAGGGTGAAGGTTGACGCCTATTAAAACGTTTAAACCCGCTGCATTTTATGCACCTGTACTAAGTCATGAGCATGTTGTTCCGTGGTTGTCGTTTGTTGGTGTGGTTCATAGGTGTTTCTCGTTTTTCGTTTTTTTATATAGATTAGACCGTTGGTTTTCATGTTGTTAATTGTTTTACACTGGTCATTTTGGGGGCCTTTATAGCTTGCTGTTCAGTGTGAGCCAATGCTTCGTATTGAAGGCCTTACTTTGACCTATAATTGTGAACTTTTTATACATTGTGACTTGGATGGAGAGTTGTCTCATTGGAACTCATACCACATCTTCTTATTTATATGATGTTTATAACGAACCGTTTTGTTTATAGGAATACAAATTTATATATCAATCTGAATGAGAGATGCAGTATGATTGCCAGTGAGATAGAATATCTTTTCTGTGTTTTCCCTTAAAATCAGTTCATTGTCTTTCGCGTACATTTGTATATTCTCACAATCGATTTATTTAATTTGAATTGAAATATCCTTCTTTTCAAATATCCCCTTAGAAATACCACTGACTAACACACTATATAAAAAATGTTGGTATAGCCAATGCAGACAGCACATGAGACAGCACCCCAACGACACACATGCACATACAACTTGCACAAAGGAAATATAGAGGTCAACAAAAGTGTCTTACAAGTTTGTTATCTGGTGGCAGATATTTGATTGGTCAATTTTAGGTGTTCGACACTCATACAAACAGATTCTGGACAATTTATATTTGTACATATAATTGTATAGAAAACTGAATATTGCTTTCTATCTGTATTTTGGTTATCTGTGCATGATGTTGAATGTAGAATGGAAACTGGGAAGGTGTCAAAGAGACAACAACCGGACCTAAGATCAGAAAACACCCCAATGCCTCCAATGGGTCTTCAACGCAGAAAAAATGCCGCACCGGAGACGGGCGGTTTCATCTGGCCCCTAAACAATATTGTATACTAGTTCAGCGAAATGAACGCAACGCTAAAGTCCGAAACATACAAATGAACCAAAATTTAAAATGAAAACAAACAAGGCTTACAAAGACTGGAGGATCATGACTTTGGACAGGCGCAAAATTACGACAGGGTTAAAAATGTTTTATGAGATCTCAACCCTTCCCCTATACTTCTAGTCTATACTTCTTAAACAAACACTCAGCAATATGCACAGTAAAACTCAGTTTAAAAATATCCTCTCCAAATAAAAATTGACAACAAAAAACAATAAGAGAGAAAAAGTAGAAAGAAATAAAATGTGAAATTGAATTAAAGTACATGTATATGAAAATATATACAGTTTCCACAGGACCCGACCTTTCTGCAACTTCATTGACGTTGATTATTTTGTTCCCATTAACATGACTAGTAGGCTAGTCGGATATTCAAAGAAGCCTAAGACTTTTGATCGTTCGTTCGTTCGTTCGTTCGTTTCTGTTTTTTGGTTTTCTTTTTGGCCAAGTTTTGATTTTGTTCAGTGTTGCGTTTGTTGTTTGGTTGCATTCTAATTGATATGAACAAAAGGAGATATAACGGAGGTTAAGGCTAATGAGACAGCAATCATCCCATATAATAAAAACATCACTATTGTCTTCGACTATAGACCACCGTCTACACAACATGCAAGTCAAGCTACTGATTAGTCGTCCGTTGAGGCTAGACAAGTTATCAACAAGTGAGAGACTCAGAGTAAAAATCCGACGTCAATAAAATAATCCCAAAAATAAAAAAACAAAACTAAACAAAAGCTATTAGATATAACAAAACCATCTACTGGAGAGGTTCCTGTCTTTGAATATATGCTAAGAATATATTCATTGGAATAGCAGCATAGTTACATCGGGTAGACGAAGTATTTAAAAAAAAACTTACTGTAGGCATATATGTTTCACGAAAAACTTGTGTGTTTTATAATAAGTATTATTATACCTTACATTATATAGTAATTAATTGATTGGCTAATACGGAATCACGTGTCATAGTTTAATTTCGATGTTTTTCCAAAAATTGGCAGGAGCGATGAATAACCCCATCAAATTGAAGCCTCCATCGAACAACCCTATTATTCCCCGGTGAATAACCCCGAAAAATTGAAGCCTCCATCGAACAATCCTATTATTCCCCGGTGAATAACCTTATCGTACCTCAATGATCACGAGTTAACTCCCTTTAAAGTATGACGTCACTTAACGTCAGATAAACAAAAACAAATATGGCAACGGCCAGGTTAGAGGTCCATCAAATGACGAAGAAACAAGACCAAACAAGACTTGGAAATTCATCTAGTGTCGACGATATCTCTTATAAACGGCCCTTTTCAGGGCAATCTATATTTTACAGAAAGAGTCTACCTTTGTTGTACATACGCGAAATTTCACACAATAGGCACAAAATAGTTTGTTTTGACAATCTGTTACAATATTTTATTGTTATTTGTCCGTTCGGTATAATAAAACAATTATGGCCCATTGAGTCGGTGGATATCCAAAATTGTCAACCCTAGTAAGGGTTATTCCCCTCGGGCTAAAGCCCTCGTGGAATAACCCTTACTCGGGTTGACAATTTTGGATAGACACCTCCTCAGCGGGCCATAATTGTATATTGTATTATGATGTTTATGTATTTTGCCTGACAAGGGTCCTTGATTGGTAAATAAAATCATGTCTAATGTCTATATATACTTAAAGAATTTTAAAAGATTATAAAATAATTGGAACTAATATTATTTTTAACATTTTCTAGGATGCTCTAGGCCTATGTATTTGATAATATAATTATCCACCTAAAAAGTAAAATAACAAAATACCGAACTCCAAGGAAAATCAAAACGGAAATTCCCTTATCAAATGTCAAAATCAAAAGCTCAAACACATCAAACGAATAGAAAACAACTGTCATATTCCTGACTTGGTACATGTTTCGTTTTGTACAACGATTTCACATATTAATTTGCCAAGATAAACACTGCGCAATGATATAGGTGATTTGCCAAAGTAATTCTGATATTACTTCTTATGATAGAGATAAATAGCTAGTTGGTATTCATTTATTCTTATGTGTTGATGGTAGCCACATGTTTAGTTGTACGCATTATACTATTGCATTATATTTGATTTTTACATCGATTTGATTCCAAGGTCTAAAGCTAAAATAAACGGAAAGTCCCGATCGGTAGGATTCCACACTCCTGTGATGGCTACGTACACAACTGCAACTTATCCATCACAAATGGATAATTTTAGATCAAATGGACAGTCTCCAAACTGTGAAACAAAAAGACAGAGTTCCTCAGGATCAGATTCACCGCGGGGGCATGTTGGATTTACAAATCACCGAGATGAAGAAAAAGAAAAACGTCAAAAATATTTAACAGCACGTTACGGACAGCACCAAATGACGTTGATTAGAAAACGTTTAGCAGTTGAAGATTGGTTGTATGAAAAGTTACGAACATTACATGATTGTAAGGTAAGGGTCTTTTTGTTCAGATAAATAAAGTTTTATTGAATGCATGAATATTATTATACAAATAACTGTTAAGCTTAGCAGCAGGTGCCCGTTGCCAGATCTATATATAAATAAGTCTCCATTGTTGCTACCCCCCTTTTTGGTTTGATCTTTAATGGATAAAAAAATGTTATTTTATTTTATCTCATGGATGTATATATTAGAAGTTAAAAGAATTATATAAAAATGGATTTTTAGTGTATTTTTAGCCCCCCCTCGAAATGGCATACATTTATAAAAATATGATATTAAAGCAGAAATTTTCTTTAAAATAATGTTTCATATTGATAAGGGAGATGTTGTTTACATCAAAGAAACAGCAATCCAACAACAAAATAACCTAAAGAATCAAGACAAAAGGCATCATCAAGCTCAATTTTGAAAAAATAGATGCCCTGAAAATGTTCAAGTTTTTATCGGCCACACTACTAAGCATTGTTTTTGTATTTGATTGTGAAATGTGTCTGAATTTTTTTAAATATTTGCAAATTAATTTTCAATGTTAACTAAAAAAAATATGTTTCAACACATTAAAAAATTTCCCCCTTTTTGAATGATTATCTTCAGGTCTTTCTTTAGAGGATTATTTTTCTCATGAAGAGTTGTACCTAACAACAATTGCTTCAATGAATCTTTGATTAGTTTTGGTTGAAAAAGAGGTGTCAATGACCTCATTTAGGCAAGTTGTAATAATTCCTTTTTTAATTATTCCTCTGAGAAAACAGAATCTAATTATCTGCCTGGAAATTGCAATCAAAGGCAAGTATTTTTTAAGGTAGACTTTCTTAAAAGTTGGAGGCACAGTACAGAAGTTTTTTAAATTGTAAACTATCTTGTGAAAGACAGATTTAAACAGTTCCTATGAATTTGCCATTTGACTTAAACAGGTCCTGAGTTTAAGATAAATCACACTTTTTTTTGTATTGGTTATTTTGATTATAAGAATAAATTGATCATCTTTATTTGCTAATGTATCGATTACTCAACATAAATCAGATAACAGGTAAAAGTTGGATTTAAATTTGGCACAATAGATAGGAAATGAGAATATTTTAAAATTTAGATCATTGATCGAAATTTATGTTTCCTGAAATAAAAAAGTAATAAAATCTTATGTACATAACATAAAGGTATTTATTTAAATTTTATATTCCACAAATTCAAATTAAAACCTCACCATTGTTATCTTTATAGCTATCACTGTAAACATGGTAAATCCCAAATGTTCAAGTCATATTAAAAAGTTCATGATAACCAGAAGGATTTGAGGTTAACCAAATCTGGAAATCTTCAAAGGATTGACAGTCAATAAAATAGATCACTTTTTATCGAAACATTTAAGGGGCCAAAAAAAAAGAAGAAAGAAATAGTATATATATCCAAAAGTAATAACATACATGTACATGTACTGATTTATGCAGTCAATTTCTGGTTCCGTTTTGTGGTGGAACTAATTAGCTAGTATTTTTATTCACAAAATAAGCCCTTTACATGTAATAATTTAGTTCAAACAGATTTTGTATGTTGCAATTAAAACAAAATCTTTGGGCTGAATCAAAAGAAGCATTTAGCAAATTAAACATGAATCAAAAAAGGGATTTGCTGTATATATCAATGGGTCAGCAACCCACCAATACGAAAAACCCAAGGCATCAAAAGTTCTAGCAGTATATAAAGTTGTATTTTTAATGGTTCTTTTTCTCTGATCACATATAAATAAAAAGAGATTTTAATAGAAATTTACATCAAGGGCCAGAGATCAGCCTTCATGATGCCCAAACCATATGTATAAATTAAAACGGTTCTTGTGACCTAATATTTTTTTTAATGGACTAAAAAAACATAGATAACAGTAGCCTCAACCAATTCAATGAGTTTTCATTTTCAGTTACCATATTTTGTATATCTCATATTTCTTTTATTCAAATGATCTGATCATTTATATGTACAATGGAATTGTATTGGCTATAGCCATGATAGCAAATATTTACTAGTGGGGCAGGAAGTGAGAACAATATTATTATTATAATTTGAAAAATAACCGCTCACTCTTCCGAAGCAGCTGTGTTGACACCTTTTTTTTTGGGGGGGGGGGGGGGGCTTAAGTTTTGCACAATTTTATTTATTCTGTGTTTTATTTGTGTGGAAAGTTGTTTGACTTTTGGTCATTTTTATCTGGCACAATGCATATGTTAACTGCAGTCTTTAATTGACTAACTGTTTTTTTACTGCCCCTTGGTACAATAGTATCTTCTTTCCTTTAATTAAAAAAAATGTAAGTCTCCCTATCAATCTAAAACGCAAAGCAAGTGCAGTACAATTTCTTGAAGAGAAATAAAGGACATGTTTCTGGAGAGTTGTCTCATTGGCAATCATACCACATCTTCATTAGATCTTCTTATTTTTTATATTATACAAATAATAAAAGGAGATAATTTGAAATAGCCTGACATTTTGCAACAATCTTTTCATTGGGAGTTTGCCAGTTATTTGATTTTCAATCAAAAATTTGTAATCATTATTTAGATCTTAGTCTCAAAAAACATCTGTCAACTTCAAAGAATTTGATTTGTTTACCAATATGTCGTTTAAATTGAATGTGTCTTTCAATTTATTGTGAACCAGTTCACAAATTATTCGCCCTAGATTTAAATTTGAATGGTCTTAAGTTTGTAGATTATTTGCTTTATGAAACCTTCATACCAGAATTCAATATATAGGTAAAGTTTAAGAAATAATAGCAAAACAGACAAAGTGAAACAAGTTTTATGTAAGATGAATGTACATGTATACACACGAGTTTATTCCCTTTTTAGAACTGAACTGCTTGCAAAATATGTTAAACTGTGTATGTCTGATACATGTATTCATATGTACAAAATGTACATACTTTATATGTAAAGGGAAATCATGTTTTGGGTTTATTTATTCCTGTCAATTCATTTAAAAATCAATTTTCTGATGTCTCAAAAGAGATTAATCAGACAACCCCCCTTTTTTTTCCAAAATGATGTTTTGCTAGAAAGTATATAATAAAAAAAATAAGAAGATGTGCCACTGGTATGATTGCCAATGAGACAACTCTCCATCAGAGACAAAATGACATAAGTTTAAAACAACTATAGCTAGATCACCTTTTTTCTACAAAAATTGTGATGTATCTTTTCAAATAGTCAAAATTATGTAAGAAATCTTATTCTTTCTGCGTTTAATGTCATTTGCCATTCAAACAGAGCAGTGGACTGTTTTATTTTAAAAAGTACTTAAATTTATGATTTGATTCTGCAAGCTTTAGAAATTTTGAAGTACATTAAACTTTTTTTTGGCTCAATTTGTCAACAAATAATGTTTTCTGATTGTACATGACATAGTAAAACTTTTACTAAAAGTAATGGTAAACTAACTTGTTCTCCATAGATATACATGCATGATTTTCATTTGGATGTGAGGTCAAAACTAATTATAAGAATTGGAATTTTTAGAAATATATAAATGTAAGAAATGTGCTTGGTCAGTATTTAGTCTTTGTCTTCTATGCTAATTTATTCTAGACACAATTGGTCCGAGGACACAGTTATCGTCCTTCGATTTTCGTTGTCTACAAATATAGTCCCTAGTGTGGACAGTGTATAACTTTCAAATTTTTTTCATACACTTTCCAAATTTATTTCTTTATATTTTATGCATGAAATATTAAGTAAGGGGATGAAATTACATGTTAAAAAAAATTGGGTGCTGAATCTTTATGTTAAGTAGTGATTAGGTCCAGTTTAAAAAGGTCAAAAATTAGTATGTCTGAAGCTGTCAAACTGAATTTTAGACCCCCTTAACATAGAATTGTCAATATTTTGAGTTAGAGCTGGTAGACTTTTCTATAATTCTGATATTATTTGTCCCAATAGTAGTACACTACACTGTAAAAATCTTTTTGAGATAGAGCAGGTGCGATTTTTTTAATTTGACTTTATTGTCTAAAAGAAATGCACTACGAAATAACTGTGTTCTCGGGCCTAAGAGATGAATTCAGGAAATGTAGATTCTGTACTTTGGCAACGTCCCTGAATGGTTTGCTGGTTTCAATTTGTCAAACTCAATAAAAGTAAAGGATTTACATCTTTATTTGAAAGAAATTCTGTTAAAATGTACCATTTTGACATTATATGGCTAAAATAAGCATTTTGAAGCAGTTTCCATTTTAAGCCTAAGAGGCATGCTGACTCTCTATCTGACAGCTTTTTATGCTTTGATATTTGTGTTTCTATGATTAATTCAAATTCTATTAACCATTTGTGAACTCTGAATATAGAGAAAAGTAGATTATCACAGAAAAAATGTGCAAAATGTGTTGTATTTAGGCCCTGGTAGAACGGCCTGTTTAATGTATGTTCAATGTGAAGAGCTTTGTACATAGAATGTGTTGTCCATCATAAAAATTTCACTAAATCTGTAAAAAAAAGCACTTGACAATGATCTGTGCACCTTATCCATTTCATATACTGCCTTTATTTTCTTCTGTAGGATAGTATGTGGTTCAAATATTGCCAGTTGAGACTAAAACTACATGCAAGTTTTCCATTGAAAAGTGAAAAAACTGTGCATCAGACCATACTGTCTGCAAAAAAAGTTGAATGCAAGAGTCCTTTTGCAATTAGACTTCTTGTATCATGACATCTTAGCATAGAAATGAGCAAAAAGTAACAAATTTCCATTTCTTATAGCTTCTGTATGCATTTTTATATGTAAATATGTGCTACGGCCTAAATTGACACTAAATAATGTTCAGTCTTACATAGCCTAAGATCATTTTATACTCATTTGGTATGCTTTTTGTAACTTTTCTTTCCATTTAAAGTACATTTAATATATATGAAAGAATAATATATGGTAAAAAACTTCAAAAACTTCAAATTGGTTGAAAAAAAATGCATGTTTATGTAAGGCTCCCCTTAATTCGAAAATCT